CTATCTGTCTGTCTATCCCACGTGCATGTATGCCTGTCTGTCTGTCTAACTATCCAACGTTTATGTCTGTCTGTCTATCTAACTAAAAGACACATTTCACCGGGCATCCACTAACATCTACACAACTAAGTTAAATAAGTGAGAGAAAAAACACAAAAAACAATTCTCCTCAGCGTCTCTTCCCTGTTGGAGATGATCACGGGACGCCTGACTGGTCGTGAGGAGAGGGGCGGGGGGGGTTAGGGGATGGGGATACTGTTAGGGCCGGGGGGAGGGAGGGGAGGTGGGGAGGGGGATACTGTTAGGGGGGAGGGGGGAGGGGGATACTTTTAGAGGGGGGAGTTCTGTTAGTTTTGGGGTACTGGTAGGTGTGGTGGAGGTTGGTAGGTGTAGGGGTTCTGTTAGGGTAGAGGGGGATTGGGGGTACTGTTAGGTTGGGGGTTCTGTTAGGTGGATAGGGGTTGGGGGTACTGTAGGTGTGGGGGGGTTGGTTAGTTGGGGGCGTGGGGGGGTGCTCTGTTAGGTTGGGGGTTCCGTTAGGTGGATAGGGTTGGGGTACTGGTAGGTGGGGTTCTGTTGGGTGGGGGGGTGCTCTGTTAGGTTTGGGGTTCTGTTGGGTGTGGGGGAGTGCTCTGTTAGGTTGGGGGTTCCGTTAGGTGGATAGGGGTTGGGGGTACTGGTAGGTGTGGGGGGTTCTGTTGGGGGTGGGGGGGTGCTCTGTTAGGTTGGGGGTTCCGTTAAGTTATCGTATTCAAGGGACTAAGTCATCGTACCTTAAATCGGTCCTCATACTGTAAAATCCTTAAATCGACCCTACTATAAAACCTAAAATCGGCCACTATAAAAACCAAAAATCGACCCTATTATAAAACGTAAAAAAATCAGAATCACAAAACCCTAAAATCGGTCTCAATAACACGTGCATAACACAAGGTTGAAAGATACTGTATTACCGAACTCAAGGTCAACTCGGCGGAGAATAACCTGAATGAAGCGTCGTGGTTAAGAAGACAAAAAACAAAGACCTAATACTTTTAATCATGGATACCTGACGAAGGCCAACAGCTGTGTGTGAGGAGGAGGAAATGTCAAATGTGATTGGTGGGTGAGAAGTGGATGTAGAGAAGAGGAGGTAGAGGAGAGGAGGTAAGAACAGAACAGCCAACACCCATCATTGGCATGTCTTGAGTGTTGGTGTTGGTGGCTGAGTGCATCATTCCTCCCTTACCTCACCTCCCGTCACACTTCAGCGCACACGCACACACTAATCCCGTGCATTATTATGTTTTCCTGGGCCAAGTAGATAAGACTCGCTGATTCTTATACCCCCTTTTAGATTCCCTCCTTTGATAGACTATATACCGATCACAAGACAGCCATAGTACAGTACCTTAAACCTACATTACTCCTCGGTAGTGTCAACGAGATTTCAGTGTAATATAACCTAACAAAACATTTACTCCTCCTAGTTCATAAATATCTAATAATACCATTAATATATACTTGACCTCACATCACCACCAGCCAGTCCCAACCAACTCTTACACGCACAGACGAAATGACCTGCTCTTATAATAATTTACATAAAACGTAAAATCAAGCACTGAAAAAGTTAGCAAAAGAACATAAGAATAGAAGAAACTGCAGAGGGCTTATTGGCCCATACTGGGCAGTCCCGTTTACACCCAGCTCCTATATATCCATCCAACCTACTGTATGTTTGAAGCTATCCACCGTATTGAGTTAATGATGATATTTGGTAACTTGTTCCACTCGTCCACTCCTCTATTTCCAAACCAGTGTTTACCTATTCTGCGCCTAAATCTAAATTTATTTAATTTAAAACCATGGTTATGAGTTCGCTCTTGGTTGGATAGTTTGAGTACCTTTGTTCTGCCTCCTTTGTTTAGCTCTGACTTCCATTTATACAAGCGAAGTTTACTTTATATAATTAAGCATGCATTCCAACACTGTCACCAGCTTCTTGGGGGATCACCCACCTTACACAGTCACCTCAAGAACTTCATCCAACACTGACTCACAATTTCACTCTTTCTCCTCTTATTCCTCGTTGACAGGCGATTTACCATGGTCAGTTACCCGCTTTAACTCTTCACTCACACCAAAAAGATTCAGAATATGAAATAAGATGAAGGTTATATATTATACCAAATAATTCAATGTACAGATCTTAAGTTATCTCGTGCATATGGCACACCCAAACCTTTGCTGTCCCCACAAACTGTATGAAATTTTATCCGACTGACAATACATTTACGACAGTGTAGAACACAATAATGCATCCATACACACCTCTACTATACACCACATAAATAAAGATTTGTTTGTATTTAAACTACATTATTCATCCATACGAAATTATACACAAAATTCACCGGGGCTTAAGGGATTAAATCGGAGTTAATTCCAGTGTTTATTTCCTTGTGTAATTTTATCGTTAACCTATCAATTTCAACAAGGGGAAAATAATACCATAATACAGTATTTAATAAAGTAAGGTTTTATGAGCGTCAATTTAATAAGCGGTGTAGAGCGATTTATTTTTTTCACCTCCTTCTCCACCCCACTACCCCTCCTCCTCCCTCTTCTCCACCTCCCCATACTCCACTCCCTTACTCCACCTCTGCCTCCCTACTCCACATCATCCAAATACCTGAGTTACTCTGAAAATCATCAGGTGTCAGTCGATATAGATCATTTTCTGTGACGCAGGTGTGAAGATACGTTAGCAGGTGTCAGTGTCAATATAAATTAGCAGGTGTCTAGGTAAGTTAGCAGGTGTCAAGGGAAGATAGCAGGTGTCAAGGTAAGATAACAGGTATCAAGGTAAGTTAGCAGGTGTCAAGATAAGTTAGCAGGTGTCAAGGTAAGTTAGCAGGTGCCAAGGTAAGTTAGCAGGTGCCAAGGTAAGTTAGCAGGCGCCAAGGTAAGTTAGCAGGTGTCAAGGTAAGTTAGCAGGTGTCAAGGTAAGTTAGCAGATGTCAAGATAAGTTAGCAGGTGTCAAGATAAGTTAGCAGGAGTCAAGATAAGTTAGCAGGTGTCAAGGTAAGTTAGCAGGTGTCAAGGTAAGTTAGCAGGTGCCAAGGTAAGTTAGCAGGTGTCAAGGTAAGTTAGCAGGTGTCAAGATAAGTTAGCAGGTGTCAAGGTAAGTTAGCAGGTGCCAAGGTAAGTTAGCAGGTGTCAAGGTAAGTTAGCAGGTGCCAAGGTAAGTTAGCAGGTGTCAAGGTAAATTAGCAGGTGTCAAGATAAGTTAGCAGGTGTCAAGGTAAGTTAGCAGGTGTCAAGGTAAGTTAGCAGGTATCAAGGTAAGGTAGCAGGTGTCAAGGTAAGTTAGCAGGTATCAAGGTAAGGTAGCAGGTGCCAAGATAAGGTAGCAGGTGTCAAGGTAAGTTAGCAGGTGTCAAGATAAGTTAGCAGGTGTCAAGATAAGTTAGCAGGTGTCAAGATAAGTTAGCAGGTGTCACGATACTAATACGTTAACAAAAATTACCTTCTGAAAATTTTCATTATAACTTTAGCTATACATGTGAGGGACACGACGGAGATAGAAACTTCAGTCATTAATATTTTACCATACTTTTAATATATATCCATACATACTAATATATTCATTAATTGCTATACATATGACTAGAGTGATAACTGGTCAGGGGAACCAACTCACTTCTATACAACAAACACATCATTCTAATGTTGGTGCTGTGAGGGACTGATGTGGGTAATGAGATGTGTGTGTGTGATGATTCTTTTGAAACGCCATTAGGTAACTCAAGATTAGTAGATTTTCTTCTTGGTGACCAATCCACGATATGGCGAGGGACACACCTCATGTTGTCAGGTGTGGTGAGGGCGGGACACATCTCATGTTGTCAGGTGTGGTGAGGGCGGGACACATCTCATGTTGTCAGGTGTGGTGAGGGCTGTGTGAGGGCGGGACACACCTCATGTTGTCAGGTGTGTTGAGGGCTGTGTGAGGGCGGGACACACCTCATGTTTGTTGAGGGCTGTGTGAGGGTACAGCTGAGGGCTGTGTGAGGGCGGGACACATCTCATGTTGTCAGGTGTGGATGAGGGCACATCATGTTGTCAGGTGTGTGGTGAGGGCTGTGTGAGGGCGGGACACATCTCATGTTGGTGTGGTGAGGCTGTGTGAGGGCGGGACACATCTCATGTTGTCAGGTGTGGTGAGGGCTGTGTGGACACCTCATGTTGTCAGGTGTGTTGGGCTGTGTGAGGGGACACACAGGTATGTGAGGGCTGTGAGGGCGGGACACACCCTGTTGTCAGGTGTGGTGAGGGCTGTGTGAGGGGGACACATCTCATGTTGTCAGGTGTGGTGAGGGCTGTGTGAGGCGGGACACATCTCATGTTGTCAGGTGTGGTGAGAGCTGTGTGAGGGCGGGACACATCTCATGTTGTCAGGTGTGTTGAGGGCGGGACACACCTCATGTTGTCAGGTATGGTGAGGGCTGTGTGAGGGCGGGACACATATCATGTTGTCAGGTGTGGTGAGGGCTGTGTGGGACACACCTCATGTTGTCAGGTGTGTGAGGGCTGTGTGGGGCGGGACACACCTCATGTTGTCAGGTGGTGAGGGCTGTGTGAGACACACATGTTGTCAGGTGTGTGAGGGCTGTGAGGGCGGGACACATCATGTTGTCAGGTGTGGTGAGGGCTGTGTGAGGGCGGGACACATCATGTTGTCAGGTGTGGTGAGGGCTGTGTGAGGGCTGTGTGAGGGCTGTGAGGGCGGGACACACCTCATGTTGTCAGGTGTGTGGTGAGGGCTGTGTGAGGGCGGGACACATCTCATGTTGTCAGGTGTGGTGAGGGCTGTGAGGCGGGACACATCTCATGTTGTCAGGTGTGGTGAGGGCTGTGTGAGGCGGACACACCTCATGTTGTCAGGTGTGGTGAGGGCGGGACACAGGTTGTCAGGTGTGGTGAGGGGACACATCTCATGTTGTCAGGCGGGACACATCTCATGTTGTCAGGTGTGGTGAGGGCGGGACACATCTCATGTTGTCAGGTGTGGTGAGGGCTGTGTGAGGGCGGGACACACCTCATGTTGTCAGGTGTGGTGAGAGCTGTGTGAGGGCGGGACACATCTCATGTTGTCAGGTGTGGTGAGGGCTGTGTGAGGGCGGGACACATCTCATATTGTCGTAAGCGGACAAGAAGGTGAGTGAGGGGTCGTAAGAGGGAGGATCAGGGCTAGTGTACTTGCAGATGAGGCCCAGCTGACAGGGGCAGCGCTCGTTGATGAAGTAGTCCACACCACCATCGGGTACGAAGCACTTGTGATCTTGAGGGAGGAGACGCTGACAAATGCGTTGTCCTTGGTGGCGGGCGCAGCATAACTCTGGATCACAGTTCCTATTCTTGTGACACCTGGCACCTTCACGCCCACGCTCCACATGAGGTTGACAAGTACCCAACATACAGTCAAGGCCACGCTGACACATGGGGTCGCGACGGCAGGAATGACCTTCGAGAAACTGCTCCCGACACACACCGAAGTGCAAGTCACAAAACTGATGACGCCCACACACTCTGTCGTTGTTACACAAACGCTGTAACCAACACACTTGGATTAGTTTCCATAATATTTTCCTGCGAACGTAACTCTAGTCGACATTTTAGTTATGAATAGCTATTTTCATTACAGACCATGATAGTGTACAATCCATAGCACCCAATATTTATATGATGGAGACATGCCATTGGGGTCTTTGAGTAGTAAACAACTGATAAGTGATCTATGTTTAAGTTTGTCCAGTAAATCCAGAATAAGAAAAATTACAATGTATGATTTATTTGTGTTATAAGAGATGACTGAAGGCTGTACAAAGAGATTCTCGTCAATAAAACAGGGCAACACGCCTTTAATTTTTTTTAACAGTTTTATGTATGATATAGCCATTATAGTTATTGAGAAGGTCTTTGACTTACCAGGTTGTAATATGGATCGTATGGTTGAGGGAAGGTGTGAGTCAGGTCCCAGGCGTTGTAACGGCCACTGGGGTCCTTCACTGGACGGGAGAACAGCCAAGAAAGTCCATGGGTCGTGTTGATCCAACAACTCACGCTTATCACCAATACCCACATCCTCATCTTTAATTGTATTGTCGATGACAAATATAATATTTACACCACTTGTGAGTGTGTTTGGTGGTGCAGTGCGGTGGTGGTGTTGACGTACAGTATATATCCACCGTCGTCTTCGTACTGACCACAGACACCTTAAGCCTCTGTTATATACCAGAGGTCACCATCACACCTGCGTCGCACCTGGGATAACAGATCACCTCTGTGACGGGCGTGACCACACCCACTGTTTACTCTGGAACACTGGACATTGTAATTTAACAACCGAGAGATGTCAGCGTTGAAGTTGCTGCATTATTTCACTTTCCGGAATACCAAGAGGCCTATGCTCCACGTGAATTAAACTTACACTGATGAAAAGAACTAAAACTAGCGAACAAGGTACAGTCTACGTGACACTATCCTAGTAGACGACAGCGTAAAGTTAAAACAGTTCTCCGGGTCCCAAGTGTAATTGTCACGCGTCTTAGTGCAGGAAAGTTTAAATTAACACTATCTTCATGGTGGGTCACAGTCAGGGCCACCTCAGCACACTATACTGTACCTTCAACTATCAAACAATTTCACCTTTACTATGAAAACTTCCTTGAACACAGCACATATAATTATCAACGTTTGAGTGAAATCTGTTTAAATTCCCGATGATTATCCCCAATTAAGAGGTCGTGTCCAGCCACCTGGGCCGTACAGCCGCGCGCTGAGGGAGTAGCAGGGGGTGGACTTAATCCGGGCTAAGGGGCGGGCAAGTCATTGTGAGTTGCCCGCCCCTCGTACAGTACATACTCAGGTCACACCCCTGACCACATGACCTAATATGAGCTTGGTTCTCCCAAAACAATAGGTAGATAGATAGAAATGAAGGTTAAATTCATATGACTGAGACCAAATACCTTTGGAAACACAAAACTTTATGGTCGAGCAGTAGTTGTGGCTGAAACTGTAAATTTACCTAAGTGATTGGCCGAACATCAAATTTTTGGCCATAGATTTTTTATCAGAATTTTCAGATACATGGATGACCGAAACGAAAATTTTACCCTATTATTCATTTGCATGTGTGAAAACCTAAAAGTCGCTGAGAATGCTCTTGTAAACATTTAGCGTAGCGTCAGCCAGCAGTATTAAGTGGCGTCAGCCAGCAGTACCCAGTAGCGTCAGCCAGCAGTATCCAGTACCTATCGCCAACAGTAGTGAGCAGTAGCAACAGCAGCGTAGGCGACAGCAGCAGCAGCAGCAAAGTAAGGTAGACTGACTGGCGGCTGGCCCTGCCTGGAATGCAGCAGCAGCGGCACGTCTAACATCACCTCTGTTATTAGGTTCACTTGAAGCTTCGAGACGTGTGAATGAGGCAACGATTTATCCATACTGAACCATTCGAATCCAGACTACTAATGAAAACATAATAACTATTACTGAAACACCAACGAAAAAACATCCCAAAGTAATAATAACTAATTAACCAGTTAACTTAAACAAATCTTAATTTCTTACTACTTTACATAATATCGCGTTCGTTCATCGTATGTTTCGAATTACTGGTGTTTTGTAATGACATCAGTGGGCGATTTTTTTATAAACGTAGTATTTTTAATTGTTACTCTCATTATGGTTACCATTATCATTATTATTAAACGACGAGCAGATAGTGGGTTGGGAGGTGAAAGGGAGGGATCGGGTCACCCTCCCGCTAATGTGTCACTCCACTCACTTAATTTAGGATTGGTAGATAGATACATATATAAATATATATATATATATATATATATATATATATATATATATATATATATATATATATATATATATATATATATATGCAAGTAAATTGTGATGATCTAGGTATATGCTGATATATATATATATATATATATATATATATATATATATATATATATATATATATATATATATAAGAAGGTAATTAGAAAGACAGACCTTATCTGTATGGTGAAAAAGAGTTTTGAAATTACTTCCCTCCTAATGACGAGGTCTTGCTGCTGCCAGGGAGGACGAAGGTATTGATGATGGACCTTAGTAATTGATGTTATAACTCAGTTTGACTTGACTTTCCTCTTGAGTTATGGTTGGGGAACGGGGGTGAGGGCATGCCAAGTTATTGATAAAATATGTAGCCAAGGTAACGGCTGATAACTGTTTGGAACCAATGCGGACTCACAGGTATGTGGTGAGATGACCTGAGTGAAGTTAGGTTAACCCAGTGAGCCCATCGCTACCTCCCCCCCCCCCTTCCATTCTCTCTCCTCTAAAGTAAAATTTACATTCAGTTCATAATATTTAATGCCTATTTCACTGAGAGGTCACTTTCCCCTCTAATATGGACTACAGGCATGTACCTATCTGTGGGCGCCTTTGTACACGAATTGTTATAATACATTGTATGGGACTGGCCCCAAAGCCTCCCTCCGGCTACTATACACTGGTGTATATAAAAGAGGTAAATGTTCTAGGTGATGTTGGTCTTACTGGAGAACAAAACACAGCAGTAAATTCCAGGATGTAACTTAGTTGTCAAATTAAATAATGGCATAACGAGAGCTGTGGTTTACTGAAAAGGGGAGGGGCACACCTGCGTCCGGCTTTACTAAAACAAATGTGGTCAGTTTTCACACCCTAGAATACCCCTGGGAGTGTAGTGTAGGTGTTGCCCTACTGTGTGCGTCTCCCTCGCATTAGAACACATTATTAGCGGATTAAACTCTCCGGGGATTTTCTCATTTAAAATTCTAATAAATGCTGGTAAATGACCGTCACTGTGGTGATGAACATACCGTTATATTCAACGGCATTGGAGACACGTCACCAAGGGCCTCCTCACTGAGGGCCTTGTCACTGAGGGCCACATCACTGAGGGCCTCGTCACCGAGGGACACGTCAGTGAAGGACACGTCACTGAGGGCCTCGTCATTGAGGACGCCAGGTATGTTACTGCAGCTCCTATCACCTCCCCACCTGCCAGATTTTTTTTTACAGGGATTAGCCCACCCGGGCACAGGTCACTGACCCACATCGGGGCCTGGGGGGCGAAAATGTATTAATAATAATAATAATAATAATAATATAGAACCGTAAAGAAATACAAAAAAAATGAGAAAAAGATCAAGAGTGAGAAACAAAATATGTATGTTGTGTTGTCAATGGTAAGAGAAACAATTGAGACCTGCAATTGTGTGTAAATGGGGCAGAAAGTCAGATTAGCAACGTGTGACTTGGTCACAATTTTCGTGATGTCATATGGCAGCAGGGTCTACCATTAGACAATACATTATGCTTCCAATATCTTCCCAGGCGGTAGTACTTCCCTGTTTGGTGTTACTTGGCGTGAAAAATACCAAATGGCAACGCTAGTTTCGGCGGGTTGAGAAACATATATCTATTTGGATAAAGATATCTATTTAGATAAACATAAATTATCAATAATATTTTGGGTATGTGTCCACTACATGAAGTTTACACCATAAGTTAAGGCAGGTAAAACCAATAGTGTATTTCTTACTGCTCGTGTGCAGAGTTGTTTGTAGTAATCCTGACCAGTGTACAGTACGCGTGAGGTTTATTGACTGGTGTACACGTGAGGTTTATTGACTGGTGTACACGTGAGGTTTATTGACTGGTGTACACGTGAGGTTTATTGGCTGGTGTACACGTGAGGTTTATTGGCTGGTGTACACAGGCAGGTGTACACATGAGGTCCACCACCAACATAATCATTGTTTGTTATTATGAAAGAAACATTTATAAATACGTATAGTTATGTGCGGTCTAGTGACGTGACGGCCACGCGTGTCCACCCTCCTGCCGTGTCAGCTGCCCTTAACACCAACAGTTACCATAAATCAGGATGAAACTCATCTACACGACGGCGAGGGTCAGTCTGCCCCAAAGAGGGACTCAGTCTTCCCCGACGAGTGATTCAGTCTACCTCGACGAGTGATTCAGTCTGCCCCAACGAGGGAGTCTTGACCAAGCAGGTAACAAACTTACCATAACTATACTATACTATGCAGTGACGGAGGTGTACATCTGTGTAGAACAACAGTGACGGAGGTGTACATCTGTGTAGAACAACAGTGACGGAGGTGTACATCTGTGTAGAACAACAGTGACGGAGGTGTACATCTGTGTAGAACAACAGTGACGGAGGTGTACATCTGTGTAGAACAACAGTGACGGAGGTGTACATCTGTGTAGAACAACAGTGACGGAGGTGTACATCTGTGTAGAACAACAGTGACGGAGGTGTATATCTGTGTAGAACAACAGTGACGGAGGTGTACATCTGAGTAGAACAACAGTGACGGAGGTGTACATCTGTGTAGCACAACAGTGACGGAGGAGTACATCTGTGTAGTACAACAGTGACGGAGGTGTACATCTGTGTAGTACACCATGTTTATTCGGACTCGTTTTAGAAAGAAGGACACCCACGATACTGAACAGGTGAGTAACCAGAGTACTGTACTGTGGTAACCAGATTACTGTGGTAACCAGAGTACTGTAGTGAGGTAACCTAGGTAGTAGGTAGTAGGCAGCTACCAAACAGGGAGGTACTACCGCCTGGGAAGATATTGGAAGCATAATGTATTGTCTAATGGTAGACCCTGCTGCTATATGGCATCACGAAAATTGTGACCAAGTCCCAGGTTGCTGATCTGACTTTCTGCCTCATTTACATACAATTGCAGGGTCTCAGTTGTTTCTCTTACCATTGACAACACAACATAAATATATTGTTTCTCACTTTTTATCTTTTTTTCATTTTTGTATTTCTTTATTATTATTTTTACTGTGTTATTATTATTGTTTTCACTATTATTCTATTATTATATTTGAAAATTTTTAGTTTTTTATTATAAATTTTATTTACTATGAACTATTATTATTATTATTATTATTATTATTACATTTTCGCCCCCCAGGCCCCGATGTGGGTCAGTGACTTTACACTACCACAACTAGAGCTAATTAATATTCATCAGTACGTACACATACTATAGTCAGCTTAACATTGGTGTGTGTGTGTGTGTGTGTGCTGCCCCTCTGCGTGTTACCTAGGCACTAACATTCCTGGTAATCTTAACACGTTATGAATGACGTATCATTACGCCGTTTTCCTGTAATTTATTTGATTTTGTTGTCAGGTTCTTGTCATTAAAATACGACTTTGTGTAACGTGAGTTTTACACAGACACACACATACAGTATATATACAGTATGAAAAAAAAAAAAAAAAAATATATATATATATATATATCTGTGCGTGTGTGCGTCCACTTGTTTAGGTCGGTTACCTCACCATCCTACCTCTACCCTTCTCCACCTTTCACTGCCACCTTCACCTCCACTCTCCTCTATTCGTCTTCTCCCCCGCCTACCCCTTCCTCTTAATTTTCAACCTCCTCTTCTTGCTTGTAAGTTATCTGTCTATCTGTCTCTCTGTCATTCCCTATGTCTCTGTCTCTCTCGTTTAACTGAACCAAAGGCTTACTGTTTCCTCCCCCAGCAGCAGGCAGTAGACGAGCCCGAGGTAGTGATTCGCCTTAGTAGCACCACCGCCTATAACCCCTGGGAAGTGCGTGTGAATTACCGGAGTGGACAGTACGAGCCTGTACCTAGAGGCGACTACCTTCTCCAGCTGATGACACTGCCCTCCAGAGTTACCCACACCAGGAACCTCCCACCCGGCACCACCACTACCATCCATCGCAGAGGTGACTAACATAGGGATATATATTTACAGGTATGAATTGAAAGGGAGAGAGAAAATAATATTAGACAAAGAGAGCTATCAAAGAATCACACAAAGGAAGAAAACAGAGAGAGAGAGAGAGAGAGAGAGAGAGAGAGAGAGAGAGAGAGAGAGAGAACTTAATCACAACTGACACTTTACTGCATCCGCCTCACACAACACGAGGCTAGTGGTGTGTGGTCAGCCTCACACAACACGAGACTGGTGATGTGTGGTCAGCCTCACACAACACGAGGCTAGTGATGTGTGGCAGACAAGTATGATACACCTCAAATACTTCACAGCCAGACTCCTTACTTTCGCTACACCCCTCCTACTCCTACCCACACAGTTAATGTCTCCTTCTCCTCACACAGATCAGCTACAGGAGGAGGATGCCGTCATCGTAGAGGAACTGGAGGAGTTATATGGAGGAGTTATCTCCGCTGAGCAGTTGCTGGCCCTCGACCACCAGGCCAACCCTTTCAACTACAGCGAGCGAGTGTCCCAGACCCTGAAGTCAGCCTCCAAGGTGATGAGGCTGTGAGAGAGGAAGAAGAGGGGACTGTCCTGGCCTCCAAGGTGATGAGGCTGTGGGAGGACGAAGGGGAGGAGGAGGAGGAGGAAGAGGGGGGATTGTTCTGGCCTACAAAACGTGGTTAATAATGATAATGAAAGTCTGATAAGTGTGGCTGCTGAGTTATGGTCATACAACATGTTAAGGAAGGATGGATGAGGACATACAGTGCTTCTCATATAGTCACCTAACCTGTAACCTGACCTTTCATTTAGGCCAAATGTGATACCTGCAAGGATAGTTGTATGTTGTTAGTATTGACCACTTGTGTACGGGGTCCTCTGTCTGTTAAGTAAAATCGTCTGACGTTGGCCAAATAAAATATTAATAGTGGCGTCCCCGTAGTGAAGGGGTTAGAGGAGAAGGACTGTAAAGGCATTTCTAGAGGTGTTTATATAACAGAAAATGATCCATTTTTAACAAGTTTTCCTATATTAATTTTACAAAGCTCACTTTTGTTGTCTTCTCGGGAGAGTTTCTATGACTAATAGATAAAAATATGTTCTTGCCACGCATACTTGACAAACACCTGCACGCTACAGGTCGCAAATATCTATTGGAACACAAACTTCTACCTGTATTTACTCATGACAACCAAACGATTGCTCATGAAAATAGGGTTGTTGAGGTAAAATATTGCTACTTTAGATGCTCCAAGATAGTCTCATCGTAACCATAAATGTTACGTATGGGCAACGTTCAACACAGATATTGACAGTAGATTTGTTGGGTGAAAAGATTTATCATAATTTAATCTGAACATAAACATATGCTCTCTCCCTCACCTATCAAACAGGAGATGTGTATACAGACAGAGCCGCCACCCAGCACCACTTTCAGCGCTAATGTCGGGTTCTCTATCATCTTTGACGCCTACCACCACCACACGCTGCTCCCTGCCAACAAGAACAACCAGGAGGGAAAAAATAAGGACAGTAAGGATGGCAAACAGGTGAGTCTTATACGTATTACAGTTGACGGATAGTAATGGATGACGAGGGTGTAATGGGTGACTGGTAGGGTGTTAAAAAGCGACCATTTATATATAACGTCACATACGGTGTGTATTACAGCACCAGCCTGGTTTAGAGAGGTCGGCTCCTTACCCCACATCATTGACTCAGGTGACCACGAAAGGTAAGGGAGGGTGTGACCTGGCCGCTCTCATGCCCACCGTCACTACAGTAGAGAGGATGATCAACCAGAACCTCTTCGACGATGTTATGGAAGGTAATCTTTTGGTGATAGAGAAGCCACTGTTTATATTGTTACCAGGATGAACAAGTTTAATGCTGCCTCTCCTCTTCACTAATGAAACAACTGACTCAGACACAAGACGAAAGTATACAAAATTTTAACTCTCTTATAACCTCAACATATTTCTGGGAGAAATTGCTTTTAAAAAATTAATTACTCTTACCCTGTATTCAGCTTCGTCACAAACATTAGAATCCTCAGATCAATAACTAATATAAACATCTGACTGTATAAAATGAAGCAACTTATACATTCTGCTCTACTTAAGGCAAGACTTCCAGGATGAGTTAAAGTCGATAGCCTAACTGTTGTCAGATGGATCAGTATTACCCCCGTTTGTGAGATTCCTCTCTCCCTTCACCTTCACCAGACTTCCAGTACTGGGATGACAGTAGTGATGATTACCGAGGGGTTGAGGGTACGCTGCTGCCACTGTGGAGATTCAACTACCCCAAGGCTCGAGCCTTCATTGTGGCAGACGTGTGTTGGAGCACCACCCACTCGGATCTGTTTGCTGCCGCCTATACAAACGGTGAGTCCTGAGAAATTTGAAAGGTGTGTGGTGTGGAAGAGGTGAGAAAGGAAGAATGTGCATAGAACAGAAGTGGGAGGAGAGTAGTGGATGGAGAGAGACAGGGTAAGTGGAGGCTGGTGAGTTGGTGCTGGTCCACCTTATTCTATGGTTCCCTGGTGTTTCAGGGGGCGAGGGAGGGACCGAGACGGGAGGGCTGGTGTGTCTATATACCCTCAAGAACCCTGGCGTCCCCGAGCGTCTCCTACACACACCCACAGCCCTCACCTCTGTGCACCTTCACCCCACGGTCAGTGTTACCTTTCTTCACAACTTTTAACGAGATAACTTTTAATTGTCATGTAGAGAATGTTATAATAATAGGGACCAGTAGTGAAACAGAAAGGCTTAGGAGATGTACACCGTTTGTTGAATAAAATTAAATCAACCTAAAGTAGTAAAACTTCTTTTACCTCTCAATATGTCCCAACTATCAGGTCTTTTAGTGAAGACAAAGGTGTAACATGGAGTAATGGTAGTCCGTGGGTACAGTCAGTGTATAACATCCATTGAATCTAATCTAAAGAAATAGTGAATGTCTTTAAATGTTACTGCAAGAAGGATATTGATGACAGTCCTCTCCTGCAGCGAGCGAGTGTACTAGTGGGCGGCCTTACTGACGGCTCAGTTATGTTCCTAGACGCCCGCCTCTCTCGCTGTCCCAGAGTCCTCATCTCCACCACTAGCTCCGGCAAGCACCTCCTTCCTGTGTCTCAGGTACAGCACCGACCTGATGTTCACTCACTGGTCTGGCACTTACTTTCTGTCTTCAGCTCTTCTACTTTTGATACAGATTACTTAAATTAGTCCATATTGCTGCATTAATATACATTTCTTTTCTACTGTATTATACTGTATTTAACCTTACTGTAAAATAACTTTACAATTAAATCTTTTTATGTTTTCTGTCCTATAAGTTCTGTGTAGAGCTCTGTATCACAAAGTGTTCTTTTCAGTGTCGTATGTGCCCCAATCAGTTTAAAACCATCTTGCTTCAGAGATCTTCACTAGAGCAGCAGGAAACTTCACCTTAGTGAATAATTTTAACAACAGCATTTATCTGAACTCTCAGTGTGTTGTGTACAGTGTTCTTAGTTCACTGTATCAACCTTATATTTTACACCAGTTTCCCTCCCGTGCAAAAATGTTCCGATCATTTTGTATTGTTATGACATCCTTCTGAAGCCTTCCATAATACTTCTCTTGTACTTTAGTATTAAGATGTTCTCCATTAATATCCGATAATGTTACGGTCATCTCTCAGTGCCTGCCTCTGCCTTCAGGTAAGATGGGTGCCGACCGAAGTAGGTGAGACTCCTCACTTTTATTCAGCCTCAGCAGATGGACGAGTATGTGAGTGGGCGGTACAGGTGTCCACACTTCAACACACTGATCTCCTAGACTTCCACCATTGCCCTCTTCGCACCATCCGCTCCTCCCCCTCCTCCACCATCACGCTACAAGGTTAGCTCTCTCTTTTCCGACGAAGGTGTATTTTGGTGTAGTGATAAAATTGGTGACGGCGAAAGAGAATCATTCTTTAAGATTAAAAAAAACAACCCTTTAGCCCCACCTCTTGTTCAACACTCATGGCCTCTCTCTACATCGCCCCACACCCCTGGCCTCACCCCACACCTCTCTAGCCTCACCCCACACCACTGGCTCCACCCCACACCACTGGCTCCACCCCACACCCCTGGCCACACCTCATCACCCTCACCCCACAGGTACAGCGACATGTATAGCCTTCAACCCGTGGGATAGGAGTGTGTTACTAATGGGCGCGGATACAGGTGCTGTTTTCCAGCTCAACACTAGCACCACCACCCACGTCCTCACCCACTATCCCGCCCATAACGGCCCCGTCAGAGCCGCCGCCTGGAACACCTACCACAACAAAGTTTTCGCTACTTGTTCCCTCGATTGGATGATTAAGATTTGGCTACAGTACCACACGTAAGTCACCTGTCTTACCTACCTTACCTCATCAGCCCTACCACACTGCCTCCTGTATCTTCTCTGATCTGCTTTCCCTGGATTATCTGACATCATGTTTCTTACCTTACCTGCCCTACCTACCTACCTCAAATACTCTACCTTTCTCACCTACCCTACCTTACTTGTTTCTTCCTGCCAGGTTTTCATGTAATGTTGCCTTGCTCAATTTCTTAAAGTCAAAATGAACAATATATGAAAAACCGTGTCTCCAAGATTGTTTAGTATTATTGAAGACTCCAGCCATTACATTGACTATAGTACAGTATTGAGGTATAATAGAAACTACAATATTAAGAAAATAAGCATTTGTTGTCATTCACATATATAATAAACCCTTAACCTAATTGAAAACTTTAAACTAAACTGAAAGAAACAAATTACATATAAAGTACAAGTGAATGAGCCTTAGCTGGTGCATGTGTACGTCCGCAGGTGTTCCTGTACACTTAAGGGTGAGGGTCTGGTGAACGGGACAGAGGAGGGCTGGCTAGGGCAGTAGGCAGGTGGTGAACGTGACGGAAATGTTGGGGTTAGTGTAGGAAGGTAGAGCTTGTAGCCACTGGCGGTGCTGGTTCCCGATTGTCTCTTCTCATTCGCTGGCCTCTTTCGTCTGCTCACAGTCACGTGACCTTACCCACAATCCCTCACGTGTTGCTAACAATGAGCCAAGCAGTTCAATTGTCCGGTGTATCTTGTGGTTCTTACCTTAGGTCGCCTCTCATCACACTGGACTTGGGGGCTTCAGTGGCAGACCTAGCATGGTCCCACTACAGCAGCAGCGTTATCGTTGGGGTGACGGACGAGGGTCGTGTCCATGTATACGACTTGTTCGTCCGCAAGTGCCGTCCCCTGTGTGTGCAGAACATCATGCAGAGACGCCGCTATGCCCTCCGCTGTGTTGCCTTCAGCCCCCACCACCCTATCATTCTCGTAGGTGGTGAGAGGTAAGAGTAACTTTTCCCTATATAACCAAAACATCAGTCTCAGTCTCTCTCTCTCTATCTCTCTCTCTTTCTCACACACACACATTGTATAAGGATAATTGTCGATTTAAGCCTCAAAACAAAACTGAAGATGCAATGGATATATCCTTTGAGAAGCTGAGACATACACTAAAGCGTTAAACCAGCATCTGGTAAAACAGCATCATGTGTTGGATAGCGACACTTTCTGAGAGACTTCCTCCATTATCAGAAAAACTGAGAGTAGAACAAGTACAACAAATGTAGATAATTAAAATAGAGATTGAGCATGAATCTAAGTCAATATAACCAAGTGTGATAAAAACAAATAAGCAATAAAAAACAAAGGATCACAACGTTATAAACACAATTTGTCAGCCACTCACAAGATATTAAAAACACAGTCGATCAGTTGACCTGTCGTTAATACACAGTGAGGGTTTTAGCTGTAAATGTAACAGGGACTTTGCTATTTAGAGCTACTACATGTGTTTACTCTGTGAGGTGACAACTGAGAATGACCAGTTTTATGAGGCGGTCTGCCTCCAGAGCGTGTTGTCGAATAGCACCGCGTAATGGATTGTTGTCCTTCGAAACTGTCGCTATCAGGATAAATATCGATAAAGCCACACAGGAAAGGGGAAACACTGGAGCACCTTAGCTTTCGTCTTTATTTAAGACATGTTCAGAGACAAGTGAAGATGCCTTCAATAAAGACGGTTTTACATACATACACATATATATATATATATACATATATATATATATATATATATATATATATATATATATATATATATATATATATATATATATATATATATATATATATATATATATATATATATATATATATGCAAGTAAATCACTGTAGGTGCGCGTGATTTAGGTATATGCTGATAACCACAGCATATATATATATATGGGGTATTACAGAGGCTACCTAGTGACCATGAAGTTGTCACCTAATCTCAGGAAGACCCATGAGGCTCCCAAGACAACTGAGGCTGAAGATTACAACCCCCAGAAGGTGGAGCGCTGCAAGATGGAGAGGATCATTGCCACCACACACACGTCACCAACACAGTAGTCTTATCTTCACAGGGACCAAATCATTACCCTCATATTTGTTTTTCTAATTTCTATCTAATATGCGATTAGTTTATTTACTCAAAGGAAACGAATGGTTCTATTTCACACATTAACAACTATCAGCTTTGGGTGTGAATTTCTTTAACTAAAATCACAAAATTATGGTCACGTTTACCTAATTATCAAGTCAAATACCAGATGAGTTTGACCAATATTGACAACTAATGCTTTATTTACCAACTTGTCCTGCATCACTAAGCAGAGCATCACCATTTAGTAGAGGTAGAGGTTCAATAATAATCAATCAATCAATCAATTAGAGTAACATCCTTATATCAGAGGGTGGGCGACCACAGTCCTCCACTTTAAACGTTCTCGGGTCCTATACTAACACTGTACATCAACGGTTGATGCCAATAACCCCAGCAGTTGAGGCACCAAACAGCACCATTCTTGCCCCACAGAATATATTGTCTGTTTTATTAACCAAGTGTCAGATTCTCAAGAGTTTGTACAATAAATATTCTTTGTAAGTACAAATATAATAATGTATTTAACTGTTGAGCTGAAGCACAAAAGATATTCTTTATTTTGATATTGATTTTTTTTTTTAGAATTCTAGGGGAACTTTGATATCATTTTCGGATGTTGTTTTTATGCTTCAGTTTAAGTCAATCATTACGGTATATTTTTAGTTATTAGAAATATTAATCACCGGAACCTTTGAGAGTGTGACCCTCTGAGACCTGCCTTACTGTACTGCTGGTTCGGAAGACAGTGTTGTGTTTATTATTAATCATCTTTTCACTGACCTTCAAAGTTTATATTATTCTATACTGTACAATCAATTACTTTCACCTTATTCCGAAATAGTTAAGGACTGCACTGTAAAGCTTAAATATGTAATGTACAAATTTATTATATAACTGCTAATTTTTTCTAAGCTTAAGTGTACAATAAAAACAAAAGCCGTAAAAAAATAAACTATACAATTTAATATTAAAATCTAAATTTAACCTAAGGTCTACACACCTAGGGTCTAGGGCCCACACACCTAGGGTCAACACTCACTATGTTGCCACGTAGTGTCATGTGAGTGTTGTTTCATGACCAGTTAAAGGGAAATTTAAACCCTGACTGATCTCTATCATTCTGGCATCCTCAGTTTAGATTCTTCAAGAGGCTTAATAATCACTGTACAGTATCATCTTCGCTGCTGATTGACCTGTTAGCCGTTTGGGCGGTTGGTCACGTCTCTGCTGCACACCGTTGGCAAATACTGGGCATGTACTGGCTCTCTGTTACATACTGTATGACAAGTACTGGGCATGTACTGGCTCTCTGTTACATACTGTTGGCAAATACTGGGCATGTACTGGCTCTCTGTTACATACTGTTGGCAAATACTGGGCATGTACTGGTTCTCTATTACTGTTGACAAGTACTGGACATGTACTGGTTCTCTATTACTGTTGACAAGTACTGGACATGTATTGGTTCTCTATTACTGTTGACAAGTACTGGACATGTACTGGTTCTCTATTACTGTTGACAAGTACTGGGCATGTACTGGTTCTCTATTACTGTTGACAAGTACTGGACATGTTCTGGTTCTCTATTACTGTTTACAAGTACTGGACATGTACTGGTTCTCTATTACTGTTGACAAGTACTGGACATGTATTGGTTCTCTATTACTGTTTACAAGTACTGTACATGTACTGGTTCTCTATTACTGTTGACAAGTACTGGACATGTACTGGTTCTCTATTACTGTTGACAAGTACTGGGCATGTACTGGTTCTCTATTACTGTTGACAAGTACTGGGCATGTACTGGTTCTCTATTACTGTTGACAAGTACTGACATGTACTGGTTCTCTATTACTGTTGACAAGTACTGGGCATGTACTGGTTCTCTATTACTGTTGACAAGTACTGGGCATGTACTGGTTCTCTATTACTGTTGACAAGTACTGATATTTGAGCCAAAAAATAGTTTAAAGACATCCTCGGATCTAAGCTAATATTAACTTTAATGAATCTCAACCTCTGAAAGTTTTGTGTTGATATTGTTTACATGGCGAGATAGTGTGGGTATGGTTGGTAGACTCCGTCGCTTCACACTTCCTTCTGAAGACCGACAACACGACACTTCACTGCTGTAATAAGGATGACAAACAACTTATACCCATGGTGATGAACAAGAAAGAATAATAGTTATATGTACACAAAGGAAGGTGAGTAGCCTTGTTCTAAAAGCCCCAGCCTTACCTATGCTCATACATGTCCAGAAAATTACCAACAGCGTGTAATAGAACAGAACGACTGCCCGACTGCATGGGGTGAAGAGGATGAGTAAGGCAGCAAGGACTGGGGGCCCTTGAGAACTGGCATCAGTCCAAATGGTTAGGTTAGGTTGGGGCCTATTTGGACTAAAGACCTTTTGAATTGTTGAAGCCAGGGCGTATTCAAAGAACATGCTGGACCTTGTATATCAATTTGTCCTTGTTATTAAGAAACAATATAATGAAACTAATACTTTATTTTGTTAGTGGTACTTGACAGAGTCTATTGTACAGTACCTGCGTTGGAGGCTGGTAGTGGTGAGGTAAGTCAGTGGTGCGTCTGTGTAGAGTGAGCCACACACCTTCATCTGGGTTGGTGAACACGTTACGAGTCACCAAGGTTAGGGGTACCTGTTGAGAGCAAGGGTAGAGGATGCTGTATTGACTAGACTAGACTAGACTAGACTACACTATAAGATTAATGCATGTTTAGCACACAACAAGAGATTCAATAATTGATAAAGACAGAAAGGTCAGAATAGTTGATTATATCCATTTTTTCAGTGTCTATAACTTTCCAGGGACAAATGATGTTTATAAAGGTAATATTAGTGTTCATTCTGACAATTTTGACTTCTTTACCTCACAGAGCTCACATAAACATCTTCTGTATGGAATTCAATATTTTAAATTAAGTACTCTATACACAGAATAGTGATCTTTCAGTTTAGTAATTTTGACGATATATTAGTTAAGATCAAAATTAATAAATACCCTTAAAATTATCTAAACGTCATTACAACCAATAATTACCTTACAATCGAATCGCGGACAACAGATTCGGAATCAGCATGCTCAGGAGTACTAACATTATTATGAATTTTCAACAAAATTTAATTTTGGGCCAAAACCACCAAAAACGTAAGCCTAACTAATGTTTCGACCGAAATATACTTTTCTCTCGGATTTTGAATTTGAGGGGTTTAGCTAATTAAGCACTTCCAAAATAACACAAAACCATCAAAATCGCACTTTGGAAACCCAGAGTTGGCGATAATACTGTAATTAGCATTACAAAATTACATTAAGAGATCGGGAAGCATGATTGCTGTACTAAGCTCTATTTTGAGCACCTCTGTGTGTATGTGTGTGAGACATACCTTGGTGTGTGAGCAAGGTTTTATGTAGAAACGCTGTATAACAGAACTGAGAACCAATTTCATCTCCATCAAGGCAAACCTCAAGCCTAGACAGTTGCGTGGGCCACCTCCGAAGCCAAGGTAGGCCATAGTGTGACGGTCTTTCTTGGCCTTAGGGAGGAACCTGGGATATACAACAACACAGATTATCTTAATAGCTTGTTAAGATGTGAAAAGTAATCTGTATATAATATCATGTTCTCCAAGGCAGGCTAGGAGGTGAGGTTAGGTTAGGTTAGGTTAGGAGGACTTGGACGCTGTTGGTAAGTATCCAAGATGCACTTTTACCTCTCAGGCTTAAATAGTTCAGGTTGAGGGTAGAGTTCAGGGTTGTGATGGATGGACCAGACAGGGACCTCCACCTCGGTGCCAGCAGGGATGGTGTATGGGCCGTATTGCCAGTCCTGCGTCGCTTGGCGAGTGATGAAGCCCGTCACTGGTGGATACATCCTGGTCGATTCCAATGCTACTGCCTCCGTGTACACCAGCTTACTTAAATCTTCATAGGATGGAGCGCGCTGTGGGACAGTCACTTCTTTGTAATAACCTACTAGATAATGCTATAATAGCATTGGGTGCCAGCTCATTTAAGACTAGACTTGACGAACAATGGCAAATGTTCAGATAAATTCAAGAGCCCGAGCATGCTTAGTAGTTGCCAACAGTGTGTATAGGGTAACTAGGGCCGGATTCAGGAGTGGGCAAAGTGGGCAGCTGCCCTGGGGCCTCCACATATTACAATATTTTATTTATTTGTTTATTCATTTGGATTATTTTTATTTTCATTCTTTAAAATTCATGTTTATCTATTCCATCACGTAAAACTATGTTCAGCAAGAAGCGTGATAGAAATTAGGCTAGCTACTCCTTGAAATTCATGAATACCTGGTTTTCCTATGAACCGTATACCAGGGCTGGTTGACTTGAAACCACATGAATGACTCCAGTCATGTCTCACTTTTGTGTGTGTGTGTGTGTGTGTGTGTGTGTGTTGGAAATTTGCACACTATCAATAAATATACAGTAAATTAAAAATTTCTCAATGTTCTAATTTCCTCAATATAACTGCATATGGCTTCAAAATTCTCCAAAGAAGTGTTCAAATTTCAAAATTTTCGCGGGGGGCTTACAGCTCCCCCCGGAACTCCCAGATATTTAGGCTCACTTCACTCGCTACCCCACCCTCTTGGGTAGTTATAATGAGGGGGGGCCTCCACAAAGAGGCTGCCCATGGGCCTCCACAGGTCTAAATCCGACACTGAGGGTAACATAAGTAACTGACTGCCTGATCAGTTAGAGAACTGACCAGTGGCAAAGAGGATAAGTTAAGAAATTTTTTTCATTAAGTGGTGTTCTAATTGGCTGCCATGCAAAGATGGTGGCTAAAATGTTGTCAAAACTGTACGGAGACTCTACCGAAACTAGAGTTAAAACAACTCCGAGGTTTTGGTGGTCAGAATTCTTAAGAAAGCTGATCCAAGCATCCAGAAGTAAGTGTGTGTGTGTGTGTGTGTGTGTGTGTGTGTGTGTGTGTGTGTGTGTGTGTGTGTGTGTGTGTGTGTGTGTGTGTGTGTGTGTGTGTGCAATATAACATAAGATAACTTCATTAATGTATTCACTCCGAATTATGCAAATCAGGTGAAGTGAGTATTGATTAAACTCATAGAAAGTATGTTTTAATAACTTATATGCAAGTAAATATTCAGTTTTTGCTATTAACATATTATGGTGGTAAGTGAAAGGTCGAATTTCTTCCTGTGAGAAGTTAAATGATAAAGCACCAGTGATGATTGTGACTACCTTCTCCAGTGAGGTGATGAAAGAGTCCAAAAATATATATCTGGAGGAGGATAACAATGTAAACAATCTTCATCTGAGAGGGCCGGGTTTAACCTACCTCAAGACCCACTACCTCCTCCACCTCTTGGAAGATCTTCTCTTGGATGTCAGGGTTGAGGGCTAGTAGGTAGGAGGTGTAGGTGAGGGCGGTACTCGTTGTCTCAAATCCAGCCAGTAGGAATAGGAACGCGTTGTCCACTACCTCTTCGTCTGAGAGAGAGGAGAAAAAAACCATAGATACTGTAGTGGACGTCTCCCCTACAACTGCCTACAACTGCGTAGCCACAGCCACCACACGGCACCTCCACGCATTCCGACGTGCCGTCTCCTAGCAACCAAGCGAGAGCTGTCCCCAGATGGTACGGTTGCCTAGCAACGAAACTACTCACCGGCAACTTTCTGGGTTTTCCCAACATGATTCATAGAGGACTGGCGGCTGCTGCTGGGTATATAAGCTCTGTCTCTCCATTGAGATTCATTCTGACCATTCTTCTTGAACAAGCAACACCTCCTCCAGCAAGCTCCACGCACCAGACTGTCTATCATATAACTTATATTATATAAGAAAACCACATTAGAGTTTCCTTCCATCCTGAGTGCTAGACAACATTAATATCTCGATACCCCTACAATGGTGACTCCCGGAGATTAGCACTCACACAGGATGGAGGAGACACTGATCACGCTCCCAGTCTTCAAGCAGACACCGGCTCCTCTTCCTGCCCCAAGCACCACATCCTACCGACCCCAGCACACCCGTCCTGCCTCAGACGCCGACCCCGGCCCAGCAGTAACCCCTGCCGCCCCTGACGCGGCCTCTGTTCCTGAATCCGGACCCACACACCCCTCTTTTCTCCCTCAGGTACTCCCTGCTAATGTCCTGCACCCTGCTGCTGTCGTGGACCCAGCTGCTGTCACGAGCCCTAATCCGCTTCTGCTGACGCAGCCCCTGCTCCTGACCAGGCCCACACACACCCCAGCAGGCGCATCTGACGACCCTGTACCTGTCGTGAGGGAAGCACAACATTCATCGCCTCCACACACCCTTTTTCTCCCTTCTCCCACAGATAGTGTGTATCTAGACAGTTGTATTTCAGCGATCGGCTCATCACGCCATCGCCGTTGTCTCACATGAGGCATGCACCGCCCGGTCTGCCTCACATGTGCTAAGCAACTCTACAGACAACAAGTCTCCTACACCGCCTGGAGGGAAGGGAGTATTGTATACGTCCACGCATTCCGACGTGCCGTCTCCTAGCAACCAAGCGAGAGCTGTCCCCAGATGGTACGGTTGCCTAGCAACGAAACTACTCACCGGCAACTTTCTGGGTTTTCCCAACATGATTCATAGAGGACTGGCGGCTGCTGCTGGGTATATAAGCTCTGTCTCTCCATTGAGATTCATTCTGACCATTCTTCTTGAACAAGCAACACCTCCTCCAGCAAGCTCCACGCACCAGACTGTCTATCATATAACTTATATTATATAAGAAAACCACATTAGAGTTTCCTTCCATCCTGAGTGCTAGACAACATTAATATCTCGATACCCCTACAATGGTGACTCCCGGAGATTAGCACTCACACAGGATGGAGGAGACACTGATCACGCTCCCAGTCTTCAAGCAGACACCGGCTCCTCTTCCTGCCCCACGCACCACATCCTGACGACCCCAGCACACCCGTCATGCCTCAGACGCTGACCCCGGTCCAGCAATAACCCCTGACGCGGCCTCTGTTCCTGAATCCGGACCCACACACACCCTCTTTTCTCCCTCAGGTACTCCCTGCTAATGTCCTGCACCCTGCTGCTGTCGTGGACCCAGCTGCTGTCACGAGCCCTAATCCGCTTCTGCTGACGCAGCCCCTGCTCCTGACCCAGGCCCACACACACCCCAGCAGGCGCAGCTGACGACCCTGTACCTGTCGTGAGGGAAGCACACCAATCATCGCCTCCACACACCCTTTTCTCCCTTCTCCCACAGAAAGTGTGTATCTAGACAGTTGTATTTCAGCGATCGGCTCATCACGCCATCGCCGTTGTCTCACATGAGGCATGCACCGCCCGGTCTGCCTCACATGTGCTAAGCAACTCTACAAACAACAAGTCTCCTACACCGCCTGGAGGGAAGGGAGAGTATTGTAGTGGACGTCTCCCCTACAACTGCCTACAACTGCGTAGCCACAGCCACCACACGGCACCTCCACGCATTCCGACGTGCAGTCTCCTAGCAACCAAGCGAGAGCTGTCCCCAGATGGTACGGTTGCCTAGCAACGAAACTACTCACCGGCAACTTTCTGGGTTTTCCCAACATGATTCATAGAGGACTGGCGGCTGCTGCTGGGTATATAAGCTCTGTCTCTCCATTGAGATTCATTCTGACCATTCTTCTTGAACAAGCAACACCTCCTCCTCCGCCGCTGCCTGGCTCCCTTCGCTTCTCCTCGCCTGCCTGGCGGTCCTCGCTCCCGCCAGCGAGCATGGCGACCCACCAGCTGCCCTTCTCTGAGCTTCCTCACCAACCAACTCTCATTCTGCCCATCTTCCTGAACAAGCAACACCTCCTCCAGCAAGCTCCACGCACCAGACTGTCTATCATATAACTTATATTATATAAGAAAACCACATTAGAGTTTCCTTCCATCCTGAGTGCTAGACAACATTAATATCTCGATACCCCTACAATACTATAGATAGATAGATAGGCTATAGTAAAGAAAAAAAGGTAAGGAATACAGATGAATGGAGAGCAATATATATATATATATATATATATATATATATATATATATATATATATATATATATATATATATATATATATATATATATATATATCTTGATAAAATCATACGGAAAAGGGAAACAACGGAGCACCTTAGCTTTCGTCTTTATTCAAGATATTTCAGAGGCAACTCCGTTGTTTCCCTTTTCCCGTGTGATTTTATCAAGATTTATCTTATCCACGTTTTTCATTAGAAATATATATATATATATATATATATATATATATATATATATATATATATATATATATATATATATATATATATATATATATATATATATATATGTGTGTGTGTGTGTGTGTGTACAGGGGTACTGTGGTGATGGGTGGAAATGACGTGGGTGTCTGGTAGGTGTTACCTGTCAGTTTGGTTTTGGAGGCATCAACGTTCGCATCAGCGGCGTCCACAAGGAGTTGTAGCCCGTCCACTACAGTCGCCTGGAAGATGAGATAACCTTACTTCTCTCTCTCTCTCTCTCTCCGTCTTTCTATGGCTCAAAGGCCTTATCACCATCACATCTCAGAAAATACATAAATAGAAAATATGTGAAGAAATTTATAAAATTAGATTAAGTGCCACGAAATCTAACCTAACCTCACCTGTGTCTGTTCTCTGCGTTGCTTTACGACCTTGGTCAGATGCTCCTCTATGAAGGTGATGTTGTTACGTTTGTTCTCCGGGATGAGGAGACGGATCAGGTCATACAACATAGGGAAAGCCACAATGAACTTGAAGATGCAAGGTATGGGCTGACTCACGTACTTCCTCATGAATGCCAGCACCTCATTCTGTTCATAAAATTTTAAGTAGTCCTTTCAAGGCGTCTTACCTGACTGTCACACTTTGTTATTGTACCTAACCCTTTGAGTCCTGGAGGGTGATGGCTATATCATCGTCCTCTACGAGTTTAAACCGTCACCCTCTAAGGGTTAAACTATCGTCATCAACGGGTTAAATCATTATTAATATATTCAGGTACAAGACCCGAGTATGCGCCAGTCAGTGAGAGATGAATAGACAAGCAATGGGCAGACTAAAAAAATTAGCTATGAAAAATAAACTAAATAAAAAAAAATATGAAACGATATTGTATAAATGAATGTTATTGTTGACAAAGGCGGACGTGATTGTGGTGATGAAGGTAAGGTAAGGTAAGGTTACCTTTGGGTTCTTGATGCAGTTGATATCGAGAGTGATAGCACAGCGATTGATGACATCCATGGTGAGACACTGAAAAGCCTCCATCATGTCAATGGGTTGGCCAGAGTCGGCGGCTGTTTCATACATGTCCATCAGTTCCTCTACACACCCGCCCATCAGCGGCATCATCTACCAACACATAATATGTTCTTTGATTAAAATTCACTTGTCTTATTTATACTGAAACACGAAATAAACTTACGAGAATTATACTAATCTGTATTCTCTAAAGCAATTTCATATTAGTACAGTATGGGGCAGAGAAACTATGGGTGAGTTCATGTAGAGATATCAACAGTTGGTGGAGTATGACAGTGTTGGTGGAGTATGATAGTGTTGGTGGAGTATGACAGTGTTGGTGGAGTATGACAGTGTTGGTGGAGTATGACAGTGTTGGTGGAGTATGACAGTGTTGGTGGAGTATGACAGTGTTGGTGGAGTATGACAGTGTTGGTGGAGTATGACAGTGTTGGTGGAGTATGACAGTGTTGGTGGAGTATGATAGTGTTGGTGGAGTATGACAGTGTTGGTGGAGTATGATAGTGTTGGTGGAGTATGACAGTGTTGGTGGAGTATGACAGTGTTGGTGGAGTATGACAGGCAGGAGTATGATAGTGGCAGGAGGCGACAGCAGCAGGAGAAGATGACAGTAAGCAGGGAGTATGATAGTGTTAGGAGTATGACATGACAGTGTTGGTGGAGTATGATAGTTTTGTGGAGGCGACAGTGTTGCAGTATGACAGTGTTGGTGGAGTATGATAGTATGACATGATAGTGTTGGTGGAGTATGATAGTAAGCAGGAGTATGACTGTTGTGGAGCATGAGTATGACAGTGTTAGTGAGCAGTGTTGGTGGCATGACAGTGGAGGCGATATAGTATATAGTGTTGGTGAGTACATAGTGTTGGTGGAGTATGCAGAGTATGATAGTGTTGGTATGACAGAAAGCAGGACAGACAGTGTTGGTGAGTATGATAGTGTTGGTGGAGTATGACATGACAGTGTTGGTGGGAGGCTGATAGTGTTGGTGGAGCGAGTAGTGTTGGTGGAGTATATGACATGACAGTGTTGGCAGTATGACATGACAGTAGTATGATAGTATGTTAGTATGACACATGATAGTGTTAGGATGATAATGACAGTAGCAGGGGGAGGACAGCAGGAGTATGACAGTGTTAGTGGAGTATGACAGTGTAGGTGGCGACAGTGGAGTATGACATGACAAAGTGTGGAGTATGACGATAGTATGACATGACAGTGTTGGTGGAGTATGACAGGTGACAGGAGGCGACAGTGTTGTGGGAGTGATATATGATAGTGTTGGTGGAGTATGACAGCAGGAGTATGACAGTGTTGGTGGGAGTATGATGGTGGGAGTAGTATGACAGTATGACAGTGTTGGTGGAGTATGACAGTGACAGGCAGGGAATGATAGTGTTGGTGGAGATGACAGTGTTGGTGGAGTATGACGGTGTTGTGTATGACATGAGTAAGCAGGGAGGCAGGAGTATGACAGGAGTATGACAGTGTTAGTGAGTATGATAGTGTTGGGGAGTATGACAGTGTTAGTGGAGTATGACAGTGCAGGGAGTATGGTGGAGTATGACAGTGTTGGTGGAGATGACAGTGTTAGTGGAGGTGATAGTGTTGGTGGGAGTATGACAGTGTTAGTGGGTATGACAGTAAGCAGGGAGTATGATAGGGCAGTGTTGGTGGAGGACAGGTGTTGGTGGAGTGACAGCAGGAGGCGACAGTACAGGAGTATGTACAGTGTTGTGGAGTATGACAGAGTATGACAGTGTTAGGTGGAGGCGATAGGCAGGAGTATGGCTGTTAGCGTATGATGGTGTTGGTGAGTATGACAGTATGACAGCAGGAGGCGACAGTTAGGAGTGTTAGGGAGTATAGAGTAGTATGACAGTGTTGTGAGCATGACAGTGTTAGACAGGCAGGGAGTATGACAGTGTTAGGTGGAGGAGTAGGTTGGTGGGAGTATGATAGTGTTGGTGGGAGTATGACAGTGTTAGTGGAGTATGACGATGGAGCATGACAGGAGTGTTGGGTGAGTATAGTGTTGGTGGAGTATGACAGTGTTAGTGGAGTATGACATGGCAGGAGTATGGTGGAGGATATGGCGACAGTGTTGGTGGAGGCGGAGTATGACAGTGTTAGTATATGACAGGCTAGTAAGGGTATGATAGGAGTTGGGGAGTATGACAGTGTTGGTGGAGTATGACAGTGTTGGTGGGAGTATGACAGTGTTAGTGGAGTATGACAGGTGGAGTATGACAGTAAGCAGGAGTATGATAGTGTTGGTGGAGTATGAGTGTTAGTGGAGTATGATGTTAGTGGAGAGACATGACAGGCAGGGAGGCGACAGTGTTAGTGGAGTAGTGACAGTGTTAGTGGAGTATGGTGACAGTGGGTGGAGATGACAGTAAGACAGTGTTGGTGGAGTATGACAGTGTTAGTGGAGTATGACAGTGTTGCGTGAGGCGACATGACAGTAAGCAGTTGGTGGAGTATGACAGTGTTGGTGGAGTAGTAAGCAGGAGGCGTGACAGTGACAGTAAGCACAGTGAGGCTGACAGTGTTATGAGTATGAGTGTTAGGTGGAGTATGACAGGGGAGGGCGACAGTGTTGTGAGTATGACAGTAGTATGACAGTAAGATGGCAGGAGTATGACAGTGTTGGTGGAAGCAGGAGTATGACAGTGTTAGTGGAGTATGACAGTGTTGGTGGAGTATAGTGAGTGACAGTGTTGGTGGAGGCGACAATGCCAGGAGGCGACAGTAAGCAGGTGCGACAGTGTTGGTGGAGTATGACAGTGTTGGTGGAGTATGACAGTGTTGGTGGAGTATGACAGTGTTAGTGGAGTATGACAGTGTTGGTGGAGTATGACAGTGTTAGTGGAGTATGACAGTGTTGGTGGAGTATGACAGTGTTGGTGGAGTATGACAGTGTTGGTGGAGTATGACAGTGGAGGAAGCACTCTTACTTTCTTCATCTTTGCGCTGGAGAACACCGGGGTCATGATTCGCCTCACATCCTTCCACTGTTGGTCTCTCAAAAAGATCAACATTTTCTTGTCTGTTCCGAAGAACTGTTTTCATAAAACACAAGTTGGAAATAATTAACCAGAATATAACTTAAAACTTGATCTATGGGGTTTCAAGTTAGGTTAGGTTAGGTTAATTTAGGGCCTCATAAAAATGTAGTCCATTTGACCTGTTTTCATTTCATGTTTCATTATATTTGTTATTTATTTCACCATAAACTTTATAACGTAACCTACAACTGAGTGAATGTCTTACTTTATAACATAGAGGATATCAGTTCACAATCGCTCAAGAACTGCACTTCTATACCATCAAGTGCATAAACTGTACTTATTATCAGGCAGCAGTAACCTGGCCAACTGATTAAGGAGACTAACATAACGATGATGTAAAATTATTAAGTGATTGTCTTATCTTGTGTCCGTCCAACTAGTGTTGTGCCTGTCAGGTACGTTAGATTAGGTTAAGTCAGGTTTACTGACCAACGTTATAAGTGTTGGTCATGAGCTGTTTAGACGAGTTTCTTGATAACAATAGTTTCCTCGCGTAACGTAACGTAACCTAACCTAACCTAATATAACCTAACAAACTAAACTAATCTAATCTACCAGAATCTAAACCAAGCGCTAGGATTGGACCCTAATGAGAGTCCCTTTAATCGTATTGCTTAAGTAACATTAGGTTAAAGCCTATTTGGACTAGGTACTGTTTTAGGACTAACTAGGGAGCCACTTGAGAATAATGATGAGGTTGGGTGCCACTTACAGATCGGTTGACGAAGTTATTGATGTCTTTCACGAGAATGTGTTTGAGCATATCCAGATCAGCCACCAGGACGCGGGGTATAGCTCCAGAGTAGAACCTGCCAAACAACCACAATTACTGTACAACAATGGATTTATTATGAGGTTTGAATGGTATATTAAAAAGTTTAAAATTGCTGATTCCATATAAATATTACCACCTACTTATTATTATTACCGAAATAACAGAAATATCGTCAACCTACTTGTTACTGTCGCCGAATTTGTGCAGGGAGAAGTGATTAAGGGAAATTTATTTATTTTGTTTGATAATGTTGTTCACACACACACACACACACACACACGCACGCGCTCTTTACTTATGATTACGATTACTATGAGGAAATTATCATCTCGATGAACCAGCATGAGGGCTGATAAACTACGCAGGTGCTCTACTCTAGTTGCATCTTATCTCCAAAAGTGAAAAAAAAGATTAGTGCTGATTATCTATAAATATGTGTATTAAAAGCTCATTTTTTGTGTGTGTAAAAGAAGGGTGTTGGTGCAGGTGTACTGGAAGTGTGTAAGAGGTGAAGGGTGTTGGTGTACTGGAGGTGTGTAAGAGGTGGAGGGTGTTGGTGTACTGGAGGTGTGTAAGAGGTGAAGGGTGTTAGTGTAGGTGTACTGGAGGTGAGTTGGGCCAGGTAACATGAGGGAAGAGGGCCACAGGTGAGACAAAACCTGCCTTATACTTAGTGACCTTGACCAGGCCGAGGTCTTACCTAGTCACTATCTTGTTATCGTCAAGTTTTCCGTAATGGCAAAGTTGTCCTTGTGAGAGAGAGAGAGAGAGAGAGAGAGAAAACTTTGAAAACTTACCCGACTACTTTGCCATACAGTTGCAGCCATTCATGTTTTACCTCCACCACTGACCGCTAATAAAAGAGAAGTAAATATTAGTACAAAGGTTTAGGCTACCATAGGTGTGGTCAGCACTAAGTTAGGTTACGTTACGTCAGGTTAAGTTACGTTAGGTTAAGTTAAGTTAGGTTGCCATTAGGGTGTTTAATCACCAGGTGAAATAAGTTGGGGTGCCTAATCTTCACGTGATCCAAGTGCTTCACTACAGGTACATGAAGTTCTCGCAAGTGTCACCAACATGACAACTTTTGATCAGTTTCATGTACAGTATGCCATCTGTGAGTCATAAGACACCAAAATGTCCAACTTTTGGACCACTGATCCGTAATTAATCAGCGTGTGCAGTCCTGCCTATAATCTACAGCCTAACTGTAAGGCCAACCCCTTGGTGAGGACATTAGTGAGGATACAGTGAGATCTGAGGACACTAGTGAGGATACAGTGAGATCTGAGGACACTAGTGAGGATACAGTGAGGTGTGAGGACACTAGTGAGGATACAGTGAGGTCTGAGGACATTAGTGAGGATACAGTGAGGTCTGAGGACACTAGTGAGGATACAGTGAGGTGTGAGGACACTAGTGAGGAGAGTGTGAAAAATGAGGGAGACGCCTACCTTGCCGGGGCTGTAGAATGTTTGCTCCATGTGACCCAGGAGCCAGTGGTATTTGGGTGTCGGGATGCCATTCCTCGCCAGCAACTGAAAGTGGTTCTTGCGTCTCCTGGGGAAGATGTCAAGTATTAGTTATGAGGAACCAAGTACAGACAAGACTGTAGCACTCCCCAAAACAAAGTTTCCTGTTTAAGTGGTGACATTTTGGCCATCTGCATCAAATAAGGCAAAGCTTGAAGCCCTTTTAAGTGAATGGATCAACGACCATTATCTGCCAAACTGTAGACCAGTTAAAAGTGTCCTGGGTGGCATTATTGGATAAGGCCAGTGTCAGTCTCTTTAATCATTGATTATAAAAATAATTCAGGAGTTGGAAGGTTTTAGTTTAGAAGAAGCATTTTACGGTTGGCTCTTAATGCTTGCAGTCAGAGGTGAAATTAAATGAGTATTGATCTTATCAAGTAATACTGTATGGATATTAATGTCTTGCTTCATACTACACTAAATTAATGCTAGAAATAATAATTTCCTACTATAGGCACTAAACTGGCGGCTCTGATCGGCACGTTAGCAACTTGGGCAGTCGGTCACGCCTCTGTTACACACTGTTGGCAAGTACTGGGATGTACTGGCTCCAGAATGTACACGTCAGTGTTGGTCAAGTCTGGCCTTGAATGAACTCACAGTACATATTTAATGACCGGTAGAGTGTCAAGCTTTTACTGTAAAGTATTCAGTGACATATTATATTTGGCTACGTATTCACAGTCGCTACATCACCTGAGCGATCGGGAGCATAGTCGTGTGTCCTTATTCAGAGACGGATACAGATCCGAAGGCAGACTTGGAACAATTCATAGAGAGAAGGCACCCACCTTACGGCAGTCCAGATGAATATAAAAACTTTTTAACCCTCCAAAGTTTGATACATTGAGATAGAATATATTCAAACCCGATAGGAAATGAGTTTCTAGCGATATAAAATCTTGCTTCCATATACATTCAAAGACTATCAGTTATTTACAAGAGTGAAATAATTTTGGCTGATCATGAGCGTACAGCTGTGCATCAACCAACACCGCGCTACCAGTACTGAGTCTCGAGTTATACAGCAGACAATGTTGTAGAGAAGAAACGGAAACATCTACTTAAGAGAATCTATACAAGAAGATGTTGCCTGTATAACATGTTGCTACAGCAAGAAATAAGGAAGGTTTAAATCTGTATTCCTTTACTTCGTTGGAAACAAACTGGTAAATATATCCACAAGACTGGCTACACAAGATTGGCTACACAACATTTTCTGAATAAATCATAAGTTTGTCTTGTCACGTACGGAGAGAGGATGAGGAGTGTTGGTTAACTTACCAAAGGAAGTGCGTGAGAAGGACCGCCAACACTGCCACCAGTACTACCGTTATCATCATCTTGCCGCTGTCTGACCAATACTATAGCTCACACGGTCACAACCCTTCTTTTATACACCGCCTTATCATATTGTGTAATTTGTCGTGATGAACTACTGTTCAGAGGATTGGTTGATCATATAAGCTGGCACATTTGTTGATTTGGCAACGTGTCACTCGTGGCAGTGTCATTCCCGATGTTCTTATTTATCCGTGGACGTAAAGAATATTGTCTTACACGATAAGAAAATTAGTAGGAAAGAACCACAATAATAAGCATTCCTTTACACCAACTTGGGGATGTGAGCAGGTGTTTGGGCCACGGTTAGGTTAGGTGTGGGGTCCTCCCCCAGCAGGAGTGTGGGGTTCTCCTCCAACAGGGGTGTGGGGGTCCCCCTTCAGCAAGAGTGTGTGGCTCCTCCTGCAGCAGGGGTGTGGGGTCCTCCTCCAGCAGGGGTGTGAGGGTCCCCCTCCAGCAGGGGTGTGAGGGTCCCCCTTCAGCAGGGGTGTGAGGGTCCCCCTTCAGCAGGGGTGTGAGGGTCCCCCTTCAGCAAGAGTGTGTGGGTCCTCCTCCAGCAGGGTTGTTGTGTATACAAATTTAATCATTAAGAGGTTACACTAGAGGTTCACGATACTTGTGTGTGAAATGTCATGTGGCTAACATCCTCCTCGCAAGTGATCGAACCTGGGACACAACTGTGGTAGGCCTGCGCGTTATCACTTTGGTCTTTAAATTTTCCACGTTTTTTTTTTTTTTTTACTTTTTCTATATTACTGTGAATATTTTATAATATTCTTCAACTTTCTCGTTCCTTTCTTCTCCTTCCCTTTAGCACTAACTGTTATCAATGTCTCAACTATCTTCTTTGATCTATGACTGCGTTGTGTTGTTATGAATCCCTGCCGGATATGTGCAGGTAACGCCTGTTGGGCGTCAAGAGACAGCTAGACAACAATAATGGTAGTTCTTGTAGTTGAAAAAATCGCTTAACACCAAAAGACACTAGTCTACAGTAAACGTTCAGAAACACTTTCCTTCGATGTCATCACTGGATTATTCCTCACCTGTTTTCAGCAATACATGTGATTTGGATTTGTTTTTATTTTGTTTTTTTATCAATTATAAAACACTTGACCTCAATGATATAGTCAGTTCACCGTATCTAGGAGCAGTACTGCTGCACCTGATGTACCCGGGACAAGCGATCTCCGGCACGTCACCACACTACTTCCTCTTCAGTTGTCACAATTCTTTGTAACTTAGAAATATTTCACATTATTTTTAAATATAAGGATCACCTGAAGATTTGCCCCCTACTAGTTTATATCATAAGATTTTATCATCTAAAGTTCCCCTAACCTAAGTCAGGCTAGTTAGTCTAGGTTCGTTAGGCTAGATTAGGTTAATCTAGCTAAGGTTAGGTTAGGCACTTCTTAACAGCAATATTGTTTTTTGTTTTGTTTTCAGATGATCACAACTGTCATGTCTGAAGCAACTTATTCTATACAACTGTTTTCTCTCAATAATACTATACTATTATTACCGTCATCAATGAGTTCCTTCACTTGGTAATTTAAACAAGTTCCTCTTGAGGGAGTAAAAACAGTGTAATAGCCAAGAAAGATGACTTTACATCACTGGGTAGTTATCGGACAGTGATAACTAGAGTATTTTGTGCTGGTGTGAGTGGGTGATATGATCTCGTTTAACATGAAAATTACAAGGGATACATGCTGGGTAGCCGCCTCCCCTCACATCATTGCCAAGACGTTATCGACTCTACCTACCTACTAACCCGCCATCTTGATCTTTAGCCCTAACTGTAATCCAATAGACGACCTTCACCATTCCATCCATAAATATTTACAGCAAGGTCTTGGTGCGACTTTATGTTTACACTCTTTATCGGTCTTTCATTCGTGCTTGAGTTGTCTTTAGCTGTTTTATCAGTTATGTGGCCAGATATTAAAGATTAAGAAATAATATTCTTCAAATTCTTTTCTTGAAATAGAAAAAGAAAGTTTATAGTTATATTTATGGTCTTTAACTTTTTATCTGTTAGTGTGTGTGTGTGTAAAGTGTGTAAAGCCTTGGCACTCAGAAAGCCTAGTCAGTCATCACATTTAAAACTTTTCTGTCAAGTTTCACGATCGTCAACAACATAAGATAGATGGATAAATAAATAGATATAGATACTTATTCATTAAAATCGTTATATAAGTTCATACTGATTCAGCATGCAGACAGACTGTGCAGGTATATAAACAATGTATATATTATAGGTATACAAACAATATACACAGGCAGTGCAGGTATATAAACAATGTATATATTATAGGTGTACAAACAATATACACAGGCAGTGCAGGTATATAAACAATGTATATATTATAGGTGTACAAACAATATACACAGGCAGTGCAGGTATACACTATACATAATATCCGACCACCAAGGATAACCCAACAAATCCGTCATATGAATCTTTCTAGTAAGTATACTCAACCCTCTACGCTACGGCAACATACAAGATGGAACCTAAAACAAATTAATTAGTTTAACTTTTACTAACTTAAAGATTATGTTAACATGATCACATGAGCTATAACGATAAACTAAAGGAAACATTATAAATAAAATATATACACTACACATTATAGGTCATGATAAAGTACCAAAAAACATTACAACAATTGCCCCTACTGCTTGTGAGCTAGGATATGTGGTGAAATGTCCAGGAATTAATGTTATAAACTTTAAATAAAATTAGGTAAGTTGGTCCATTAAAATATGACTTACTGTACTATCATAGAATACGAATAATTCTTCAAGGTATAACTATAAAAATCCCTTCATCTACCACCACACCTACCCACCATAACCTTTAATGGGTTGATTGGGAATTTATTATATACACAATAAAATACAGTATAAGTAAGTATTTCTCATACGGTATAACAGAACCCCGAGGACAACACGAGATATAATTATGTCCATTGGTGGCCTCAACTATTAGAGTATTATAACAACTTAACAATGGATGAAAGTTGTCACCTATAACTGAATTTAGGGGAAAGTGACTCAAAATTTATAATCTTAACAAAAAAACAATGGCTCAGAATTCATGTTTGTGATCAATTGTCAACACTACATTTTGTCTGGTGTGTTGCGTTGTACTTCTCCCTCCTACACAGACAGAGAACCTAATATCTTTGTAATAAACCCACGCCTCAATAAATATAGGAGAGAGAGAGAGAGGTGGAAAAGGAAAGAGGTGTTAGTATGGTGAGAGGGAAGGAAGGTGGTGAAAAGAGATGGTAAATAATCAATATAAAAGGGGAATCGTCCACAATAAGAGTTAAAAGATCAGCAGTAAGACAATATTCTGATAAAGTCATTATAAATTCTGTGTCCCATTATGAGGTGTTGTTTTTTTTTATCTTTAATCCACTTGTGAATATACAGTAAGTTGGTCCGTCGCTCGTCACGATCTTCAAGAGTGAGATGCTTCCCGTCTGAAGTATTTTCATCCCGTCTGGTCCCCAAGGTATGCTAGAGATTGTCAATTAATTGAAAATGTCCAAAGGAGGGCCACCCGATTGATGCCTACTCTACGGAACCTCAGTTACCCAGAGAGATTGGAGCACCTGCAACTACCTAGCTTATACAGTACTACAGACGGGCGAGGGGCGACCTAATCGAAGTGTATAAACATCTCAGGGTGTCATGGTCACGTTGACTGCTGATCTATTTAACTAATGATTCTTATTAAACTCCACGCCCGCAAAACATGAGTGAGTTAGCGACCCCTGAGAAGACGTGTTTTTTCCCCATACACGCTACACTTGTGTTCCCTCCCAGAGTCCCGCCTTTGTGAAGACAGTTATCAATGCGTTGTTATTCCACTTTCTCCTGGGAAGCTCAATCTTTAATTAGTCTGTGTAAATCAACTCAAGTAATTCGCCAGACCTTTGTCAACTGAGGGTCATCTTTGAATGAGTAACATTTAGTTTGTTTGTAATTATTGTCATTGCGTGAGTAGCGATCACTGGCACCTCATGGGTATATATCCCCCAAGATGAGCCAGGGAGAGCACTCCTTGACGCTGCTCCAATGTTTCTCCAGATCCCATGGCGATTCTTGCAACCATTCAACAACGGCCACGGATGTAGTACATACCCAGCAGGGATCATATATGAAACGATGGCACCGATGCGGCCTGATTAATGCACCCCACGGCTTCGTTGGGCCAGACTCCAGACTCGCCATGTGTCTGGCTACCCCACAATAACAACGGTCGTGAGCCCTAGTGTTCTACCCTGGGTTGCTCCTTAGAAGTATATGTCCACAGAGAGTGTTGTAACATGTATGTTAGGGATAATTAGTTGGAAATAATTATCTCATGTCGGGTAGTGGACCCCTGTATATGCTAGTGTCAGTATTAATGTATGTTGAGTAAAATAATCTACAATGAGTGCCATGTAATGTAACACCAATAATGTTGTGTGCAGTAAGAATGTAAGATCTGAGTCATTACTGTTGAATAAGTAAGAATGTAGGAACTGAGTCTGCAATAAGCCCAGGAGTTGAGCCTGGTAGTTATATGATTAATACAATATCTTTCCCCATTGATTGCATATTAATAAATTTGTTCTTAGAGTACTTTAGGTGTATTCATTTCTCCCACAGTATTTTACCTTTATTTCCATCCAAGTGACTTGATACCAGAATTCCCATACCCATGTGCCTAGACCCTCGACCATGCTACCAAAAGAATGTCCATGCTACCAAAGGAATGTCCATGCTACCAAAAGAATAGGTGACGGAACTGAGTAAGAGTAAGACTACGAGAAGTAAGTAAGATGAGGGTGGTGTAGATACAGAGTAGGAACACGCGCCCTCACAAGGGGGCACTACTCGGTTGAATGTACTGTACATACTTGGAGCTGGCGGACGTCCGCCCCACAAGGGGTCACAGCTCAAGGTTTAAGAAACCACAAGTCCAGAAAACTGTGAAGGCAATTTTTTCGGAGTGAGAATTGTGAACTCTTGGAACAATGTGCTGGAGAGCGTTGTGACGGCACAGAGTGTGAGCTCATTCAAGGCCAAACTTGACCAACACTGGTGCAGGTTCCGATATATTCAGGAGCCAGTGGAGGCCCAATATCTGCCAACAGTGCGTGTCAGAGACGTGACCGACCGACCCAGTGGCTAACGAGCCGATCAGTAGTGAAGAGGATAAAAGTAAAAAGTAATCACATTAAGCTTCGTATTTTCACTGAGGAGACAATTAGTGTAAGGCTTCCTTCCCTCGGCATGGTCACTTCCTGTTGGGATGGGTATTAGGTAAGTCCCCGTTGAAATGATAATAATTTACATTTTCTATACATAGCTATATATGTTATGGTCCATTACTAACTATGGTATTTTGGCGGCGAGAGACAAGCACCTCCAGTTTGTTTATTTTTGTATATTCGGTTAGGTTAAGTCCAGCATGATTTGTTATATTAAATTTAGTTAGATTAAGTTAGATTTAAGTGATATAAGCGAGGGTTCCATGGCTTCATGGTAACCGTACACTGACAGAAGACGAAGTTAACTTATTTTCAGTATGATATAATGATAAGGGTTTGACAGGACACGTGTGTGTGACGTTGTGGTAAGCATACAGTAAACGCTATCACGTACAGTAAACGCGCGCGCACACAAACAGAGTTACTTAGTACACCATAAATGTGCTAACTTATTTGCAGTCAATATTTTACCATTTACGAATACATAATTATGGTTAATTCTTAGAGATACCTTTAAGCGCTATTCAGTAAGTCATAAGAAGACATCCAGGGATGGCAAAATCAGTTTCAACGTGGTTTAAAACAGGAATCGACGCTACTACTCACTTAAATCGGACATCTTGATGAAAAGATGCATTTTCAAGTCAGATGGTAGCCATCTTGAAAAACAGACGCCATGTTGGATTTTCAAGTGGCTAGCACTTTTTTCATAAAAGGCGACCCAAGGCGAGTATTCATGCCAACTTTCATGCTTGTATCACCATTTGAATGACTCGGCCCAAGACCACTCTTAGCTGATGCAAGTATATTGGAACAACTCCAGCAATCTTACACATTTAGAAGGGTACAGATAATTGTCATTTAATGGTAATGTTTTGGATGTCATGAAAATTAGTCACCCCAGCTTATTTCACCTGATTTAACACCCTAAAGCTACCTGGGGGTTAGGTTAGGTTAGGCTAGATTAGGTTAGATTGGGTAAAGTTACTTTAGGTTAGATTAGACTGGGTTAGGTTGGGTTATATGTGTATTCGGGTATTTATTCATCAGATGAAATAAATGTGGAGTTTTATTCGTCATGAAAACCAATATCTTCACATTGACAGACTATGAATAACACTATATGTTCTCCACTATAAAATGTGGGGGGTATAAAATCACTTAATACCGTAACGTTGCAACTTTCATTCTCAGAACCACGAAGACTACACCGAGTTTAACTGAATGGAATAAAACAATAACATATCCTTTACTGTAGTGATGAAGGACGAGATGCACCAGTGTGTGTGTATTTACTTTAGGTTAATGTATAATCAGTTGCAAAACGCTATGTGAGAAATAATACAAAAGCCAGTAAGAATGTGGGCATTGTGGAACCTCATGACGTCATTACAAGGAAGGCGTTGATATAAGGGGCGGGCGGTAGGGTTGACCCGCAGTGTGTTTTCGCGTCTGGCTGGAAGGAGTTGTCTACTTTGACCTCCTGCTTCAGGCTGTTTGGCTGTAACTTACGGTGAGTAAATTCATTTGTAAACACCGATTTTATATTTCATAAGACAAAACAAATTAAAATATTTGAGTTCGGTTAAAGATAACAAAATATCCGACAAGAGATCTGAACTGATGAGGTCTCCAAAAAAAAAAAAATACAGAAAGATCTAAACTAATTTTTTGAATGGTCTGAAAAATGGCAGATGAAATTTAATGTGGACAAATGTAAAGTACTAGTCTAGGAGATGTAAACAGAGAAACTAGACATCAGATGAACAACGTTGTTGTGGAGAAATCCGACTGTGAGAAAGATTTAGGAATAGGAATCTTAAACCAAGACAACAATCTGTATTTGCTCGAAACAAGGCTAACGAAGTACTTGGGTTCATACAAAGGAGTGTTAGTTATAAGACTAACGAGGTTATCCTAAAATTATATCTTGCGCTTGTGAGACCTCACTTGGGTTACGCGGTTCAGTTCTGGTCACCGTACTACAGAATGGATATAGAATCCTAAGAAAGAATTCAGAGGAGAAAGACTAGACTAATCCAGGGCATTAGGAACCTTGAGTACAGAGACAGGTTAAAATATCTTAATTTGCACTCCCTCGAGAGACGTAGAGTGACGGGCGATATGATAGAGGTGTATAAATGGAAGGCAGGGCTAAACAAAGGGGATATTACAAAGGTACTCAAGCTATCCAACCAGGAGCGAACTCGTAGCAATAGTTTTAAATTAGACAAATTTAGATTTAAGCGAGAGATAAACATTGGTTTGAAAATGGAGTAGTGGAATAATTAAGTTAACAAACATCATCATTAACTCGATTTTTTTTACAGGATTAGCCCACCAGAGCACAGGTCAATGACCCACATCAGGGCCCGAGGGCGAATAATAATAATAATAATAATAATAATAATAATAATAATAATAATAATAATAAATAAAAACACACAAAAAAGAGATTAATAGTGAGAAACAATAAATGTATGTTGTGTTGTCAAAGTAAGAGAAACAATTGACTCCCTGCAATTCTGTGTAAATGAGGCAGAAAGTCAGTTCAGCAACCTGGGACTTACGCAGCACAGCTTCAAATATAGGTTGGATGGATGCATGAGTGATAGGGGTGGGAGTGAACGGGACTGTAAATTATTCGCGTCAGGTTACCAGGCAGTATGTGTCCATAACGTTTGTCCGTGAAGTAAAATAAATATACAATAATTCTGCTCTTGTTGTCAACTTTTTCAACAACATACCAGTGTGGAGAGGTGAGGTGCAGGTCATTATGGGGGAGTTTGTCTCTCGTGAAGGTGTGGAGAGGTGTGGTGCAGGTCATTATGGGGGAGTTTGTCTCTCGTGAAGGTGTGGAGAGGTGTGGTGCAGGTCATTATGGGGGAGTTTGTCTCTCGTGAAGGTGTGGAGAGGTGTGGTGCAGGTCATTATGGGGGAGTTTCTCTCTCGTGAAGGTGTGGAGAGGTGTGGTGCAGGTCATTATGGGGGAGTTTCTCTCTCGTGAAGGTGTGGAGAGGTGTGCAGGTGCAAGGTCATTATGGGGGAGTTTGTCTCTCGTGAAGGTGTGGTGCAGGTCATTATGGGGGAGTTTGTGTGAAATGATGCAGGAACAGAAGTTTCTCTCTCGTGAAGGTGTGGAGAGGTGTGGTGCAGGTCATTATGGGGGAGTTTGTCTCTCGTGAAGGTGTGGTGCAGGTCATTATGGGGGAGTTTGTGTGAAATGATGCAGGAACGAAGTGTCTATCTCCGCTGTGTACACCACCTCAGCCAATTCTATGCTTTGTTTTTCCTCTCCTCCACTTCGTCCACCACCGTCACAACTTCCTCCTCCACCATCACCACCACCCCCTCCACCTCCAAGGGTAAACTCACACACACACACACACACACACACAGGCCGCCATGTACTCCAGCAGCAGTTATCATGTATTTATCACCTGATATATGTCATTAACACGCAATAAACGCTCGGGTTTATCATGATTATGATAATTCCTGATTTACTCAAACGTGTCCACACCAAACTTTTGTTTTTTTACGACGAAAGAGATAAAAAACAAGGGCTTAGAAGTGAAAGACAACAAGCATCTACAGCTTGTGGGTGTGTGAGGGAGGGAGAGGTGAGCTTGTGGGTGTGTGTGTGTGTGTGTGTGAGGGAGTGAGAGGTGAGCCTGAGGGAGAGGTGAGCTTGTGGGTGTGTGTGTGTGTGTGTGTGTGTGTGTGTGAGGGAGTGAGAGGTGAGCCTGAGGGAGAGGTGAGCTTGTGGGTGTGTGTGGGTGTGTGTGTGGGGGAGTGGAGGTGAGCCTGGGGAGAGGTGAGCTTGTGGGTGTGTGTGTGTGTGTGTGTGTGTGTGTGTGTGGGGAGTGAGAGGTGAGCCTGGGGAGGGTGGGCTGTGGGGTGTGTGGGTGTGTGTGGGGGTGAGGTGAGCCTGAGGGAGGTGAGCTTGTGGGTGTGTGTGTGTGTGTGTGTGTGTGTGTGTGGGGGTGAGGTGAGCCTGAGGGAGGTGAGCTTGTGGGTGTGTGTGGGTGTGTGTGTGAGGGAGTGAGGTGAGCCTGTGGATATGTGTGTGTGTGTGTGTGTGTGTGTGTGTGTGTGCGCACGTGATCATTAATATTTTCCATACAATTATTCGGTATATTTTTTACAACCTGGCGTGCTCTCTCTTTTACACACACACACACACACACCACTCGGTGTCTCCATGGCCACGTGAGGTCCTTCATATCAACACCTGAGGACGAAATACTGCACCATGTGGCCTACGTGACTCCACACAGTATGGCAAGCAGTATGGCAAGAGTCCAGCCCGGGCCATCAACTGCAAACTATAATAATTTGTATGTTCAATTCATGTTCCTTCCCCTTTTAGTAATGAAAGTTTTTTGTTAAACGACCCACCTACCCCATGTCTTTGTTTGTAATAAGTCATTTTTGTCTAATTTATATTTTCAGCCTTCGAGCTACTGAACTTTCTCAATAAACCGTAAATGATTACTATTACACACACACACACACACCTTGTAGCTCGACCTAGTCCCTAACACACACCCTGCCCACACCCTCTGTGTACCTGAGTTGAGCAAGCCAGACCCAACTCTTAAACCAACACAATTTCTCTCCCGGTCGTAGCACGATTGACAATGAAAAAATCTCTCTCTCTCTCTCTCTCTCTCTCTCAGTGCCAGCCACAGAAAAATGATGCACGATAGCTGAAGGTGTAGTTGTAGGTGAAGTGAAGGTGTAGGTGAAGGTCTAAAAAATGGGGATTTCGTAATGACAAGGAACCCCAATTTATTTCACCTGGTGATAAAACACACTGATGCAAACCTAACCTGACCTAACCTAACCTAATTCTCACCTAGCCACACCTAAAGTACCTTACCTAACCTAATGCCAACCTAATAAAACGTAACCAAATCCAACTTAATGCTAACCTAGCCTAACATAATCTAACCTAACGTAATCTAATTTTTAGAACAGAATATAAACAAATATTTTTGACGAATATGGAGTGTGCTGATGTGGCGGAACATTACTCAAGTTTCCGTGTTCCGGGAAACAACAAGACTGATCACATTTACTGGCGTCAGCAATGAGCCCATGTGTTGAGGCCCTCGATCATAGACGTTGAGGGCCTTCATCACAGATGTTGAGGGTCTTAATCATAGATGTTGAGGGTCTTAATCATAGATGTTGAGGGCCTTGATCACAGGTGTTGAGGGCCTTGATCACAGGTGTTGAGGGCCTTGATCACAGGTGTTGAGGGCCTTGATCACAGGTGTTGAGGGCCTTGATCACAGGTGTTGAGGGCCTTGATCACAGGTGTTGAGGGCCTTGATCACAGGTGTTGAGGGCCTTGATCACAGGTGTTGAGGGCCTTGATCACTCAGTCAAGGAATAGTTTAAATGTCGCTCCTGAACCACAACACGGATATTTACCCTTGATTATCGAGTCACATACTAATGAATTTTATCAAAATATATAATACACACGCAGTTTAGCCAGGTGTGTGTGTGTGTGTGTGTGTGTGTGTGTGTAAGGGCCAGTGTCCGCCTGTAGTGTGTACATAGTGAGGTCTGCACATATGACGTCAAGACCTCCTTTATGGGGAAGTTCCCGCCAGCGAAGTGTAGGAGGGAAGGGGGAGGGAAAGGTCAACATTGTAAGAGAGGAGGAGTCACAGAGGGCCACCAGAGAGAAAGAAAAGTGTCTGAAAACATTCACTGTAGACCAAACCTAAATTATACCTTTAGGTAGCGTTAGGTTAGGCTAGGCTAGGAGCGCTAGGGTGAATCATTCATCTTGGGTTGAAATAAGCTATGGGTGTTGACTCTCGAGGTGATCCGTGTGGAGCAGGAAGAAAGAGTGGTGAGGGGGCAAGGTGCAGGTACCGAACAATGTTTGTGGCCCAGGTCTTACACAACACTCCCGGCTGTTGATGTTCGCTGGCCTTGGCATCGCCCTGGGATCGTCCCCTTCAGTGCAAGTCGACAGGTTTATGGTGGTAGTTATTGTTGGAACTACCTGATGGAGTTGATCATATATTAATCGTTAACACAATACAACACAATTTGAAGTACAGCCCAACGTCGAATGACTGGAGTCTTCTGGGTTATGATTTAAGCTGTGACTTTGGCTTAAAAATGCTTTAGTTTTGTGTACAAATTATAGTTGCGATGATTGGCAGTATGTGTAACAGCTTCGCTCACGTCTCATAGAAGATGTGCTCCTTGTTATATCACCATACTTTGTCTGTCACCTATTCATAGTTATTGAAACATAAATTGTCAATATGGATGAAAAGGGGAGAACATTTAGTGAAGGTTGGTCCTCTTAAACAAATGGTAACTGTAGTACTAATTACAAATCTCACTTGAAATGGTGAGGGTTTTTCTTCTCCCAATTAACACACAATGGGTGATATTTCTTCCAGTACAGACTATTATCCTTTACCATTATATCTTTATCTATTTACAGGAGATAGACCACATGTGTGCAGCCCTCGCGTTCAGATCAAACGGAACCCCTCTCCCTTCGTCAGTAATCAAGGAGGTACTCGAACACATTAAACATATTAATCCTAATACCCCCACGATCACGACTAAACATCTGGCGGAGGTTGTGTACTTTACCATTCAAGAGGAGGAATATGTGTGGTGGTTGCGGGAAGGAAGTGGCGGGCTGGTGGGCGCTGGTAGTGTTGCTGCTGACTAGGGTGACCACGGTAAGTAATCCTGTTGGTAGTATGTACGAGAGAGAAGGGAGAGAGAGAGAGAGAGAGAGATTCATACAATCGCTTAAATTTGAAGCAAATTTAACACAACACGGGACTCTTCTACCCTTCTGTAGGCGACGCCGGAGGAGAGGCTGCTGGGAGATAAGGCTTTACCACCACAGGACCTTCTTGCTTTTCTCCCTATCACTTTAAAAAGGCTACATTGACGAAGGAGGAGTAACAGACGGGACGGAATGCGAAAGTTGATTTACACAGTATCTTTCTATCTTCCTGCAGGCGGCGGCGACGACGGAGGACAAGACGGGGGTGGTTAGGTTCTCGCCGGCGGATTTGCTGAAGGTGGTGGATGGCACCAACCACCTGGTTACTTGGTTCACTAACGTTACAGTCACCGTGGATCGTGTGGCAGCCTACGTGGTGGACCAGGTGAGGATGGAGGGGGGGAGAGGGAGAGCATAATGGGGAAAGACGTGAGAGGAGGAAGTGAGGTAGAAGAGGAGTAGAAAGTGATGAGAGAAAGAGACATGCTTACGTTAGTAAGAGGAAGACAGATGTGTAAATAGATTGATTATATTACATAACCTTTAATCTTATTTCACCTCCACCCTGTAACCCTATGTGACGGTGTGTGTGTGTGCCGTCGCAGTTTGTGTCAGAGGTGAGGGGAATCGGGGAGCCCATGCAATGTACTCCAGAGAACGACAACCTGGTGGCCTGTAGCAACGTGACCTACTACGGCGAGGTGAACATTACCGCGCTCTACCTGGGTTTCAGTAACCTACACGTGGTACTTTATGACGAGAACAATCAGGTGAGTCATTCACTGACAGAAATGTGTATAAAGATGATTTCAACCTTACTGACATATAGTAACTGATGTTTTAATTATTCAGAATGCATTTAATAATATTGGCGCTCATTAAGTAACACAAATTTTAAGATTTAGAAACCAGATGCTTAACCAACATGTAATTGAGTGCATGTAAACCCAAAATTTACCCCATGTGACAGTATACACACTATCATTGTATACCCCATGTGACAGTATGCACACTAACATTGTATACCCCATGTGACAGTATACACACTATCATTGTATACCCCATGTGACAGTATACACACTATCATTGTATACCCCATGTGACAGTATACACACTAACATTGTATACCCCCATGTGACAGTATACACACTAACATTGTATACCCCATGTGACAGTATACACACTATCATTGTATACCCCATGTGACAGTATACACACTAACATTGTATACCCCATGTGACAGTATGCACACTAACATTGTGACAGTATACACAACATTGTATACCCCATGTGTATACCCCATGTGACAGTATACACACTATCATTTATATGTGACAGTATGCACTAACATTGTATACCCCATGTGACAGTATACACACTATCATTGTATACCCCATGTGACAGTATGCACACTAACATTGTATACCCCATGTGACAGTATACACACTATCATTGTATACCCCATGTGACAGTATGCACACTAACATTGTATACCCCATGTGACAGTGCATAACATGTGACAGTATACACACTATACCCCATGTGACAGTATACACACCATATACATTGTATACAGTACACACTATGTGACAGTATACACTAACATTGTATACCCCATGTGACAGTATGCACACTAACATTGTATACCCCATGTGACAGTATACACACTATCATTGTATACCCCATGTGACAGTATACACACTAACATTGTATACCCCATGTGACAGTATACACACTATCATTGTATACCCCATGTGACAGTATGCACACTAACATTGTATACCCCATGTGACAGTATACACACTATCATTGTATACCCCATGTGACAGTATACACACTATCATTGTATACCCCATGTGACAGTATGCACACTAACATTGTATACCCCATGTGACAGTATGCACACTAACATTGTATACCCCATGTGACAGTATACACACTAACATTGTATACCCCATGTGACAGTATACACACTAACATTGTATACCCCATGTGACAGTATACACACTATCATTGTATACCCCATGTGACAGTATGCACACTAACATTGTATACCCCATGTGACAGACGGTAGCAGAAGGGGTGATGGAGATGGCAGTGGTGTTGAGAGACCAGAACATAACTCTCATCTATACGTACATCTCCTCAGCATTGGCTATCATTGCCTACTTCATCATGGGAGCCTCTGTCGACTTCAAGATTATCAAAGGCATTACCAAGAAGCCAGTCGGTCCAGCCATAGGAGCCATTTCCCAGTTTGTTATCATGCCTATGGTGAGTAACGGTGGGTGGGAGGGAGGGAGGGAGGGAGGGAGGAGGGGGGAAGAAAGGAAAGGAGTAAAAGATGGATTCAGAGAGAGAGAGCGAGAGAGAGAGAGAGAGAATATTCACACTATGGGTTCTCAAATTATTCCCCAAATAATTAAGTTATCACTAGCATGTAATTCCTCACCGTCACGCTGACGAGTGTTACAGTAAATAAAAATTATCATAAACATTGCCACTGTCAACAACTTATAAGATGTAAAGTTTTGTGTAACCGCTGTGTGTGGGAGACACACACACACACACCTCAGGATTGCCACATCATGGTGTTGTGATATGTGTATGTGTGTGTGTGTGTGTGTGAAAGAGGAATTAAGCAGCCACAACTACTACACCTTCCCAACCACACCTGAACACTACACCTGTCAACCACACCTGTTAATCACATCTGTCAACCACACCTGAACACTACACCTATTAACCACACCTGTCAACTACATCTGAACATGTATATTTGTGTCCAGTTAAAGGGAGTCAGGTAGTCAAGTTTTTAGTCAGCTAGAGGTAAAGAATTAACGTGTGAACCATAGTGTAACCAACTTCATATCATCAGAGGAGCCAGTTAAAGGTGTTCATAACAGGTTAAAAGAGAGAGAGAGAGAGAGGACAGATCCGTAGAGTGACTGGCATCGAAGGGCAACCCTGTAGGTATTGTGTTAGGGGGGGGGAGAAGTTCGGCATTGTTTACATCCTGCTGCATCATGGCCGCCGGATACTGTCAACAAACACTCCACACTGTCATTACCTGCAGTCATAATAGTTTTTCCTGGTTCTACTGCCGACATTTTCACTATTATTGTGTTTCATTTTCTTGAGAAGGGGACATTCCAGCCTTGCATGAAGAGAGAGAGAGAGAGAGAGAGAGAGAGAGAGTGTCAGATTAACCAACTTTGAATTGACAACAGCAAGTTGACGTAACAGCCTTAAATGTTATCAGTAACCCATTAATCTCGCACAACTATAAAACTGACGTTGAAGGATGAGAACCAGACACGCAAATCCTCTCACATGGGTACAGTCCTGAAGTTTATCCTATTGTCTGATACCAACCAGCCACAGGAAATGTTGATCAAATGGAGGCGTCACTAATACAGTACTAACTTTTGGCCCCCCATGATATTTTGTTGTGTTCCGACTCATAAACCTTGATAAATATCTACTGTATGTTGGTGAGTGTGTGTGTGTCCTATTTCTTGACCTGTAAGATATGAGTGGCATAGTTCACCTGATGATTATACTTCTTAATGATATACCTGCAGAGGTTATGTAAGGTTAGGTTAAATTAGGCTAGGTTAAGGTTAGTTATGTTATGTTATGTTACGTTAGCGTGAGGTTAGTGTAAGGTTAGGCTAGCGATAAGGTGCTTAATATTCAGGTAAAATAAGCTGGGTAGGGGGAAAGGGTGGTGATACTTCAAGTGTGGAATATTACACCAGAAAAGTATTTTGGTAAAATTTCAAGTTGTATCCAAGTGCGACAGACGGTCACCTCCACTATACATGTCTCCTCGACCTGTGAAATATCATAATGTATGTACTTGTCTGGAATTTGTTTTTCATGGCGAAGGGGATTAAAGTGATTATAAATTACTAAAACACACAATAATTGAGTTTCAACATTTACGTAATCAAGGCTTCGAGTGTGAAAGAGACTGACAACTAATATTTTATTTTTGTTTTGGCGATGAACACGTGAGGGATTGTTAGACCAAGTATTTCCTTTGACTTTGTTTACACTCACCTGATGTTCTGAGCAGTTGCTGACCATGTAAGGGGTAACCAGCACTCAGATGAATTTGTCACTCAGATAAATCTTGGATAATCTTTAATTGCAGTAATATATCAACATTCTCTATCTCTTTATCTGCTTACAGAATATTAACTTTCTGGAGTTACATTATCTTGATCCTCAACATCTGTGCCGCGTCATAGTTTCCCTTTTATTGCTTATCAGTCCTCATTGTTTTGAGCATAACTTAACCTAACCTAACCTACAAACTTAGAGAGCCAGAATTTACATGTAGACTGTACGTGATGTGTATCCTTAGGTGGTGAGGTAGGTCAGGTTCTAGGTTCATGGTAATGTGAGGTAGGTCAGGTTCTAGGTCATGGTAATGTGAGGTAGGTCAGGTTCTAGGTTCATGGTAATGTGAGGTAGGTCAGGTTCTAGGTTCATGGTAATGTGAGGTAGGTCAGGTTCTAGGTCATGGTAATGTGAGGTAGGTCAGGTTCTAGGTTCATGGTAATGTGAGGTAGGTCAGGTTCTAGGTCATGGTAATGTGAGGTAGGTCAGGTTCTAGGTCATGGTAATGAGGTAGGTCAGGTTCTAGGTCATGGTAATGTGAGGTAGGTCAGGTTCTAGGTCATGGTAATGTGAGATAGGTCAGGTTCGAGGTCATGGTAATGTGAGGTAGGTCAGGCTCGAGGTCATGGTAATGTGGAGGTGGTCAGGCTCGGAGGTCATGGTAATGTGGGAGGTAGGTCAGGTTCTAGGTCATGGTAATGTGGAGGTAGGTCAGTTCTAGGTCATGGTAATGTGAGGTAGGTCCTAGGTCATGGTACGGAGGTAGGTCAGGCTCGAGGTCATGGTAATGTGAGGTAGGTCAGGTTCTAGGTCATGGTAATGTGAGGTAGGTCAGGTTCTAGGTCATGGTAATGTAAGGCAGGTCAGAATCTAGGTCATGGTAATGTGAGGTAGGTCAGGTTCTAGGTCATGGTAATGTGAGGTAGGTCAGGTTCTAGGTCATGGTAATGTGAGGTAGGTCAGGTTCTAGGTCATGGTAATGTGAGGTAGGTCAGGTTCTAGGTCATGGTAATGTGAGGAAGGTCAGGTTCTAGGTCATAGGTCATGGTAATGTGAGGAAACCAGAATCTAGGTCATGGTAATGTGAGGTAGGTCAGGTTCTAGGTCATGGTAATGTGAGGTAGGTCAAGTTCTAGGGTCATGGTAATGTGAGGTAGGTCAAGTTCTAGGTCATGGTAATGTGAGGCAGGTCAGGTTCTAGGGTCATGGTAATGTGAGGTAGGTCAGAATCTTGGTCATGGTAATGTGAGGTAGGTCAGGTTCTAGGTCATGTAATGTGAGGTAGGTCAGTGTCATCAAGTTCTAGGTCATGGTAATGTGAGGCAGGTCAGGTTCTAGGTCATGGTAATGTGGAGGAAGGTCAGGTTCTAGGTCGTGATAATGTGAGAAGGTCAGGTTCTAGGTCATGTGAGGTAGGTCAGGTTTCAGGTAGGTCATGGTAATGTGAGGCAGAGGTCAGAGGTCAGGTAATGCAGGTAGGTCATGGTAATGCGAGGTTCAGGTTCTAGGTCATGGTAATGTGAGGTAGGTCAGGTTCTAGGTCATGGTAATGTGAGGTAGGTCAGGTTCTAGGTCATGGTAATGTGAGGTAGGTCAAGTTCTAGGTCATGGTAATGTGAGGCAGGTCAGGTTCTAGGTCATGGTAATGTGAGGTAGGTCAAGTTCTAGGTCATGGTAATGTGAGGTAGGTCAAGTTCTAGGTCATGGTTATGTGAGGTAGGTCAAGTTCTAGGTCATGGTAATGTGAGGTAGGTCAGGTTCTAGGTCATGGTAATGTGAGGCAGGTCAGGTTCTAGGTCATGGTAATGTGAGGTAGGTCAGGTTCTAGGTCATGGTAATGTGAGGTAGGTCAGTTTCTAGGGCGTGATAATGTGAGGTAGGTTTACGCTCTACTGTAGGTCAGGATGTGAGGGTCGGTATAATGCCAATGGATCTTCAACTGTAAAATAGATTGTAATGTTAGCAATGAATATCCTCTCACTTATTATGCCGTGATATCATGTGTTGGCTTAAGGCTTGTTCAACACCTGGGAAGCGAGATTCACATAGGTGCACAAACATTGGTAATATATGAAACGACTAAATAACTCACTTAACTTACGATACAGCATAAAAGGTTCATTAAATAGTCAAAATCTAATACATTTCTCACTATAACACATGGGACGTCAACAAGAACAATACATCACCGTTTCAATGTGTCAGTTCAGCGCCACCAACACCACCAATTCAAAATATCAAAAAAAATTTCCTTCATATTTGTGTGTTACTCGAGAACTTTTAGAACCCTATAAATTTACCACTTCTCTAATACTATCAGTAAGGGTTGAAACACCAAGGTTCACCCTCTTACGAAAGAGTTATGAGAAAATCTGGTTAACAAGCGAGTTTATCTTAATACATTAACACCTGCAGGATTGTTAGGATAAGATGTCGGTTTAGGGTCTTAAAGGTAAAAGATTCCGCCAGTAAGTGGACCATAACTGCCCAACAATAAAACGTAGTTCACGTTCAGGGTTTACCATCATCCATAATATCCATAAAACTAAGACATTGGCGACTGCTAAACCTGAGTGTCGTTCTCTTGTCACCTTAAACGTCGTCTTCAACCTTCAGTTAATAGATTACTTCAAGATCTATAACCACAGCTTGCTTCACCTCAAGGTTAAGAACTCTAATGCGACAATGGAAGGGGGTGGGTAGGTTAGGTTAACGTAAGTGGTTAATCTTCAGGCGAAATAAGTTGGGGTCTCATCTTCAGGGGCAAATAAACTTATCTACGTCAGATACACTTACGATTAACTTTGCGCGCGTCACACACACCCACATATGTTGCAACGATTTACTAGAGAGGATAATAACATGATAGCTTATATCCCTTTTATATCTCCGTCTGGTTTACTACTCTTCAATATCAATTAACTCATTCCTCCTCCGCCACTAGATAACTCATTCCTCCTCCGCCGTTTACTTAACTTAGTACTCCACCAAAATGTAATTCATTCCTTCTTTACCATTACGTAACTCATTGCTCCTCCACTATTAAATAACCCATTCCTCCTCCGCCACTAGATAACTCATTCCTCCTCCACCAATAAGCAACTCATTCCTCCACCATTAAGTAACTCACTGCTCCTCCACTTTTAAATAACCCATTCCTCCTCCGCCACTAGATAACTCATTCCTCCTCCGCCAATAGATAACTCATTCCTTCTCCACCAATAAGTAACTCATTCCTCCACCATTAAGTAACTCATTGCTCCTCCACTATTATATAACCCATTCCTATAAACACCTCCCTTTTACAGATCTCCTTCGGGCTGGGTGTCCTACTCTTTCCAAACGAACCCTACCTGCGTCTCGGACTGTTCCTGAGCGGCAGTTGTCCAGGGGGCGGCTCCTCTAACATGTGGACATACTTGTTGGGTGGATCCCTCGATCTCTCAATCTCTATGACAACCATCTCTACCATCTTCTCCTTCGGTAAGTTCCTATCACTATTACTACTACTACTACTACTACTACTACTACCACTACCACACCAAGCCAGACCTATAGTCAAGCAGGTTAACTAACAATGACTGCGTTTACATTTAAGGCACCGTACCTCTATGGGTGCTCCTGCTGGGTCCAGTAATAATGAAAGGTGTGGACTTTGTTATACCTTACTCGGACATAGCCATTACCAGCGCCACTCTCATCTTACCCTGTCTGATTGGTATGGTTGTCCAGTACTTCATACCAAGGTGAGCGAGCGTGTGTTGCTCTCTGAAATATATATGATGGATATATTAAAGTTATGGATACATTTATAATCGTTAGGGTAATGATATTCACTTTCCGTTATGCAGTTTTGTTCATTCATTTAACTTTTTTTTTCATGGTTATATTTTAACTTAGATTTGTTATTATTTTACCTATATAATTTACCGTTTTGTTTATTTCATCCATGTTAGTGTTCACCTTACCCATCTCACCCATGGCCTTACCCACTCTCCCATGTGACATTACCCACACCTTTACTCTTGCAGGATCAACGTGTACGCCAAGAAGGTGTTGACAGGGTTTGCACTGTTCAACTTGGCATTGCTATTCTCATTCGGTACTTATGCCTATAGGTACATCTTCTATTTCTTCAACTGGCAGGTAAGGGGAAGGAGAGAGGGAGAGGAGGGATGGAGGGAGGGGAGGGATGGAGGGAGGGAGGGGAGGGAGAGGAGGGTCAAAGACAAGGATGGTAGGGAAGGATGGATGGAGGGAAGAGAGAGAGAGAGAGGACACAGTTATTTTCAATGTATTTTTGTTCTCTACTCCCATCACCAATTTACGAAACAGCATCGATAGGTATTGACATTTGAGAAAAAAAAACTTGAAGTTTAATGTATATTGACTGTAAATCACACACCCCCACCTCATAACGTCCCTCACCCCCACCTCACAACGTCCCTCACCCCCACCTCACATTGTCCCTCACCCCACCTCATAACGTCCTCACCCCCACCTCATAACGTCCCTCACCCCCACGTCCCTCACCCCCACCTCACATTGTCCCTCACCCCACCTCATAACGTCCCTCACCCCCACCTCACATTGTCCTCACCCCACCACATTGTCCCTCACCCCCATAACGTCCCTCACCCCCACCTCATAACGTCCCTCACCCCCACCTCATAACGTCCCTCATCCCCACCTCACATTGTCCCTCACCCCCACCTCACCCCTACCTCACATTGCCCCTCACATCTTTTTCTCTTTACACAGGTGGTAGGGGCGGGACTATTGCTCCCGACACTGGGCTTCACTGGTGGTCTGATCTTTGCTTTGATACTCCGTCAGCCCGTCGCCAGTGCCATAGCTATCAGTGTGGAGACGGGCGTGCAGAATGTTGTCATTGCCATCATTATCTTACAGCTCACGCTCTCCTCTCCTAACGGGGAGCTATCTGCTAGTGAGTCGATTAATGTTTTAGACTGTTCGCGAGTCTATTAATGGTGTAGTCTGTTAGCGAGTCTATTAATTTTATAGTCACCATTCAGCCATTATATCACATTGTTTCAGCCATAATATATTTGTTTCAGTCATCCCGGCCTCCTGCACACTGTTCTTCCCGCTCCCTCTTGCCCTCTGGCTTCTCACCAAAACGATTTACGACAGGGTCAAGCGAAGCCGCAACCCTGACCTTCCATCCTCCTCTGGGACCGACCTCAAGGTAGCCTCAACGTGACCCTGTATAAACCCCATCCCTACCTGTCCATACTCGGTTCTTGATTAGTTCATTCTTAATCTCGTATGATCCCTTCCCTACCACAAACGATATATTGATCCTGATTGGCTCCTAGTTGACCAATGAGACTCAGACTTTATAACGTTACATTTTATGCAAAGTTATGATAATAAGTGAATAAATAAGAAATAAATTAATGAATAATTAAGTGCATCCGTAAATGGTAAACATAACTGGAATATTTACTGAACAGTCCAGTTATGTTGTATTTTTCTGCCGATAGATGCAACATAACGATACATTACTGAACTGTCAAGATCTGTTATGTTACCTGACTCAACGATAGCTCTTTCCCCTTCTGCAGGAGCTTCCCAACGGCGTCAAAGACATTGAAAAAAACGGGAAAATGGAGAAGAGCACCACCAAGGTCCCCGTGAGTACTGGTGGAGGCGTCGACAACCTGGCAGCGGACCTGAAGGATGAAGTATAATGATGACTGGTACTCGTCCCCCCTCACAGCTCACTTCCACACACTACATCAGTTATCTCCAAAATAGTTCCTCATAATTATCTCCAAAGACGACAGAAGTTTTACCTCCTTATGTTACAACTTTAATTAGATTCACTGTTGGGCGAGAGAAAGTTCACTAATACTTGTTGTAGTTGTTTATTATACAACTCTCTCATGGAGGCTATCCTCACATGTAGTGTACTTCATCTCTCGCACGGATTCATCTGTTCATCATGTGTAGATTTGCATTTTTTTTCGGGATCACCTGAACATTACAATTATACACCAGTTTATTTTACCTAGTTGAATATCCTAACGTAACGTAACGTAACTTCCCCAGCGAGACGATGAGATTGGTTCATCTGAGGAGATAGCTGTTGTGTCTAATATGAAGATGATCCACTTTCATCAAGTTACGTGCTCTGAAGTCTTTAACCTCTTTTTCATACGTCAAAATAACAAAAGTATTTATAATTTTATCTTTATTTACGTCAGTGATATACTCAGCCTTAGGGGCCATTAAGTTTATTTTAATATTATATAACGCTCTCTACATAATGACACACACACATATATTTAATAATTCTTATATTGTATACATATAAAATAATCTAACTATACAGAAATGAAAGTCTGTTATATCGAGGGTCCGTTAGATATAAAAATAAAACATCTAACGGATTATATGAAGATAAAAATCCGTTGTATGGAGGTTTTTCACTATTCTGAAGACTTTACGAGGAGGACTCTCTCACACAAGTATTTTTGACGACCGCAACACCAACGCTCCCTCACTTAAGCCAGCAAGGTCCTCTACCCCTCATGTGACCTCTGTTATCGTCTCCTTGATTCTCATATTGTCCGAATTACATTATTACACTATTTAAGTATTTTAAGAGGATTCTAATTATATTAAATGCAAGTCAGTCTCCTGTTATAGGTTAAATGTAGACTCCGATCTTCTATTGTGTGCAAGATGTAGGATCTAACCTCCTATGGAGTGCAAGCTCTAGGATCTGATCTATGGAATGCAAGTTGTAGAATCAGATCTCCTATTGCGTATAAGATGTAAAATATAGCATCATTTGTGCATGTGAAGTGCCTTTTTTCCTCTCCCACCACAAACCTCAAGTGCCAAATACACAATAGTTAGATAATTTCTTTTCTTGGCACAATATTACTGTATAAACGAACACTTACTTACAGCCTCTAAGAACACACACACACGCAAGTTGGGGTTTGTGGCAATAAACAAGAAGATTTATTGTTTTTTTTTCTTCCAAGATGTTGATGGTGTCACTTGTAAACACCGAACTACCTTGTCATGTTCCGGGTTATATTGTAGAGACTGTGGTGATCTCTGGTGCAATATTTCAAAATAGAATAATTAAGACTGATAAATGATGTAATATCAGAAGAAAAAAAATATTCATCATAATAGTTTATTATGATCAAACAACTATCAACGTTTACAATATTTTACAAAAAGCCAAAACAGTTTTTATAAGACTCGACATAAGCTGTACAAAAATATTAGTTATATGGAAGAGAATGAACTCAAACATGTGCAAGATGTGAACAGTTGTTTCTCGGTGTTAACTGAACTAATAAGCTTTCCTCTTTCATAACCTTTATCTAGTAAGAATACATCTATATTGTATAAGAAACTCCAAGATACTGAACAATATTTCCTATACATAAACAACAAGTAGAAATAGTTAATGGGCGAGGTCTCCCTTAGTCCAGATGGCCGACTGAACGGTGGCACTGATACCTGCCGCCCCTCACACAGGTAAGGGATCTGCCGCCTCTCACACAGGTAATCAAGTTGAGTGAGGGCATCTGAAAATGTAACTGTATATTAGTTAGATGAATTGATCTGTGTGAAGGCTGACCTCGGATGTGACGTGTGTCAAGGCTGGGTTGAGGAAAGTCACTTAAAAAGTCAGCTGGGCTCTCAGGTTAGTGTCAGGGATGGCGAAGGGGAGGTCAACGTTGGCACTGGTCCTGGCCACGTGCCACACCTCCTTGGTGGTAGAGTTTGAGGACAACAGTGAGGTGACCACCGCCTGCACCGCCAGCAGCTGTGTGGCGATAGCTGCCAGGGGAGTGGCGCTAGGGGAGGCACTGAAGAAAAGCATGTTGCGGCCCAGCGTGAGGCCAGACTCCCACACACAGCCGTCCAGCGCATACAACGTCGCCTGCCCCCCTGACGCATTACCTGCAACAAGTCAATGTCTTGGTTACGGTACTTTTCAATGAACCATTATTTATTATCATCACACTCAACCCCATACACACTAACACACACACACACACACAGACACTCACCTAGCAGAACATGAGTGGTAGGGCCTCGGGTCACCTTCACCTGTAGGGCTTCAGGGCCGGTGGAGGGGACTGGTGCGGGCTGGTTGCCGTGGGCGTGCAGGGTGAGGGACACACCCACTTCCTGAGCCAGCACGGGGGCGTTTACCAGGTTGATGCCGTTCTGTGTCAGCCCCTTCAGGAGGCCAACCAACACCGCTGACCCCAGGAACGACTTCATCTCGCTCACCTCACTACCTGTAGTGGTCACAGTACACCATCACTACACTTACATAAATATACACTATAAAGTGAACACAGACATATACCAATGTAATGTGTACACAATTTCTAAAATGTTACACGGCACTACAGTACAGACTGTGCAGCAGCGTTCAGGCTATAGTCAGGCAGTCAGTCGCACAGGCAGAGCAAATAACAGCATAATGACTATTATCAACATAAGAAAAACATTAACTAACTAATCCACTGGGGGTTATACCAATGAGGTATGGACGACCTTTACACCCCAGATTAAAAACTGGGTCCCCAGGGAGATGCAAAATCTTGGACGATTGGTAAAAACAGCCCGAAGACATTAGGGTGTAGGACTGTAGTCGCCAACCCTCTGATATGAGGACAGTACTCGGATTGATATCCTGACGAAGGCGCGGTATATAACTCACCATAGAGGTCGACGGTGATGGTGAGGGCTGGGGTATCCATGGGCTGGAAGAGACTGTTGGCCAGGCAGCCGAGGGCCTTAGCTAGCTCGATCCAAGGCTTACAGGCGTTACTGGTGGCGTTAGAGAGGGCGGGGGCGTTCACTACACCCACCAGGGGTCGCCCGTGCACCATGTCCACTATCTGTTGAGCGATCTCTTTGGCAACGCGTCTCTGAGCCTCCACTGTGTTGGCCCCCAAGTGTGGCGTACAGATCACCTGGCGAGGAGCACCACCTTGTTAATGAATTTATATTATACTACTACAGTACTACTACTAATAAGAAGTAAACAAATGCTAGGGATCATGACCTGAGGAGAGTACAGTAAAGGTAACCAGGGAGGGAACAGTACCTTGGGGTGCCTGCAGAGGGTAAGGTCAGTCGGGGGCTCCTCCAGGAACACGTCGAGGGCCGCGCCACCACAAGTCCCATTCTCCAGTGCCCTCAGGAGTGCTGCCTCGTCCACAATACCCCCGCGGGCGACATTGACGATGCGTACTCCGGGTTTGCACTTTGCCAGAACCTCGTCGCCGATGAGGTTCTTGGTATGAGGGAGGAGAGGCGTGTGTACCGTGATGTAGTCTGCCTGGGACCACAAGTCTTCCAGGGGCAGGGACTCCACACCCCACTCAGACGTCACCTCCTTCGGGATGATGGGGTCGTAGCCTATGGTTGTCATCCCGAAGGCCTGCATGCGCTTGGCCACCTGTGGGGACAAGAGAGGATTGCACACTTAACTTGCGGAGATAAACACGCACATGACCTACATCACTTCTTTTAATATGTCAACTTCCGGTAATATATAACGACTTGCTGGTTAATGATATAAATATCAACTTTGAGGTTCATATCCTGGTGTAAGAAGGAAGTGTTCATCTTAAGCCTGAAGGTACCATCACAAGACACCATCACTCCTAACATTATTAGACACCATCACCTGGACTCACCTCTCTACCTATCCGACCGAGGCCGACGATGGCGATGGTCTTGCCGTGCAGTTCAGAGCCCAGGTACGCCTTTCGGTCCCAGGTACCCGCCTTGAGGGCAGCACATGCCTGTGGCAGGAAGCGGGCCAGCGAACACACCATAGCGCACGTGTGTTCCGCCGCTGACAGTGTGTTACCTCCTGGAGTGCTGTAAAGGGGATGTGTGGCTTAGTGCATGGGCATACAGGGGGAATGAGGCATACATTATACAGAAGACACGAGGCATACAATATTCAAGGGGCACGAAACATACATTATACAGGGGGCACGAGGCGTACATTATACAGGGAATATAATTATAATGATTTACGTTTACTATAGCTCAATTATTCACAAAAATGAATAATAGTAGTGACTGATATTATGAAGTGAACAGTAATATTCGAAAGGTTGTCAAGGAGGGAACCGTGAACAAAATTCTCTGACTCTTGGCAACATTTGGTAACTAGACTATACTGTATCTGTAAGTCACTTGTTTATAGTTAGTTAAAGTTGCTTCTCATAAATATATCATAATACCATGATAGATCAATATAATTAATGGAAAATATAACCAAATTCATAGTAAAATTAGGTGTTAAAATTGGATATATAAATCCAAGTTCCCCCAAATACCAAAATGTTGCCAAAGCCCTCAAGTGATTTTTATCCCACGTTTGTTCACTATTGTCTCAATTAGGTCATCTTGCCTTCTATGATCACTTCAGTTCACCTATAAACAGAACAAAGGTTAGTAGCACCAAGTTGTTCAACTAGTTTTTAAGATTACTGTTGAACGTTCAACGTTATACTGTTGCTGGGTTACGCTGGCCACAAGTCTACCAATTAAATAAAGTAAAATAAATCAAATTAAAAATTAAACAAACTAATTATATACTTAAAATATTTTCTCTTTGAATTATTGTGTAAATGTTAAATGTTTAGCGTTTTCAGTAAGGTTTAATATGATTTGTTGTATTATAGGAGTGACCTACACTACAGTTGCTGCTCAACACAGTAGGATGCTTTCACCACACACACAGGTCACCTTGGCAACACCAAACGATCAAGTTCTTTTACCGCCTCCCTCGCCACTACCACATCCCTCACCACCACTACCTCCCTCACCACCACTACCTCCCTCACCACCACTACCTCCTTCACTACCTCTCATCTCCCTCACCACCAGTACCTCCCTCACCACCACTACCTCCCTCACTACCTTTCATCTCCCTCACCACCACGCAAGTAAGACCCCTTTTTGATCTGATCATTAAGCAGACAAATCTTCACTGACTAAGTGGATCTCACACCTCCTGTTTGGCTGAAGTGTCTCAAATAAAACGTATATACCTGATCGTATATCGTATATACCTGAATGTATATACCTGGAGATCGAGGCACCGTGAATGCTTGTATTACACCAGAAACATTGTTAGTTGAGACTTTACCTGTGGGAAAACCGCGCATCAACAAGTGTAAAAAAGCAATGTTGATGTTGCAAAAGAGGCAGTCTTGTATGGGTTTGTGTTAGTCCGAGACACAGGTTTTAAATTAGGTATAATATATAGCACACGAGAAGAGGAAGGAGAGAAGAAAAAAGATGAGGAAGGAAAAAGAGAGGGGGAGGAGAGGAGAAAGAGGGGGGGAGGAGCAGAAAGAGGAACAATCACGTGGGCAGCTGGTGGCAGCATCACGTGTCTGGTTCATGGTCAGCCTGACTCTGGATCCCAACTCCTTGCCTACAGCCACTAGTATTTATCTAGTAACTCATACCTCGCCTAACACACGACGCTCCCCACCCACTAACACACGACGGTCCCACTCACACGACGCCTTCCCGCCCACTAACACACGACGGTCCTAACACACGACGGTCCTAACACGACGGACGGTCCACCCACTAACACGACCCACGGACACGACGACGGTCCCACCCACTAACACACACGGTCCCGCCCACTAACACGGTCCCACGATGACGGGTCCCCCACTTCACCCACTAACACGACACACGACGGTCCCGCCCGGGTCCCGACAACACACGACGACGGCCCACCCACAACACGACGGTCCCACGACACCCCACCCACTAACACACGACGGTCCCACCACACGACCCACTAACACACGACGGTTGTCCCACCCACTAACACACGGTCCTGGGGTCCCACCCACTAACACACTAACACACGACGGTCCCACCCACTAACACACGACGGTCCCACCCACCACACGACTTCCACGTCTCCACGACGGTCCCACCACCACGACGGTACCCACTAACACACGACGGTCCCAGACGGTCCTGCACCCACTAACACGACGGTCCCACCCACTCCTCCCAACGACGGTCCCCACCCACTAACACGACGGTCCCACCCACTTTCAACACACGACGGTCCCCACCCACTAACACACACACCCACAACACACGACGGTCCCCACCCCACAACACACACACGACGGTCCCCACCCACTAACACACGACGGTCCCACCCACTAACACACGACGGTCCCCACCCACTAACACACGACGGTCCCACCCACTAACACACGACGGTCCCACCCACTAACACACTCCCACCCACAACGACGGTCCCACCCACTAACACACGACGACGGTCCCACCCACTAACACACGACGACCACCCACTCACACGGACGGTCCCACACTAACACACGACGGTCCCACCCACTAACACACACGACGGTCCCACCCACTAACACGACGGTCCCACACACTAACACGACGGTCCACCCACTAACACACGACGGTCCCACTTGACGACTCCACACCACTCAACAACACGACGGTCCCACCCACTAACACGACGGTCCCACCAACACGACGGTCAACAACACACGACGGTCCCAGTCCCACCCACTAACACACGACGGTCCCACCCACTAACACACACGACGGTCCCCACCCACTAACACACACGACGGTCCCACCCACTAACACACGACGGTCCCACCCACTAACACACGACGGTCCCACCCACTAACCACGGTCCAACAACACGACGACTAACACACGACGGTCCCACCCACCAACACACGACGGTCCACCACTAACACGACGGTCCCGCCCCCAAACACACGACGGTCCCACCCACTAACACACGACGGTCCCCACCCACTAACACACGACGGTCCCACCCACTAACACACGACGGTCCCACCCACTAACACACGACGGTCCCGCCCACTAACACACGACGGTCCCGCCCACTAACACACCTCTAGTCTAACGCTTTAGTCGAGACCATCACTGATGGTTACAGGTCATTGGAAGATCCCCGAAAAATCGCCCCCACGACTTATTATACCTGTAGGTTTAATCACTAACTCTAACCTGATGTTAACCTAGCTCAAGCTAACCTATAACATTAGGGTGGTTAATCTTCAGGTGGAATAAGCTGGGTTGGGTTAAGTAAAGCTAAGTTAGTATTAGACAAGACCCGTGTCGAGAGCTACACCTGTACAGCTGCGACTACCCGTGTACCAGCAGGTGGAATAGTCGTCAGGGGAGAGTTGGTTACTATGAAACACCTGGGCAAGGATGGGGCTCCCCTCTACCTGCTGACCGTTCACTTACTTTAATCCTCTTCGCCACTAATCGGCTTGTTAGCCGCTTGGGCGATCGGTCACGTCTCTGTCACGCACGGTTGGCAAATACTGGGCGTGCACCGGCTCCTGAATGTACCTGAACCCGCTCCAGTGTTGGTCAAGTCTTGTCTTGAAAGAGCTTACACTCGGTGCCGTCACAGCACTCTCTGGTAGATTGTTCCAAGAGTTTACAACCCTCACTCGGAAAAAGTTTGCCCTCACAGTTTTCTGGACTTGCGGCTTCTTCAATCTTGAGCTGTGACCCCTTGTGGGGCGAGCGTCCGCCAGCTCCAAGTAAGGACACTCAACTGAGTAGTGCCCCCTGAGATGCTGATACACCTCTATTAGGTCACCCCTTGCCCGTCTGTAGCATAAGCTAGGCAAGTTCAGGCTCTCCAATCTCTCAGGGTAGCTGAGGTGCCGAAGTGCAGGCACCAGTCTGGTGGCCCTCCTTTGAACATTTTCAACCAACTGACAGTGCCTAGCATATCTCGGAGACCAGATGGGGTGACAGTACTCCAGATGGGGAAGCACTTCACTCCTGAAGATCGCTACGAGGGACGAACCGTCTAGATATCTGAATGACCTTCTTATAAGACCCAATAATTTATTTGCCTGATTTACCTTCTTCTCGCAATGGCCCGAGAACTTCAGCTCATTGTCAACATACACACCGAGGTCCTTCTCACATACACTCTCAACTAGTGCAGTTTCTTCATCCCGTTGGGACATAAGATACGCCTCCTTACCGTTGGTACGCCCCAGGTGCATCCTCTTACACTTCGTGACATTGAATCTCAGCAGCCATTCCTTCGACCATTCCTGGAGCCCACAGAGGTCCTTCTGCAGCTCTTCACAGTCAGCTTGGCTCTTAATTTCCCGAAATAACTTAGCGTCATCGGCAAACATTTGTATGGAGGAGTGTACAACGTCAACCATGTCATTTATGAAACAAACAACAGCGGGCCCAATACACTGCCCTGTGGTACCCCACTTGTGACAGGTACGGATGACGATTTCATGCCATTAATCATCACACACTGCTTGAGGTCATGTAGAAAATCTTCTATCCATGCAAGGACATTTCCCCGAATTCCGTACCCTTCCAGTTTGATTTTCATCCTTTCATGGGGTACGCTGTCGAAAGCCTCGGCAAAATCTAGGTAAATATTGTCGATATTACCACCCCGTTCCCGAATATGGGTCCAAATATCCAATACCTTGAGCAATTGTGTTAAGCAGGAGCGCCCCGGCATAAAACCGTGTTGGCAATCCTTTACAAGATTGTTTCGTATTAGATGTTCCATTGCGGCATCTCTGATAATACTCTCAAGTACTTTACATATTATGCTGGTCAGGCTCACAGGTCTATAGTTGTTCGTGGAGTGAGGATCGCCCTTCTCGAAGATAGGACTCGCACAAGCCACTTTCCACTCACTAGGGACCACCTGTTCAACCAGGCATTTAATAAACAGTTGACCTGTACCCTTCGCCCAGACAAACACGTGAGGTCACCCACTATACAGTGCAGTTACCGAGTCCGTCGTTTTTGTCTGTTGACCTCAGCAGCCCTGCCCCTTCGTTGTTCTTGGCAGACACGTGGATGTAATCACTGAATTCACAACAAATTTAAACCTGTACATTAGCAGCAGGTCTGTACAACTTTAAAACATCCCGAACTAGTAACCAAAACATTATACAGTTTCAACCATTATTTTCTGTACTGTAAGAATTAGATACAGTCGTTGCAACATGAACAAGGTAGTTATGACGCTTTGAGGTGGCTTCTCCCTCACCTCCCTCCAGCTTCTAAGACTCGTTATTACCTCTAGGATTAATTCACCTTTTAAAAGTTATCTCCTTCCCTTACCTCCCCCAACATCATCGCCGCCTACGTCACCAACTTCAAGACATCTCTCACTATTATGCAGTATCGTACAACAAGATAAACGACTCGCGGCGGGATCACGTACATCTATTTTATTCATCATTTCATCACATATCAGGTTACTGGATACTCATGCGTTAAGTCTGTGTTCTCTGTTGTCCGGCGCTAGCACGGGAGGAAACTGGATTACCCGGAGGAAACCGGTTATAAGTAGTAATGTCACACCGGATAAACACCCTTCTCTTATCTGTCCCAGGCCAGGACTCTAACCCAGGACTTGTATGTGTAGCGAGAGATACACACAATGCACAGTGCAGGTATACACATAATGCACAGGGACAGTGCAGGTATACACATAATGCACAGGGACAGTGCAGGTATACACACAATGGTGGTCAGCTGAATATTTGTAAAAGAGATAAGAAAGCTATGATAAATCTTAATAAATGATAAGGATAATTATTTGTAGATAAAGGAGGAGAGAGAGAGAGAGAGAGGTGAGGAAGAGGGTTGGGAGGAGGAGGAAGTAGAGGAATATTAACTCACTTCATGACGATGACGCCCTTGCGAGTGGCGGCCGACACATCAATGTTGTCCACACCTGCACCAGCCCGGCCGATGATCCTCAACTTGTTACTGGAGGCCAATACCTCCTCAGTCACCCTCGTAGCTGACCTGACGATCACCCCCTCGTGTTCCTGTACAATCATAATACATATTAGGGTGATATACACTCACACCCCCACACATAATCTCCTGGTCTTGACAGAGTGAAAGTTGTGTCGACCAATTGACAAAAATACATTTGTTACAACCTGACCAGAAAACTTTAAAATAGCAGCCTCAGGGTCAACCCAGTCAACCAACAGCCAGGCTGGGACAGACAGCCGCCAGGGTCAACAAAGACAGACAGCCACCACCAGACAGACAAACGTCACAGCAACATCTACACTGATAAACGTTCTTTCATCCAGCCAGGAACAGACATACTGGTCAAACAAAGAAAATGACAATGTATACTTCTTACCCAAACTCCTTTATACATTACCACAAGATACATAATACAGTATATGTATGAACGGCTAATATGCTGTGAAATGATAAATAAATAAACTATATAGATCAGTACAGGTAAGGTGTCGCAAGCCTTATATTATGGTACCTTGTCTTTTCTCTACCCCGCGTAGTTGTGGGACAAGGCCTACACATTCCAGAAAAGTTGTGTTATAGGCCTAAGGGCGCGAGTCATGGTATACAGAATATTCCAGAAAAAATTACACACTATCTCACATATTTTCGTGGCGATTACTCCCCACAAGTGAAGACGATGTTGGTTTTACTTTTATCCTCTTCGCCACTGCAGTTTTACTACAAGCATTCACGTCACAACTTCCCTGTAAGGAAGTTTGTGTGTGTGTGTGTTATCTTGACACACCGTATCCTCACAAACACACACTGCTCACTGTGTACTCATTCACCCCGCCGCGTACCAGTTCAGGAGAGTATTTGATTATTACCTGTCAGTGTCATTACCAACCATTCCGTACACACGTGTTTTTGTGAGACGCGGGGAACTATGGTTCATAATTATGGCTGGAATCTTCACGTAGATTTTCTTTAATTTCGTAATGAGAAGAGAATAAACAATACGATGAACAAGTAAGAGAAACAGTAGGCCCTAGCTAGGCATGGTTCCTGGCTGATGGTTCGTGTGATGGTCAGGGGGGTGAGGATGAGTAGGAGCCCTGAGAACAGCGATAACATCACACCCGTCACTCATTCCCTGTGATCTCGATCTCTCTCTCTCTCTCTCTCTCTCGCCACCTGCCATATTAGATTCAATAAACCAGTTTGTGCAGACATTAAAATCAGCATCTTAGTTTCCTAGGGTAAGAGTCAAGTTGTCTAACGGTTGTGTCATGACTACAAACATTCTTTAACGGTGTATACACTGTACCTAGACGGTGCAGGCATTTAAACACTGTCTAGACGATACATGTATACAAGCAGTGTACCATAAAGTCAGGTTACAGTTGCCGAGGTTGAGCGACCCTTGACCACGGCGCGAGTTACGGACTTATTGGGAAGAACAATTAGCATAGTTGTGGCACCATAGTCACCGGAAGACGTAGGGAATATTATCATTATTTAACTATAACAAAGTCTTACCGAAAGTTCTTTGATGAGCTGATCCTTGGAGAGCTTCTTGTTGTGCGTGGTGACGGAGATGCCAGCTTGTGTCAAGATCCGTCCACACACGGGGTCGACACCATCCAGTAGCAACACTTTGTCTACACGCCCAGTCATTTTCTTGTCTCGTTAGCTACGTCAACACCAGTGAGGAAAAACACAGTACAAGAACCTCTTTTAAGTGTCGCACTTGACGAGTAGACAGAATATATAGGCAGGGATTTGAGCAAACAGCAGTAGTAGAGACGTGAGCAGAACGCACGTTTGTCTGGGAATGGCTATGGTGGGTGTAAGGTGGTGTTTATATAGCCTAGGCGAGTAACCGTCCTCCCACCACACCACCACTTTCCTTGGCCACGCCCACCTCCTGCTCCTCACTCACGTTGCACACAAACAACGTCATTTATTTAAGTGGGTGAAAGGAATCAATAAAGGGGATATAGATAAAGTTCTTATAATATCCGAGCAGGATAGGACTCGGAGCAACGGATTTAAGTTGGATAAGTTTAGGTTTAGGAGGGAGATAGGAAGGAACTGGTTCACAAATAGGGTGGTGGACGAGTGGAACAAGCTTAGCAATTTTGTAGTAAGTGCTGGAACGCTGGAAAGTTTCAATAGGAGGCTGGATAGAGCCATGGATGATAGAGAGTGGTAGTAACTCTCGACAGGAGCTGCCATGCGCAGGCCAACCGGCCTATTGCAGACTTTTTTTTCTTATGTTCTTCTTCTTTCTTATTCTTTATCAAAGTGTCAATTGGTAATTATTTCATTAATTTAATTTCTTCCTTTACAACAGTTTAAAACTTCATACCTAAATATTGAATTTTTTTAATACAAATATATAAACAGGAATTTTTTAAGTTTTATTTTCATAATTATAAAGGAACCAGGTGTTTTTATATTGTCAGGTTGGAAGAGATAGCGGGGTAGCGCAGGTAGACTTTTCAAGCCAGCAGGTGTGATCACGTGGTCATCACATGGTCGCTGCCCAGAAACCAACACATGCACTAACGCCCACAAACACACCTCATATTACACCTGTGTCTGTGAGAGTTACCCATCCAGCCCGTCACTTATTGAAGGGAGCAACAGCGCCACGCACAACCAATACACCAGTTTGATGCAGATCCTCGCCCTCACCGGACCAAACTGACTTGCCAACACAAAAAATGAACAATAAGCGATTCTTCACCCCTTCCTAGATGACTCAGAAGCGCGGAAAATGAGCGGAGGTTTCCACTGTAAGTGTCCTAAACCATCACTTGAGTTACCAGAGATAAACTTATGATATCAACCCACCTCTTTGCTTCCCCATTTCACCAACACCGTCCCAGTGACACTGTTGGGTCATTGATTAACTTAGTAACTAGCTAAACGCTGCCCTCTCGGTGGTGACAGACAGACAGACAGACATTTAGTAAAATTGCTAGGTTCAGCATGTACTGTATATAGGCAATATACTGTAGGTATATAAAAAAATTACCCAGAAAATACAGGTAGCAGGAGATTAGGTTAGGTTGATTAATCTTCTGGTAAAATAATCTTGGGGCTAATCTTCAGGTAAAATAAGCTGAGGACTAACCTTCAGGCGATTTATTAACTTTTTCACTGAGGTAATGTACCGTGGCCACGTGTGTTAGTTCAACGGAAGTTACCACCACCTGTTGATAACTAACCCCTTGACTGTAGTGGGGGGGTATTGAGTGGTGAGGTGGTGGGTGTGTGGTGGTGGGGTGTGGGTGGTGGGGGTTGGATATGGGGTGGTGGTGGGGGTGATGCTGTGAGTGGTGGTGGGGGCGTTGTAGTCGCGATAACGATATCATCAAGTACACCGAAATAGTGTTGCCAGATACTCGTATGTCACTACTACCCGATGGAGGGAGGGAGGGGGCCAACTCTGTGGGTGGTGGCATCATTTACCTTGTGTTTCTTGTATCCTCGCGGAGATTCACACGACTACCAGATTAGAATCACTTATGTGATATGACTCTTCCTAACCTAACCTAACCAAATTATTACAACTCTAAATCACAACTGTAGAAATATTCCTTAAGAAAAGACATCATATCGTCAAAAAACATTTTACCTGATTAAGATTTGAAAAAAAAAGTAAAATTTTAGGTGAAGAGTCGAGGTATAAATCTATAGTCTACAGTGTGGTGTTGCCAACACCACCACAACCACCCACCACTACACCCAACCACCTCCCAAATACAAGCCAGAAAAAGTCTACGGTATTACTGTATATCGTCCAGCATCATCTTAGCATCACAGAGACGGAGAGGATGTTGGTGTGTAAATTGGTACCCGATTTTCGTAGCGGCCACCGGATCACCTGTACATTAGCCCCTCACCCTTTCATTTTATTACACCATCACCCTTTCTCCCTGTATAGAGTTCCGTCCATATCAACCTCCATCAGCTTCTACACAAGGTTCTGCCTAAACAATCACAGTACAAAGTCAGTGGGTTTACCTTCCCTGGTAACTATTCCGCAACTCTGGCAAACGATTGAAGTATCCAAAAAAAATTATTGTTATATAAGTTAATAAATATACGGTTTCCTGAATGTCATTAACATTGGGATATTATAGAGAATATTATGAAGTCTACGGAGTACTGACTCTTTAACTCCCATTTAAGATGTCGACAAAACTTTTTAAAGTCTATTCATAACCAAGACTGCATCACTAAATAGTTTAAAATAGAAGATGTCAAAATACAATTACTCGTATCAAAAGGAAAGAATTGGCGAAAACGAATAATTACCTTGAACCCATCTGCTGAGGTATGGCTGCCGATGACCATCACTGTCTGGAGCCGCGGTGTCCTCCCCCTCAGACACAACACAGCAGCAATCCTTTACACACAACACCTTCAGTCACGAGCACCTCCTCCGAGTTGTACACACCAGTAACTCAATCCTCGGCCATGAGTCCTCAGCAGCTCAGACAAGGTTCATAAACCACACCGGCCAGCGCAAACACCAGAACGAAACCACGGCTACCAGCTCTGCACTCTTTTGTTTCTTCCCCGTGGTGTTGTCGTGGATTTCTCCCCTACAAACGCTGTTTGTTGCTGAGTAGCCGACCCCACGAATTCCCCAGTGTATGCCTCGTGGTCTAGGTCAACCAGCGCCTCCATACATCACGGAGGTCAACTACTAAGCCACGCCTACCCCCGCTATTTAAGACCTGACCTCGTGGTGACCTCTCTCTTCTTACAGCTACAGCCGCAGCAAGCTACACCTCCTCCTCCTCTGCCGCTGCCTGGCGGCCCTCGCTCCCGCCGGCGAGCATGGCGACCCACAAGCTGTCCTCCTCTGAGCACCCTCACCAACCAGCTCTCTCTACATCACGCTTGTAACCACGCTGCCACTTCCCAGAACCAAGCTGCATTGTACATCCACTACAACATGTATACAGAGAGCACATTGTGAGTTTCCTTTCTCCATCCCATCCTGAGTGTGAACCCATACCCCACAAATGGTGACCCCCGGAGATTCGCACTCACACAGGATGGAGGAGAAACCGATCACTCTCCCAGTCTTCAAACAACATGGAAGACTGGCTTATCCACGCAGAGGCAGCTCTCATCGGCTCGACAGCTACTGTCTCTACACCGCAGGTTAGACACCCTAGAGCAGCACTGCTTCTCTAAGCAGACACCAGCTCCTCTTCCTGCCCCAAGCACCACGTTCCACCGACCCCAGCACACCCGTCCTGCCTCAGACGCCGCCCCCGGCCCAGCAGTACCCCCTGCCGCTCCTCCTGATGCAGTCCCTGCTCCCGACGCGGCCCATGCGCCTGAGTGCGGACCCACACACCCCTCTTTTCTCCCTCAGGTACTCCCTGATAATGTCCTGCACCCTGCTGCTGTCGTGGACCCAGCTGCTGACACAAGCCCTCATCCACTTCTGCTGACACGAGCCCTCATCCACTTCTGCTGACACAGCCCCTGCTTCTGACCCAGGCCCACACACCCCAGCAGGCGCATCTGACGACTCTGTACCTGCCGTGAGGGAAGCACAACATTCATCGCCTCCACACACCCTTTTTCTCCCTCTCTACTCCCACAGATATTGTGTATCTAGACAGTTGTCTCCTCTAGCGGCCGGCTCATCCACGCCATCGCCGTTATGGCTCACATGTGGCATGCTCCGCCCGTTCTGCCTCACATGTGCCATGCACCCCTGCAGACAACAAGTCTCCTACACCGCCCGGAGGGAGTATTGTAGTGGATTTCTCCCCTACAAACGCTGCTTGTCGCTGAGTATCCGACCCCACGAATTCCCCAGTGTATGCCTCGTGGTCTAGGTCAACCAGCGCCGCCGTACATCACGGAGGTCAACTACTAAGCCACGCCTACCCCCGCTATTTAAGACCTGACCTCGTGGTGACCTCTCTCTTCTTCTAGCTACAGCAGCAGCAAGCAACACCACCCCCTCCGCCGCTGCCTGGCGGCCCTCGCTCTCGCCGGCGAGCATGGCGACCCACAAGCTGATCCTCCTCTGAGCACCCTCACCAACCAGCTCTCTCTACATCACGCTTGTAACCACGCTGCCACTTCCCAGCACCAAGCTGCATTGAACATCCAATACAACATGTATACAGAGAGCACATTGTGAGTTTCCTTTCTCCATCCCATCCTGAGTGTGAACCCAAACAACCCATACCCCACAGTGTAAACTTTAAATTAGCTCCGACATATTCGAAGCCCTATGAAGCTCCCAAACCATCGAACCTAATTAAGAAAAGCGTATCAACTCTACACATACCGAAACATTACAAAATAAAAAAATACAAGAGTACATTGACCATAAATTATACAATGAAACCGCAAAGAAACACAAATTCTTTATATATGTCGAGCTATTTCCGATGGTTTTTGGTGTGTATTGAACGATCCTGACCATCTATATTAGCACCAGCACACACAACCAGTACTTTACCTACAACACACCACCAGTACTTTACCTACAACACACCACCAGTACTTTACCTACCACACACCAACAGTACCTTACCTACCACACACCAACATTACTTTACCCATCACACACCACCAGTACTTTACCTACCACGCACCACCAGTACTTTACCTACCACACACTAACAGTACTTTACCCATCACACACCACCAGTACTTTACCTACCACGCACCACCAGTACTTTACCTACAACACACTACCAGTACTTTACCTACCACGCACCACCAGTACTTTACCTACAACACACCACCAGTACTTTACCTACCACGCACCACCAGTACTTTACCTACAACACACCACCAGTACTTTACCTACCACACACCAACAGTACTTTACCCATCACACACCACCAGTACTTTACCTACCACACACCACCAGTACTTTACCTACCACACACCACCAGTACTTTACCTACCACACACCACCAGTACTTTACCTACCACACACCACCAGTACTTTACCTACCACACACTACCATTACTTTACCTACCACACACTACCATTACTTTACCTACCACACACTACTAGTAATTACCACACACATCTCCACCACCACAACCATAGAAGGAAATAAAAAACACTAAATTATTATTGCATTTTTAAATAATTGTTTTGGATTTATAGAGTATAGGTTTATTTAGCATAATTTCACCCTGCCATTATAAATATTGCGAAAGTTGATGGTAAGAAAATTGTATATCACAGAATGCAATTAAACGGTATAATGTAAAAAAAAAAAAAAATTATATATATATATATATATATATATATATATATATATATATATATATATATATATATATATATATATATATATATATATATATATATATATATATATATATATATATATATATATATATATATATATCTACGAATGAACTTATCACAGATTTTATCAAAAATTATTTTAAGTTTGTTTTCCTCCAGCAACACAAAAACATCAAGTTATCGAACCAAGTGTCACTGTACTGTAGGTCGCGCGAGCACAAAAAACTATTATATGGAGATTTTAATAAACCTTACAAGTCTAGCTCGTCTAACTCACTGATAATTGTGTTCTACCTCGTCTACCTCACTGATAATCGTGATCTACCTCGTCTACCTCACTGATAATCGTGTTCTACCTGTTATTGACGAAGGTGGGGGATGTCTGCCATTATAGACTACTGAGACAGGGAGGTGGTACTGACGAGGGAAGGGATGGGGTACATCTGCCGCCACTCCGTGACTGTAAAAACGTTCGTGGCATTTTTCCAATACAGACCGTCCACCTTGTTGTCTCCTCATACGTCCTCCTCCCGCACGACAAGGCCGGGGTTGTCGATGCCTACGCTAGAAAAGTTGTTGGCGCCGTTCACCACCGTCGTGTTTGTTGAGTCGTAATGCTTGCGAGTGTCGTCTTTCTCTCCTTCTATTTGGTTCTGGAAAATTTCATAAGAGTCGTAATTACTTTGACCATTTATAATGCTGATAATTCGTAAACAAGTAATAATGTTGACCCCTAGATGACCACCCACTGCCCATAGGTGAGTTTGACAGCAGGGTACTGACCTCGGGTGAGTCGTGGGGAATGTGGTGACTCTTGATGCGGCGACTATACAGATAGATCTTGCGAGTAATGGCCATCAGCACCAGTGGGATGGGTGTCATGAGCACTGCAGCCGCTGGGTACACTGTGTGAGAGACAGTATGACACTTGAACCACTGCCTGCACACACACACACACACACACACACACACACACACACAAATATATAAATAGTTCTCATTATATTCATTGTTGTTTTGATGATGAGGATGTGAGTGTTGGAGGGTGAGGGTGCAAGTGCTGGAGGGTGAGGGTGTGAGTGTTGGAGGGTGAAGACGCGAGTGTTGGAGGGGAGGTTACGATTACAACATACCAATAGTAAGGTCCCCGGCAGGTTTCTCCAGGGTAAGCTTAAGAATGAAGAGGGCCACGGTAGCGTTTTGGATTCCCGTCTCTATACAGATGGCGGTACAGTCCCGGCCAGGCAGACGTAGGAGTTTGGCGAAGATTAATCCACTAAGGAACCCCAGCGCGGGCAGCCCGAACCCTGCGATAACCGTCTGCAAAGTGGTGTATGTGGAGGTTACAGAGGGCCTTTGGCTAGAGAGAGAGAGAGAGAGAGAGAGAGAGAGAGACGAGTGGAATTGGAAAGAAAACAGTTATATTCGCATTCTTCCTTTCCCTCCCTCCTCCTCTCGTATCCTTATCTATTACATTCTTCCCACCTCCTTCTCTTTTCTCCCTTCCCTCCTACACCGTCGTCACCGTAGTGAGGGAAGGTAGGAGGGTAGAATGAAGGTGAATATATAAAGATGGTTATGATTGGTCACTTCCGCTCATTGTGTGTGTGTGTGTGTGTGTGTGTGTGTTGAGATGAATCAAACAATCAGAGCAAGACAGAATTCGTAATACAGGATTTAAAAATAAGATGAATTTTATCACTGGAAGATTAAATAACCCCCAGCTTATTTCACCTGGTCACTAAACACCATAATGCTACCTGACGGGGAAGAGGGTGTTAGGTTAGGTTAGGTTAGGTATCTGTCTCCCGAGTGCTGATGGGGTGTCTGCATGTGGTTACTGTCTCTATCTTTCACACACACCCCCACTCCCCCTCACACACACCCCCACTCCACCTCACACACACCCCCACACCCCCTCACGCACACCTCCACTCACCGTAAAGTCAAAGAGGCTAAAGACGTAGACATTAGCGTAGACTCCGAAGGTAAATGTAAACAGTATGGAGAAGATTACCAACGGCGTCAACATTAGTTTCATCACCTTCGACACCCTGGGGAGATAATACTAGTTACCTGGGAGAGATATATTGATCACCCTGGGGAGATAATACTAGTTACCTGGGAGAGATATATTGATCACCCTGGGGAGATAATACTAGTTACCTGGGAGAGATATATTGATCACCCTGGGGAGATAATACTAGTTACCTGGGAGAGATATATTGATCACCCTGGGGAGATAATACTAGTTACCTGGGAGAGATATATTGATCACCCTGGGGAGATAATACTAGTTACCTGGGAGAGATATATTGATCACCCTGGGGAGATAATACTAATTACCTGGGAGAGATATATTGATCACCCTGGGGAGATAATACGAGTTACCTGGGGAGATATATTGATCACCTCACCCTGGGGAGATAATACTAGTTACCTGGGAGATATATTGATCACCCTGGGGAGATAATACTAGTTACCTGGGAGAGATATATTGATCACCCTGGGGAGATAATACTAGTTACCTGGGGGAGATATATTGATCACCCTGGGGAGATAATACTAGTTACCTGGGGGAGATATATTGATCACCCTGGGGAGATAATACTAGTTACCTGGGGGAGATATATTGATCACCCTGGGGAGATAATACTAGTTACCTGGGGGAGATATATTGATCACCCTGGGGAGATAATACTAGTTACCTGGGGGAGATATATTGATCACCCTGGGGAGATAATACTAGTTACCTGGGGGAGATATATTGATCACCCTGGGGAGATAATACTAGTTACCTGGGGGAGATATATTGATCACCCTGGGGAGATAATACTAGTTACCTGGGAGAGATATATTGATCACCCTGGGGAGATAATACTAGTTACCTGGGAGAGATATATTGATCACCCTGGGGAGATAATACTAGTTACCTGGGAGAGATATATTGATCACCCTGGGGAGATAATACTAGTTACCTGGGAGAGATATATTGATCACCCTGGGGAGATAATACTAGTTACCTGGGGGAGATATATTGATCACCCTGGGGAGAAATATTGGTCACCCTGGGGAGAAATATGAAAGACAGTGAGGAAGGATAAGTGGTAGAGTGGAGTGCGGTACTGACCTGGGCAAGAATCTCTGGATAAGTAGACCAACACAACATGGTATAGAGAGGCTGAGGACCAGTATAGTGATGTCCTTGTAAGGGATGATGAACTCTGCTTTGTCACCCATGATGTAGGGACCCACCATCAGCACCCACAGCGGCACAGCACCTGTCAGGAGGCAAGGGTAATGAGAGGTTGTTCCAGGTGACAAAAAATTCTTTGTTAGGTGTACAGTCAAAGGCAAAAGTCGTGTCGCGGTTTTGGCCGAAGATTAAATACAACTCATAAAACATTATGAGAGCACCCTACCACAAGGCAGAGCGCACCAAAAGTTTTAGCCATTCGGCATATGTTTTCACTAAATTTCACGACACGACTTTTGTCTCTGACTGTATAGTACCAGATATTCTACATCACACACTTGTTAATGGCAAACTTGTTGAAATGCATAATACTAGAAACTCTCAAGTCATCTTAAGAGTATTAAATTAAGTGAATGGTATGCTTTCGTTGGCGATTCTGTGCACACAGGTAAATCAGGTTGTGAATGTATAATATATAAAGAAAATGAGGCGAGTGTGTCAAACGTACAAAGACTGAACAATATACTTACGGGAGTCTACCTAGTTACAGAAAAAGAGCTGTGTGATTAGTATTAGGAGTCATGACCATGTTGATAGACTGACCAATGAAGCGTGTGAGAAAGGTGTAAAGGTTGAATAGTAAAGTGAAACATCCCTCCCTCCCTCTTACCGAAGGCGGCGACGGAGGAGATGAAGGTCATCATGATGGAGAGGTCGAGGGAGCCGCCCATAAGGTGGGTCCACATGTTAGAGCTGCCGCCCCCTGGGGAACACCCCACCAGGAAGAGTCCTAGCTGGGCCAGAGAGTTGCCTGGGAACGCTAACATGCCCAGTCCGAAGCCGAGCTGTCGAGTTAGTTTTGGTTAATTACTTAATGAAGGAGTAATAGTGAGTGGGTGGTGAGGGAGGGGGATGACAGTGATGGGGAGGATGGTGAAGGGGAGGATGGTTAGAGGGAGGGGGAGGACAGTGAGGTGGGAGGATGGTGATGGGAAGGATGGACAGTAATGGGGAGGATGGTCAGAGGGAAGGGGAGGACAGTAATGGGGGAGGATGGCATAGGACGAGGGGTGAGGATGGTGAGGGAGAGGATGGTGAGGGAGAGTATATTTGCCTGTCACATTAATATTATATAAATATTGGCTAAGGACATATATTCATTATATACATTATATCACCCAGACTATTGAGCATACAGCTACACTAAGCTTTGTTCTGTCACACCTCCGAGGGTGAACAGCCCAACTGAGCCCGTAAATATAAAGACTCAACCCTCAGTGTGTTGGTAGGCTGTTTAGATAATGTCCGTGTTGAAGTGTGGGTTACTCTCCAACCACCAGACTCAAGAGAGTACAGCCCAGTTCTCACCAGTTCACAGCCCGACATGATACCCTAAAGTCGTGTCGTGAGACCAGCTCTCCAGGCTGTACCTCTCAAATTATATCGGCTAATTACAAGATAATAGCTAGTGCTCATTAGTCTATCAATACCAAATAATTGTACAGACATTACTACCCAATATAACTAGAAAATCACCACTTGTGTTTACATTTAACCAAGGAAAAACGAGCGAAGAGAACAAAGGGTTAAGCCATCGTCGTCAAAGGGTTAAACCATCGTCGTCAAAGGGTTAAACCATCGTCGTCAAAGGGTTAAACCATCGTCGTCAAAGGGTTAAACCATCGTCGTCAAAAGGTTAAACCATCGTCGTCAAAGGGTTAAGTTAAACAGTGAAGGCCAAGTCATCTTACCAACGGCATGATGATATACTGACAGATCATGCCTATGATAGGACCGATAGGCTTCATCATGATGGTCTTGACTACCGAGAGGTCCATAGTGACGCCCATGATAGCGTAGAGGATAGCGATGAGGATGCCGAGGAGGACAGTGAAGAGATCACTCAAGTTCTGATAGGACAACAGCACCGTCATCTTCACCGTGACTTCCCCCACCATCTGAGGAGAGAACCACGAGGTGTATAATGTACGCCTGAATTATTAACATTTAGTAACCTTAATCTACCCTACGCTATCTTATCTTAGGTTAGGTTAGGTTCATCTTTGTTCCATATTTGTAGAAAAGTTATCAAGACTTTATAACTATCATCTCAATATAATAAGACATCACCAGCAGGTAAATAACGGTAAAATACAGCCAAGGACTCACTTAAGTACCTGACACTTAAGTCAACATGAGACGGCATACAAGGGTTACCGGAGAGAATAAATTAAACTATTTAAGAAAATAACATACAAAAACATCTGTTGGAAACTCACCACATTGTGATCATCATACAGCGACAACTTTATTTTGTTGTAGCCAATGAAGAGCGCGGAGACATTGAGGTTGCCAGTAAAAATGTAGTTGTCGTTGGGTTCCCCACGGCTCACAGCACTAGCCCACGTCACTGTTCCCACCATCTGTCACACACACACGTTATGACAAGCTTAGACTCAATTTAGTAATGACAAGTGATAGACACAGGTACTTAATCTAATTACAGTACATAAGATGCCTTCTGTGTGTGTCTGCATGCTATTTATGTATATCCCAGTTTTAAAGATAGAGAACTGAAATTTAGTGAAGAATCACGGGTGACCTAGGCCTAGGCACAAGCCTGTTTTTAGTCACTATCCTTTTTTTATCGAGGCTTCAGCTGCGTTCATGGTGGCTGCCGTTCCACCTGGTGCCTAATTAATTAACTGGAACAACTCTTGTTATTTATTTATTTATACACTTTCTCTGCAGTACTCTCCTATATTTTTGGCAGAGTATCTATTAACTCCACTAAAAAATCATATTTCCCCAGTTGGGTAACTTACCCCTAGATGGGAACTACTGGAGGGGGGGGGGGCGTTCACTGCCTCCGGTCCCTCCTGCCAGGTCAAGTCAAGTACAGTTTATAACCCATGAAGTGTTACTCTATTAATTGTCAAAAAGGTACAACAGATCGGTGACAATGGTGAAGGTTTATCTATCATGCCTTCAGTATACTGACACAGAGTTCTCTGATTATGTTGCTTCTCTCTCCCACCCACCCTCCTCCATCCTTTCCCTCCTCTCACTACCCCTTCTTCCCCATCTCCATCTCCCCTCTCCCTCCTTGGATAATGTATACAGTAGCTTTGCCCCCCCCCCCCCATATCCCCCTTCCCCACTCCCTTTTGTGTCTCACTTCATCACTGACGAAGGCGTCCACCCTTACGACGGAGGTCTGGTTGGAGTACCAGGTAAGGACGTGGTCAGTTCCCTCCACCACATGATGCAGCTCTTGGGGCTCCACCACCACACCAACACCTCGGTCCTCCTCCTCCTGCTGTAGGCGACAACACGTTGGTTAAGAAGCTCTTCGTGAAATAGACATAAAATACTTAATAAATTCATTACTCTTTTACTTTTTGCAACACCTGAAGATTCGCCTCCTCCAGTTTATTTCATCTGAAGATTAAGCACCCTAGCGCTAACCTAACCCCCTTAGGCAGGTAACGTAAACATTGGCCTGTTAATTTCTTATAAACATTTGTCACATTTAGGCTCGTAGTGGACGTGTATGCAGTAATTAATTTAAGATAATCAAAGATAAAGAAAGACTTACAACCTCTTCTTTCGGCCGTGCATCATACTTACTGTGTACTGGGCAGTGACAGCTCCAGCGGTCAGTGCTAACGACAGTACCAGCAGTAAACAGGACTGGTAGTGCCCCCAACAATATTGGGAGACGAAAACCAACATCCTTGCCATGACTTGAGGATCACAGGATACTTCTCGCCTCCTTTACAACCTCCTGTGGGATAATAATAATAATAATAATAATAATAATAATAATAATAATAATAATAATAATAAAGGAAGGTTGGAGAGGCAGGTAGGGAAGGAGGGAGAGACGGGGTGGGGGTAGCAGGGGGTTTACATAAGAACGAGGAAGTCGATAATAATGGAGGGAGGGAGGGAGCACATGAGGAGCTTTGTACCCATTGAAACTCTCTCTCTCAGTACATATTCATTATAAACTTAGTAAATATTAGGTCTTGGGTTAGGTTAGGTTAATAAGTACATACGGATGAAACAAACGCAGTCAGGAAATTTTTTTTAATTGGTTTAATATTCTATCCGATTCGAACACAAACGAAGAGTAACCACCACATCAACCACAAAACACTACAACTACAACAACATCAACCACAACAACATCAACCACCACAACATCAACCAGAACCACCACATCAGTTCCAGTACCTACAACAATGCCATCATCAACTCGACAATAGAGAGAGACTTCCGTGACGAATAAAATACTACTGCTGAGACAAGTTGATTGGTCCCCCTATACACCCTCCCAGTTTACCTCACTACCTACACCACCCTCCCAGTTTACCTCACTACCTACACCACCCTCCCAGTTTACCTCACTACCTACACCACCCTCCCAGTTTACCTCACTACCTACACCACCCTCCCAGTTTACCTCACTACCTACACCACCCTCCCAGTTTACCTCACTACCTACACTACCCTCCCAGTTTACCTCACTACCTACACTACCCTCCCAGTTTACCTCACTACCTACACCACCCTCCACCCTCACTACACACCACCTCCCAGTTTCACCTCCACAGCCCACACCCTCCCAGTTTACCCTCCCAGCTACCTACCACCACTCCCAGTTTACCTCACTACCCACCCCCAGTACTACTACCTACACCACCCACTCCACTACACCTCCCAGTTTACCTACCTACACCACCCTCCCAGTTTACCTCACTACCTACACTACCCTCCCAGTTTACCTCACTACCTACACCACTCTCCCAGTTTACCTCACTACCTACACTACCCTCCCAGTTTATCTCACTACCTACACTACCCTCCCGGTTTACCTCACTACCTACACCACCCTCCCAGTTTAACTCACTACCTACACTACCCTCCCAGTTTACCTCACTACCTACACTACCCTCCCAGTTTACCTCACTACCTACACTACCCTCCCAGTTTACCTCACTACCTACACTACCCTCCCAGTTTACCTCACTACCCACACTGTGGGAGTTAGTGAATATAAGTTGTTGACCAAGAGAGGCGTTGACTGTTTTGTTGATTGTGACGGAGATGGTGAGCCTGTAATTAATTTCAGCTGTAGTATAGTGCAATATATTTCCATTACTGGCACTGATAAGACCTTGGAGCGAGTCTGACCCAAGTGGCCCAGGGCTATAGCAAGCCCTGGCAAAATGCTGGCCAGACGAGATGTCCAGCCAAGCTGCTGGTGACTGTTAGTACTTAATCAGCAATAATTCCAGGGGGAGCAGTGCCTCAGATGTAACCATCCATAATTTTTGTTTAGCAGTAGTGTGCGAGGAGACTTCATTGGGGAGTTGTGCCACATTCACCCGGAGCCCTCCAACATTAGTTGCGAGACTTGTGGGCTCCGGCGAAATATCCCGACCAAGTTCTAAGTGAATTGACTAAGGTGGTAAATTTAAGTGCATTTAATAGTGAAACATTTCACTATAGCGTGTGGAGGAGGGTGTGGTACATGGTGTGTGGAGGAGGGTGTGGTACATGGTGTGTGGAGGAGAGTGTGGTACATGGTATGTGGAGGAGGGTGTGGTACATGGTGTGTGGATGAGGGTGTGGTACATGGTGTGTGGAGAAGGGTGTGGTACATGGTTTGTGGAGAAGGGTGTGGTACATGGTTTGTGGAGAAGGGTGTGGTACATGGTTTGTGGAGAAGGGTGTGGTACATGGTGTATGGTGATGTAGATCACGTGTGGGCTAAAGGTAGACCCAGGTAATCACGTAACTCCACTCACACAGCTGGATGGCTACAACAGCATTAGTAAACAGACTTAGCTGCGCCACCTTTACGTGGAAAGCGACGGGAGCGACAGAGCGAATGTCCTTGAGGCATGAAGGTGAAGACTGGCGGTCATGAGGGTTATAAAGAGAGTAACCAATCATCTATCTTCCTCCCACAAACATCAGTCAGTAAGGAAGGAAGGAAGGAAGGGTTTACACGTAGGTAAGGGTAGAAGTTTCCTTGAATAACTACTCGGGTCGTGTTCCGGGGTAATGGTTAGCCAGTGCAGTTGGCGAGTTGTCCGGTCTTCTCGGACTATTCCTTGACACTGGGTCATACAAATCGTTAACTTAGGGTGTGGTTGTTGTGTTGGCGACAGCTTCTACACCTTAAACAAATTCACGCCAAGGCGGCCCTAGGTCCGGCCATCCTCGTACACGAGGGGCAACCATTATTTTTGTGACGAATTATTGCCAAGTTTTCATGTCTTTTCAACTTGTTTTCTTATGTCTGTTTACTGTTGAATAATTTTACTACAACAACTTGATCATGTCAGTTAGATGTGATTCATGTTTCTTTTAAATACTTTTGTTATTGTCATTGTGAAATAATTGCGTCTATTATTGTGGGATATCATTCATCCAGGACTTGTTAGTGTGAGATATCGTTGATCCAGGATTTGTTATTGTGAGATTGCCATGCACCTTGATCGCAACGATCACGGTGACTTAACGTTTTCTAAACCCTACCTCACCCTCCACCATCACTATCACCTTACTAACTACAATGTGTTCGGGAAAAAAAATATACACAATGCCTTACAGGTTCCTTGTACTTTAACTGCATTTTCTGGTGGTTTATTTATTTACTTATCTCACGAAGATTAGGAACTCTTATTTTACCTGATTATTTACCAACGTAATTCTAAATGGAGGAATAGACAGACGGACGGACAGACAGACAGACAGATTTAGTCTCTCCCTGTAGTTAAGAGAAGCTGTAATTATAACAAGCGTCTAAAACACACAAGACTGTCTTCAGGAAGATTCTACTTGCAACCTAAATTTTCATGGAACACTCAGGCAGGATTGTCAGGAAAATTTAGACACACTACCTTCCAGATTGTCATGAAGATCGCGTGAATATGTGCATTACAATCTACACCATCTAACTTTGGCCTATTACCTGGTGGTGTGCGAGGCTTCCCACTAGTAACGAAGTGAACCCACAGGAGGCACTATACCAGGGCAATAGAGCGTATAATACAACTAATAACTTCCTACATACCTTATCTGTCGCCGTTCACATACGTATAATAACTCTCTCCCGGATCACTTCTTTATGCTCCTTTCAATTTCCCAGATTCATTCGTCGTGGAATACTAACGTAGCGATAATAGAAATGAAAGTCAAATTATACAGTACCTGTATATAATAATTACTTTAAAATATTAGTTCTTACCAGAGTAGCGTGTAAGTGGAGGAGAGAAGAACTGCGAACACCTCGGCGTCACTAGTGAAACTAACGGATGGAAATACTCAGGAGTCAGGGTTGCCAGTGCTAGGTTTGGTAGGACGGCGATCCCTCCAAATCCTCAAACCCCGCCCCAAAACCGCCAACTCCTTCCCCAAAACCCGCCAAAAATCGCCCAAAACCAACATTATCGGTAATATAATGTATTACGCTTAAAAGGACAGATAAAAGGTATAACAAAAATGGGAAACATTTTATTTAATCGCTAAAATAATCATTGACATCACACATAATTATACAGTACATGCACGCACTATTATACTGGAAATTATATAATATGAAATAAAAAAACATGAAAAATGTGCCCGTATCATCATTGGGTATGACTTTGCTTGGGAGATTGGTATCCCCGCATCCTCTGAGCAACGCTCTTATGCATTATGCAGAAGACCCGACAGCAGCACCTTTATCCACACCTCCTAAGATGTCCCCACACACAACGCTTCCGTGAAGCCTGCTGAACCACCACTCCATGACCCCCTGACGGAGACACGATGATCCTCCCCATACTGGCCAGATATTTTGTAAATAACATTGATTATGTGTTAAAGGAATATCCTTCCTTCCTTAGGCTTTAGTAAGCCCCTTTATAATATTTATACTGTATATACTTGTCACACTTGCCAGATGCTTCTGGTGTCATTGTACAGGGGTACCTAGTGACAGCACTAGGATCCCGCTTCCTCTATCAAGGAATAAACAATTGAAATTGAAAAAAAAAATGAAAAATGTGTAAACGTAATTAATGTATGTAAATTAGCGTACATGCCTAGTATCCAATACCCTACATTCTATATTATATAGAAATCCTAAGTTGTTTTATGCATCAATTAAGTCCACATATTCAAGTATCTTTACCAAGATCTATGGAATCAATATCCTGAGTAAAAAGTGACAACATAGCGTGTGTGAGTGTGAACGTATTGCAACGTATGTTTTGTCTTTGCATGAATGCACGGACAAGTAGGGCTTTTTCCCAAGCTTCTCTGTTGAATTCGGTTATCTTATTTTTTAGGAGGTTCATCTGTGAAAACACCCGTTCTACGGAGGCGCTACTGATGAGTAATGCCAACTACAAAGTAAACTGCCCGATGTCCTTGAAATCTTTCTCTCCCGAGGCATCCTGGTGGTCATGAACCGTCATCCAAAATTTATCCGACAGAAATTATTTCTTTGGGCCAGCTCATTCAACTTTGGTTACACCTGGAGCAATAGCGAGCCAAAGCGTCTCAAACAGTTGCAGAACCAGAGTGGTCGTGCTATGTGAAAAATGTCTGTCTCACACTATAAACTCAAGGTGAGGTGGCAACTTTTTCATTGTCTACGAAGCACACAGTTGCAAGGAATAACAAATGCACTTAATGCGGGTCACATGTGAGGTACAGGGAGAGGATGCTTTTGAAGAGTCCAAGTAGTGTAAAATTAAATTAAAGGGAGGGGACTTACTTATTGTCGGATGTATCTACAGATCCCCAAACTGTAGCCCACTAAATCAAAGGAATTTAAGAGCCTCAATAGACAACGCAGCGATGCTCAACCCTAGCCACCTCCTTTTCATGGGGGACTTTAACTATGGCGACATCGACTCGACTGGAGAAATGAGTTCACCCCAAATGACTCGAATAACCCTGTTACTCTTTTTGTAGAAACTCCTTGAGATAATTTTCTGTTCCTACATGTTAGAGGCCCGACACATTACAGATGGGAGCAAACACCCAAGCCACTAGACCTCAGCATAACAAACGAGGAGGGTATGGTGGCCAAACTGGAACACCTTGCTCCAGTTGGCACCAGTCACCATAGAGTGTTGTCATTCAGATTTAACTGTTACCTAGTCCAAGATAAGGCCAGGCCAAGGTGCAAATATTACAAGGGAAATTGCAACGGGATGAAGGAAGAGATGAGGGGTATCCACTGTACCGACTCATTAGGGCACAAGAACGCAGACACTACGCTGAATATTCTAACTAGTAAAGTGACCCATTTGATCGATAAATATATACCCAAGACCAAACTCAGTGCCTCTAGGAATACGAGGGGATCCATACACATGAACCATGCGGCGGTCGACAAAGTTAAGAAGAAAACCCAGAAATTCAAGACGTGGGTTGGGTCAAATGATGAACAGGACAGGAGGATGTATACAAAAGCCAGGAACCAAGCAAAGGCAGAGTGTAGAAGAGCTGAAAAGGAGTTTCAGAGGCTGGTTGCAAGCGAGATCAAGTCAAACCCAAAGGCGTTTTACCGCTATGCAAAGTCGAAATTAAAAACGCTAGTAGAAGTATCAGACCTGAGGCTTGAAGATGGTAGTTACGCAGATTCTGACCAGCATAAAGCTGAGACATTGAACAGCTTCTTTTCCTCGGTGTTCACAAGAGAGGATGCGATTAACCTTCCTGCGTTTGAGGACAGACGGTTCGATACAGTACTGACCCACATTGTGTTCACAGAAGAGGGTATTAGAAATAACTGTCAAAGCTAAAGGTCCATAAGAGTCCCGGCCCTGACATGATGCATCCCAGAGTGCTAAGAGAGCTCTGCAACGAGCTTGCCGAGCCCCTGAAGATCCTGTTCTGTAAATGCCTGGATGAACAAAAGGTCCACAGTAATTGGAAAAAGGCTTATGCGAGTCCTATCTTCAAGAAGGGCGATCGTCACTCCACGAACAACTATAGACCGGTGAGCCTGACCAGCATAATATGTAAGGCACTTGAGAGTATTAATTATCAAAGATGCCGCGATGGAACATCTGCTACGAAACAACCTTGTAAAGGATTGCCAACACGGTTTTATGCCGGGGTGCTCCTGCTTAACACAATTGCACAAGGTATTGGATATTTGGACCCATATTCTGGAACGGGGTGGTAATGTCAACAATATATACTTATATTTTGCCAAGGATTTCGACAGTGCATTCCACGAAAGGCTGGTAATCAAACAGGAAGGGTACGGAATTCGGGGAAATGTCCTAGCGTGGATAGAAGACTTTCTACATGACCGCAAGCAGTGTGTGGTGATTAAAGGCACGAAATCATCATCTGTACCTGTCACAAGCGGGATACCACAGGGCAGTGTATTGGGCCGGCATTTGTTTGTTTGTTTCATGAATGACATGCTTGACGTTGCACACTCATCCATACAAATGTTTGCCGATGGCGCCAAGTTATTTCGGGAAATCAAGAACCATGCGGACTGTGAAGAGCTGCAGAAGGATCTCTGTGAGCTCCAAGAATGGTCGATGAAATGACTGCAGAGATTCAATGTCACGAAATGTAAGAGGATGCACCTGGACCTGACATGGTGCATCCTAGAGTGCTAAGGGAGCTGTGCAACGAGCTTGCAGAGCCCCTGAAGATTCTGTTTTGTAAATGCCTGGATGAACAAATGGTCCCCAGTGAATGGAAAGTGGCTTATGTGAGTCCTATCTTCAAGAAGGGCGATAGTCACTCCACGAACAACTATAGACCGGTGAGCCTGACCAGCATAATATGTAAGGTACTTGAGAGTATTATCAGAGATGCAGCGATGGAACATCTACTACGAAACAACCTTGTAAAAGATTGCCAACACGGTTTTATGCCGGGGCGCTCTTGCTTGACACAATTGCTCAAGGTATTGGATATTTGGACCCATATTCTAGAACGGGGTGGTAATATCGACAATATTTACCTAGATTTTGCCAAGGCTTTCGACAGTGTACCCCACGAAAGGCTGAAAATCAAACTGGAAGGGTACGGAATTCGGGGAAATGTCCTAGCGTGGATAGAAGACTTTCTACATGACCGCAAGCAATGTGTGGTGATTAATGGCACGAAATCGTCATCTGTACCTGTAACAAGTGGGGTACCGCAGGGTAGTGTATTGGGCCCGCTGTTGTTTGTTTGTTTCATAAATGATATGCCTGACGTTGTACACTCCTCCATACAAATGTTTGCCGATGATGGCAAGTTATTTCGGGAAATTAAGAACCAAGCGGACTGTGAAGAGCTGCAGAAGGACCTCTGTGGGCTCCAGGAATGGTCGAAGGAATGGCTGCTGAGATTCAATGTCACGAAGTGTAAGAGGATGCACCTGGGGCGTACCAACGGTAAGGAGGCGTACCATATGTCCCAACGGGATGAAGAAAATGTACTAGTTGAGACTGTGTGTGAGAAGGACCTAGGTGTGTATGTTGACAATGAGCTGAAGTTCTCGGGCCATTGTGAGAAGAAGGTAAATCAGGCAAATAAATTATTGGGTCTTATAAGAAGGTCGTTCAGATATCTAGACGGTCCGTCCCTCGTGACGATCTTCAGGAGTGAAGTGCTTCCCCATCTGGAGTACTGTCACCCCATCTGGTCCCCGAGATATGCTAGGGACTGTCAGTTGGTTGAAAATGTTCAAAGGAGGGCCACCAAACTGGTGCCTGCACTTCGGCACCTCAGCTACCCTGAGAGATTGGAGCGCCTGAACTTGCCTAGCTTATACTACAGACGGGCAAGGGGGGACCTAGTTGAGGTTTATAAGCATCTCAGGGGGCACTACTCAGTTGAGTGTCCTTACTTGGAGCTGGCGGACGCTCGCCCCACAAGGGGTCACAGCTCAAGATTGAAGAAGCCGCAAGTCCAGAAAACCGTGAGGGCAAACTTTTTCGGAGTGAGGGTTGTAAACTCTTGGAACAATCTACCAGAGAGTGTTGTGACGGCACCGAGTGTGAGCTCTTTCAAGAGAAGACTTGACCAACACTGGAGCGGGTTCAGGTACATTCAGGAGCCGGTGCATGCCCAGTATTTGCCAACAGTGCGTGACAGAGACGTGACCGATCGCCCGGGCGGCTAGCGAGCCGACCTTTTGGTGAAGAATATAAAGGAAAAGAGACGTGACCGATCGCCCAAGCGGCTAACAAGCCGATCAGTGGCGAAGAGGATAAAAAAAAAAAAAAAAAAAATGATGATTATACTTAGATTAAGTATACTGTACGTACTGCCACGAGTTATTCCGTGTTCGTTGTATCTAGTAACAAAGATTTTTATAAGGAGTGTACAGTATTTTGTAATGTTTTACTGAGAAATAATATATATGGTTTAAAGTAAACTAAATAATTCAACTATTAATTTGTGCAGACCCAACTACTGAACAGCTGTTCAGTTTACTCCGTGTTCAATATTGTCCAAATTCCAGCTTTCTTGCTCAAAAAGTGCCAGAGATACTGGCCGGACTAGCAACATTAAGAAAACATATGGATCAACAATTTTGCAAGCGCCTCGCGGTGTGTCACAGTAAAGTGAATACTTTTACTTTTTACTTTTATCCTCTTCATCACTGATCGGCTCGTTAGCCGCTTGGGCGATCGGTCACATCTCTGTTACGCACTGTTGACAAGTTTTGGGCATGCACCGGCTCCTGAATGTAGCTGAACCCGCTCCAATGTTGGTCAAGTCTGGTCTCGAAAGAACTCACACTCGGTGCCGTCACAACACTTTCTGGCAGATTGTTCCAAGAGTTCACAACCCTCTGTTACGAGTTGGGGATTTAGAATATAGTTAAAGGTCTACCCAGATCCCAACAGGCAACAACAATAAAAAAAACAAAGACAATCGGACTATAAAAGGGTAGACAAAGGATGCGAGTTTTTGTTGTGTATAATAAAGTACCATAAATTCCTTAACAAAATATTCAGCTATCTATAATTTACCCTTAACCATACTTAACCTAAACATAAACTGTATATACATATTTATACAACATAAAATAATTTGAAGCAAGGTGGACGTGGGGGAGGCAATATAAGATTACAAATACTTAAGTGTGGAGCTGAGATGGCTGACGAGTAAGGCTGAGTATTGTAGAAGACGGTAGGTAGTCACTGTGCCGTAGGTTTCCAGGATAGGGGATCCTGTGGTCACTTCCCAGAGGAAACACAACTCTCCTCGAACTGGAGCTGACAAAGACTTTGAGGAGGTGACGCAACAACCAGGATATGGAGAAGGGAAACCCCGGAGTGGTAACTAAGACGAGTCATACTCGTGTTTCGTCCCTAGATGGCGTGGTTCGTGGTGCTGGGTAGGTAGATCAAGACAATAGATGGCGTGGTTCGTGGTGCTGGGTAGGTAGATCAAGACAATAGATGGCGTGGTTCGTGGTGCTGGGTAGGTAGATCATGACAATAGATGGCGTGGTTCGTGGTGCTGGGTAGGTAGATCAAGACAATAGATGGCGTGGTTCGTGGTGCTGGGTAGGTAGATCAAGACAATAGATGGCGTTGCTCGTGGTGCTGGGTAGGTAGATCAAGACAATAGATGGCGTGGTTCGTGGTGCTGGGTAGGTAGATCATGACAATAGATGGCGTTGCTCGTGGTGCTGGGTAGGTAGATCAAGACAATAGATGGCGTGGTTCGTGGTGCTGGGTAGGTAGATCAAGACAATAGATGGCGTGGTTCGTAGTGCTGGATAGGTAGATCATGACAATTGGTGGCGGGGTTCGTAACACCTCACTCCCAAAAAGTTTGCCCTCACAATTTTCTGGACCTGCGGCTTCTTCAATCTTGAGCTGTGACCCCTTGTGGGGCGAGCGTCCGCCAGCTCCAAGTAAGGACACTCGACTGAGTAGTGCCCATTGAGATGCTTATACACCTCAATTATGTCGCCCCTTGCCCGTCTGTAGTACAGTATAAATTTGGCAGGTTCAGGCGCTCCAATCTCCTCACTTCCCCATTGTTATATGATAATGAGGAATATATTTCTAAGTCCTTCCTTCCCGGGAATATGTCGAAATTATAGTCTATATACACTGAATACTTGTGCAGTACAATGTATACCTAATAATAATAATAATAATAATAATAATAATAATAATAATAATAATTAGGCTGAATAATAATATGGTTTGGTATGTTTTATAACAGCGCACGTATACAGCAATAGTAAACCGTAAGGTAATTCCATTAAGATAACCTACTACTAATCAGTAATAATATATATCTAATGGAATAAAAAAATTTATTTGTTGATAAATATACCAAGCCTACACTACACTGGTCGAGGCTGACGGATCACTTCAACAATGCAATAATCATTCTGTGATAATTAATAGAAACTCATTCATCTCTTACTCTGGCTTCATAAGTTAATATATTTTAAAGTTTTACCTTTGAATTGTTTCACAAAATTACTGTACTTTCTGCCCTATGCGTACAGTACAGTGTATATCCCGTGTTGTATTAATGTGCACCTGTATTGTCTACGTACAGTATATACCTAATGTGAACTTATATAACTATATTACTGGGTAAATATACATAAAAACTTGTATGTAATATTATTTAAGAAATGTTTTATAGTGTAGCGTTTAACGCCATCTACTGTGAGGGAAGTGAGGTGTGAGGGAGGTTGTGAGGGAGAGGGAGGGAGGTAAACAAGAAACAGCTGAGAGGCAGATACACACAGTCAGTCACAGTCAGTCAGTCAGTATCTTCCGGGATGTACCAACACGTCCACTACACATGTAAGATTATATTAATTCGTTAAAACAGACGATTATAATTATCCAATTATCGGTGATTACATAGACCCGCAAGAAGTTAGTGTGTGGTGGTAAAATAATGCATTGAATCTTCTTGAAACAGGAGACGAGTTTTTTTTTATTGTACCGTTATATCTTATTTTTACTACCCACAGCCACATGGTAAGTCTATTATAGCAAGTTATTGGTGTATTATAGGATGTTGTAATGTGTAAAAGTCTTCTGATAACTAAAATAAAGGCAAAATAATGAACCAGACTGCTGAACACAGACGAGGTACAGTATGTCACTTATCATCAGTCATTTTTCGTCTGTGCGTGTTACTAGAAATGGATATATAAGCTTTTATTTGGTTACTTGGACTATCCTTACCTGAAATAAATTAATGGTCATTCATATGTACACCTGCCTATCTATGTTATATGTAAACCATTCAGAACAGTACTACTGATCATCGTACAAGTGAGTTAGAATATAGACAGATACTTTATATAATATATCCTAAGAGCTTTGATAATTGTGTAGATTCTATGCACTTCCCTAATGCAAGTTGAGCCAAAGAAATTTTATCTCTACCTAGAGGTTATTTGCATATATATCAGTAATAGATAGAAAGCTAGATATTTATTTATTTATTTAATTCATCATGCATGTTCACATTTTTTAGCTTGTACATAGTGCAGGTATACAAGCAATTGGCTCCTTGTATTACCAAAACTCTTCTGGATCTTGTCTCTTGCAAAGAGATGATATCAGGATAAACAGATAGATAGAGATAGTTATTCAGTAATGTCATTATACAAGTTTACATTTAATTTGAGGTGTGTGGTATATATATAAACAATGCATATAAACCGTGTCTATAGACCAGTTAAGTATACAATCATTATTCCTAGACAGTGCCGGTACTGGGGTATCAATTAACCTCACGATTGTCTTTATCCTGAAATTTAATCCCCATTCATAGTGTGATCCTTACTCTTATAATATGGCTCCAGTAATGACCTTTTAGTACTGTATTGTAGAATTGATATTTTGAAGACCTCATGGTAATGTTTTAGATGTCAGACACAGATGAAGGAGCCTGTTTAGGACATTTTTTATATAGAAGAAAATTAGTTTCTTGTGTCTTGAATATCTCAAATTAGATGGAGGATTAGTTACTTTTTTTATGTTTTATGTTGAGTAAATACATTTTGTTTGGACAAGGACACCATGTTCACTCTCATCCTTGTGTTGACAATGAATAACAAAACTCGAACCATCCTGACCCAACCTAACCTAATATAATGCACTTCTGCACTGATCATGTATGAAACGATGCCAAGATTAAATCACTGAAGTAGTAATACGAAAATTGTCATAAATCCATATTAAGTTTTGGTATATTATTGATGATATTATTCATATTATTTTTGATATATTACTGCATTAATATAAACTGGTGCCAGATTTTCGTACCTATTTTGATAAAATCATTAATATTAATGAATTGTTTGTCTCTTCTGTATGCATAAACAAGTAATGGCGGCGTTCCAGGAAACCTTCGCATCAACGGAAAATCATGTTAGGTAAAACCACAAGTAGGAAAGTTGCAATTCCTCCACCTTTTATGATTATTTTAGAGAAAAAAAGTTTGCATCTAATAAAAAAATTCTTAAAAGTGCCTCATTCTTCCGAGTCTGTTGTATAAAGTATTACTATTTTCTCTTTGAGTGAACTAGAGAAAAAATACTCAGTAAACACGAGACATCACATCAGTTTGTTTGCATGTGTCTGTCTTTCTGGGGGTCAACCCCAAATTATTTGCAGCCTCACCCTCTAGTCTAACTCAGGGGTGGTCACACTTTTCACTCTGCCTTTTTTTACAAACTCATAAGATACCTGTAGGTGTTTTCTATTAGAAATATTACCACAATAGGTGTGCCACTACTGTACTTTAATATTTGTTATATGATTGTGATATATATTGTTGTTAAGGCATTAATTATAAATTCTGTATAGATGTACAGTATAGTACAGTCCCTTGCTCTCCATGCTAAAGCCTTAGTTTGATGCTGATAAAAGTGTTATTGCTCCTTTAGTTTAACTTGGTCAAACATACTAAATTTTATTAAGAAGTTGTTTACTACAGCTAAGTATTTTGTTTCAGGCTGAGAAATGAAGCCCATATTATCATAAGATAAGGAAGAAAAGAAGTGTGTGTGCTAGAGATACTGCTCTCTACGCCCTGTATTGTAAACGTACAGTACAGTCTTTATAACTATCTCGAAGGACCAGGTATGGACCACTATTCATTAAGGTGATACAGAATACAAGGTGTTTCACCACATCTCTGACAGAACAAATGAAGCACTGAGTTAATACAGAAAGATACATGACTGTGGAAATTTAATAGAAGAATTGAAACACAGAAGATAGTGACAAGGATGAAGAATAACTCCTGTCATCATTTGTGACCTTTGATGTTGTTAAGAGAAACTGACATTGTTGGTGTTCAGTGTCAGGGTGGGATGATATGGTGGGCCTGGGATGGTACGCCTGGTTGGTGGTGTGTGTACTGTGGTGGGTGTTGTCGGTAGAAGTGACCACGTCTCTGCCAGATGACCTCCTCACCATCACGGTACTCATGACCCTCCAGTACTCATTCATGCTGCTGTTCATCATCTCGGCCGCTCACCTTTACCGCACAGTGCTGCCCCATCCTGCCAGTGGCATCGTTGGAAGCTGGTTCACTTGAAAATATGATCTGTAATATTATTCTAGTGTAATGTGTACTTAAGAAAATGGATTGTGAATATACAGTACATGTTAGTGAAGTCAATGATAAAATATCATTATTATAATTTGTGAAATATAGTGTACTGTACACCCAGTAAGTAAACTATCACACCATATAATTGACTAAATCAAAAGTAAAGGTAAAATAGTATGATTTAATCCTCACAACAGACAGTCTTGATGAGAACATAACATATTACTTTGGCTGAAATACGACACAGCCAGACTTAGCATGGTGGTGTCTATGGCAGGAGTGTTGGTGGCGCTGGCGGTGGTGGCAGGTCATGTCTGGATCGTCTATGTGTCGGCCCCTCACCTCCTCCCACCAGACGCTTGGCTCATCACAGCCCTGGACCTGTTAGCTCACTGGGCCTTAGTGTGGGAGATCACTGCCTTCTGTAGCTTCCTGAATGATGTGGAAATAAAGGGAAGTGGAGGTGGATTTGTTTCTGAACTAAGGAACAGTTGGATATAAGGAAAATTTTAACTTTCATTAGTTAAAATTTTTCTTACCTGAGAAATTTTTATGTAGACAATAAGTGACATATTTTTCTTAAACAAATTGACATTTTTTAAACACTTAAGGCACAAAATCCAACACCACGAGAATTCTTTACTGTTTAAGGAAAGATTGTGTATTGATTATCACTATTGTAATGCCACTGTGTTATACATCTAAGACTGGAAAATATAGCTGCTACAAATATGGCTGCTGGTTTAAGTAAAGAATTCCAAGTTCTAGAGATGCAGCAGCCAGTTGGTGATGTAGAGGATGTGGACAGTTTACAGGGTGGTCACAGAATAGACTCTTGTGACGTGCAGTGTAAGTTGAGCGGCGACAACCCGGACGTTCATTCTGTGCCCGAGTCGGTATCATCCACACCAACCTCAGGAACCGAGTACAAATCATGTAGCAATCCTTCAACTCCAGAGAAACAAAGAAATTTGGGTAGAAAGGGATCAGTTACAGCACAGTTGGATGCCACATGTAGTGTTAATATGAGTGCTAACATTGCCAATAAGCTGAACCAGATGCGAGGGTCCGGGGAAAGTTTGGACAGCGGATCACACAATAGTTTTGAAGAAATTGAGGTGAGGGAAGAGTTCAGTCGACTGCCTCCAGACTTCGGATCCAGAACCACCCCACCCCCCAGCAGCAGTAGGAGGGTCTCCTCACAAAAGCCTTCACTTCGGCAGGTATTCCCCTTTATTTCCTGCCTTCCGTTTGAAAACAATATTGTATTTTGTTTTGTTTTGTCCGTTTGGGATAACATAGTTGGTCCACAGACTGTTTACGTTTGGAAGAGGAAAGCCTTTCCATCACAAAGAACCTTTGATGACCTGTACGAGGATAATGAAGGGATTGACGTGGGCAAAGAGAGTACAAAGTTTGGTAACCCAGTGTTTCAACAGAGTGAAGCACGATCAGAAACACATCTCTCTACACTCATGAAAGAGGAATATAGACGAGGCAAGAAGAAACAAAACAAGAATGGGTCTCGCAGGTCAAATATTGCTTCTGGTCACTTAGAAGCTAAATCCTCGATTGAACTTGAAAGACTTTCACTGTCTAATACAGGAAAGAATCTGGTAGACAGTAGTGTGAAACAAGTCATTCATAAAGAAACTCCAGGCTCGGAGTACGAAGAAAGCTCGAGCATAGGTAGTGTATTCCCGTCTGCTGCTAAGGACCAGGAAGATACAGCGTCACAGGAGGAGATGTCTCAGATAAGCAGTGATTTAGAGGATGAAATATCCCCTGAAGACAGAACTGTGAAGCCGGTCCCACTCATCACTGTTGGTCAGAGATCCACTGATGAACCAGAGGGACAAGGTGAGATATTTTAACTCTCTCTCTAGCTATAACTCATAATTCTGGTATATTACCTTTGCGTCAGTTTATTTATGGAAGAATTTTATTGACAGAATTTCCTAAGTGATCATTCATATCTTTCTCTCTCTCTCTCCGTGTAGAATTATTTTATTTTAGTTCATCGTTTCCACTTAACACTTTACTAGCCATTATAACTCTTATGTATTGATACACAGAGTTTGGGAGCGGTTGGTCTTGTGGTCGCAGTCGACTACGAATAGGGAAGGTGGTGTGGTACGTGACGGTGCACAGTGTTGGGGTAGGTCAGGTGGGACCGTCGTCGGAGAAGATAGCCTCATCACTCCACGTCGTGCCTCATCAGGGCATTATTATTGTGGCTGCTCGGCAAGTTGAATTTTCTCAACTTAGTCTGTCTGCGTTATACTGTACTGTATCTTGATGTGGTATAATAGATTATTCATTAACCTCAGTGGCTAATGATTCCCCCACTCTCTCTTCTCGCTTCATATGCACAAAAATGGACTGCATGACACATTAAACTTCCCCAGATGATGACCATCATCCCTTTTGCTAATTTCCACCAATGATGAAATAATATCTTTCCAGGTTTAGTGTGGAGGAAGAAGACGGTGCAGTGCCCTATTGTCTGTCTATGGTGGTGCCTCTGGAGGAGTACAAGAATTTCCTCCCCCTCACAGACACGGTCACCACCTGGCTAGTCACTATTGCTGCTACTACCAGGCTCCTCACCACGAAAGTTAGTGAATTTGCACAAACTTATTCACAAAACACAGTATAGACAGTAGTTCAATAGCCCTTTCAAGATGAGCTGTGGATTTTTATACCAATTTTTAGCTCAGCTAGCTAAGGACCTGTGTGTGTGTAGATTTTAGTGAGAATAAAAACACTTTAGATGTTATAAATGAATTAATATCTATACTTAATAAGATTGATACTCACAGGTTAGGCTGTTTGACTCTAATAGCTGATATAGTAAGCATTGGAAACTATACTTTAAAAAAATCTTTGTGTATCCTCAGTATGGTCTTGAAGGTGGTGGACGTGTAAAGAGCAAGCTGGTGGAGCTGTGTGATGTTTTAGTGGCCTTACGAAGTGCTAGTCTGGATCAGTATCCCCTTACCCCAGCCGGTCGTCCCCCTGATGACCGCACCTTTGCCGAGATCATCCTCACGTCGCACCTACAGACTATGGGATGTACAGTAGTTGTTGCTGACTCGCCTAATGCAGCTAATAAGGTATATAATGATGGTAGTTCAGTAATCATACCTTATTACACAAGAGCTCTTATGGCTAATCATGATTCAATTCTTCAACTATACTTTTAACCCTTTGAGGATGATAGTTTAAATAATATACCCATCCACAACATTTCAATGACATTTATAAAGCAATAAATATTCCTTAATATTGTGAGTGATGACAACTTTATTAAACTTGGTTATGGACAGGTGGTGATGTGGATCGCCCAGTTTTCCGACCCCAGTACCCTCCCGGCTTCTAGACTCTGCCTCTCATACACACAGTGGCCATTCCATCCTGGACTGTTTATTCAGGTAAAACTTTAACCTAATCAGATTCAATACATAGTTCTTGAATTATAAATTTTTACTCGGTCATAAAAACTATCTTATTCATCTGTGAGGTTACATAAAACGGTCGACCAGTACGGTTCATATGTCGGGTAGTGATAGTTAACAGAGACAGAATTTTCAGTCTGGCCATTATCCTCTGGGAATCAGTGGACCATATAACTACCGGGTGTGTAAATATAACTATGTAGCAGCATTGCCACTGTACAGTACTAGGGGAGCAAGACATAGTGATGATATAATCCTAGGTTATCCAATCACCTTAGATCATAAAAAGAAATTTCAGGGTCACTCCTGTATTACTGTATTTTACATCTACTGTAACAGGTCCTTGTGGGGCAGATAATAACCTGATGTTACTCATATTCAACAGGGTATTGTTAGAAGCTCAAGTGGGGAAGTGAACCTCTCTGCACAGAAACTGATCCAGTCAACACATCCATTGACTGTTGTGGATGTGAATTGGGGCACAGTCAAGCAGACCGGCGCTCCTGATGTTCATGCCCGACGCAACTCCTCCGCCTTACACCAGGAGCTGCTCTCTCTCTGGCATGACTTACCTGATGTGTCTGCACCATCAGAGTAAGTTGTCAGCTTCTTGGTCATATATTTAGTGTAGCTACTGTACTGTAAGTGGTTTTAGCTGTGAGTACAACAGTGATGGTGGTCATTCAATAAAAAATAGTTCCTACATCATAGTATGTTTCTCTTCATATAATAGTTGTGCCAAGAATGAAAACAATATTTTTCTGTTGACTTATATACCCATTCAGGAGGACAAGTGCAGTATATTCTCAAGGCTCTCCTATCTAGACACAGTTTGGTAAATTCCTTCACCTAACCAACACATTATTGCTCTCGTATTTCCTCGCCCTATCCTACCTTTAACCTCTTCTATGCATAGTCGATATCTGTTTAACCCTTTGACGATGATGGCTTTACCCTTCAGGACTCAAAAGAGTTAACATATTTGAAAAGTTCCTGAAAACCTGTATGTTAACCTGATCTGCATTAACCTAATGTATGTTTACCGGAATTGTGTTAACCGGACATACGGTTAATCAGACATTGACTATGTGCTGTCACCCTGTGTTTACCTCTTCTCTAAATAATATCATTTAGTATAAAGATCAGAAATTTTTAAGACACTATAACTCAATATAATTCTTGGGTTATACTCAGAAGTCTACTGGAACCTGTACGTGTAGCAGCCCCACTAGTCAAGCGCTTCCTGCATGATTATGACCGCCTCAGTTCCTGCAACAATGAAGTGCGACACAATTTTATTCGGGCATTCCTGCGTTCTCTCCAGTACACAGCCTTGGCCCTCATCACCTGGACTCAGCATGAATGGTAAGGTTTTATATCGACAAGAATTATGATGGATTTATTACTTAACTGGCCATTACATCAAGGATCAAGACAGTGACAAATAAACTACAGTATAAGCTGTTTTTAAAACTTCAAACTCTCTGATTAGTCTAATTACAGAGTGTTACTGCGTATCATATACTGTATGCAGTAGTTCCTGAGAGGTGTGATTTTAAATGAAACTAAATATTTATCTTAAGAAACAATGTAAATGAAGGGAGAGGAGGTTAGGTTAGGTACCTGAGAAAAAAATTCACCTGATGAAAGACGTGAACAAATATTTAACCCTTAAGCCCCGGTTTAGGGTGCTGCTAGTAATGCCCCGTTGGGTTAAATTGTGAAAAAAGTCACCTTTTCCAAAAATAATAATAATAAAAAAAATTGGAGTGAAAATAGGCGGACATTCTGGAACGTCACTTGGGGCTTAAGGGTTATGGTCAAAGAAATTATTTAATACTCACGAATGAGGATGGTGAAGGTTGCTTGCATCATGCTTCAGCTTGTACCACACTGAGCTACACTGGTTCTGGTCGTCCACCCAGACTGAGAGAAGACATTCCATATTTTCCATTACTTGACTTCAGGACCTGGTAATCTCCGTGGTGGGTTTGGTGAATTAAATTTATCCTTGTCACAGCGCTTTACACATTATTGTGCTGCTCACTATTGACCATGTTGTAAGTACAGTACTGCTGTTTTCTTTCTTGCAGGTCAGTGCAGCGAAGGCGGTCGGGTTATGGGTCTCTCCGTCGAGCTCTTGGTTCAGTCTTTGACTTGGACGAAGCAGACCTGAGGGTGGTGTTGGCCCAGGCGGAGATCCTCGAGCCAGGGTTCTATTCCTACGTCACATCCATGTCTCACTAAATACAGTACACATAACTTCCAATACTGTACAACGTTAAGCTGGTGAATAATTATGAGAGAGACCGGAATACTGAAGTGTGTTTCTCAACTTAATTATGTGATGAATTATTGGACATTCCTCATTATGAAAATTTTTATGATTTATTGAACTGTAAGGATAACCTGTTGTGTCAGAAGTTATTTATTCGGTATTACAAATTTTTAAAAATTCACTATATTTAATTTAGTGTGGGAAAACGATCAAGATTTACCAAGTTATATGATTGTCAAATATAATAATTAAAAGGATTAAATATTCTAACTTAATTTTTACTTTGTTTTAGATATTATTATTTGGGAATAAATAGATAAATCTCTTAAGGTTGATTTCTCTAACAATTGTGAATGAATTATTTTAGGAAGTTGCTCATGATAATAAATGTTGCTGGAAGGGGTTCATGGATCTTATCAAACTTTTTTATTATATGATACTGTACACAAGTTTAACAAATGAATAACTTTATGGCACAAAGTCATTTTATGAACGACTCTAAATTCCACGTACTGTACCATACATTAACGAGTTATCTCTTCGACATAATAGTGATCCCAGATACAATGTTTGTAACCTGTTGTGTTATTTCCTGCCAATAGGTCCTGAAGAATTGACTAATCTATTCATTGAGGTCATATACTATGCAAATTTAAATAAAAAAGTGCTGAAGTTAATATTATACTGTGTAAGATTTGTAAGCACTGGTTCAAGTTCTCTATCGCGTGTAGCAATCAGACTTCTTCACCCATCAAAATATTGGTGAAAAAAATAGATTTTGGGTTAAGGTTCAAATGCAGAGGAAAGTTGTTGGTTTGATCATGAAAAGAATAAAGTCATTCTATTGTTGACGATATTTTGGATACTCTTGTGTCATCTTAGATTCCTTGGCAATATTTATTACAAGAGAAAATGTTTTATGCATGTAACTATTGTGTAGACATTGTTTCTCGACACATCTAGTCGCCGGACTATTTTGGCAATCTTCGGTTTACCACTTGATGTTGACATTTAAGTGATGGATCATCGTGTCTGTGTATTTTGATGTTTAAAGAACTTGTTCATTCACTCACACTAAGTAGATTCATTCATTGTCAGATTGTAGAAAATTATATTTAGTTAAAAGAATAGATCATTAAATATTTACTTTAAAATTATATCTCATAAAAAACCATTGTCTAATGGCTATTATTAAAAATTGTGAGAAGAAATAGGGTTAGTGAATCTTTAATTGGTAATTTGTGCTTTCTTCAAAATATTGTAAGTAAATTATGATATAAGTTAATGCATGAAGTGATCTTTCGTGCCTTTATAAAACAAACAACTTGGCCAAAATGCTGTTATTCCATTCTTAGTTGTAGACTTTTAAGGATGTTGAATATTTACATACACATTTTTGGATCAACTTCGTTCAAATAAAATGGAAATTCAACTAGAAAGATAGGTACTTATGTAAATTACAAGATATTTTGAAGTGCAGTGATATCCCCGTTACCCGGAACAATTGGTGCAGAGCACTTCCGGGAATGAGATTTCCAGGTAACGAGAACGACTCTCTCTAAGCCGGAAAAAATCCCTCATTCCCAGAATTTTTCAGGTAACGGAAAAATATTCTCAGAATTTTCCTGTATATGTGCCCCTCGGAAAATCGTTTCCAAAGCCAGAATTTTCCGGAAAATTGTGGTTTAGAGAACGATTTTCCAAGAAAATTTCAATTCCGGCTAGCAGAGAGTTCCGGGTTTGATGGATTCCGGCTAACAGATATTACTGTATTTGTAAAAGTAAAGTAATTTGGTAATTTATATACATTTAGAATTTTGCCCTAAGTTAATGTCATAAAGGAAGTTGATTACAAATTATGTGTACAGTAGTAGAAGGTGCTTGAGGCAGGGGTGGGTGGGGAAATGGGAGTCACTATAAGCACATGAAGTAGAGCAGATCTTGGGCGTTTTCTCTGCCATCCACTGTTAAGAGTAAGTTCCGGTGTTACCGTCTCGAGAACTACACTTACTTTAGACGAAGTACTTTTTTTATGGTTTGTTAGTATATTATAAGGTATTGGCCTTGTTGTCAGTGCTTCATGTAGACAATTAATATTAGTTTGGGCCATCTTTGATAATGGAATGGGGTTTAGTGGATAGGTTCATTTACAAGAGAATTTTTTTTTTTTACTTTGTAACTTGACCTTGCATGTTTGTTTATAGCTTATAATTATTTATAGCTTGCTTTTCATTCCATAAAAAAAAAAAGTTGAGGTCCTAGTTATTGCTCAATAGCTACTGGTAAAAGGAATGTGATAAAACCCGCCATTATACTTGCGAGTCTTGACGTTTGTACGTACTGTAATGTCTCGGCTTTTATATGAACGATATATTGATATGATAAAATTTACTGAGGATGGCATTAGTCTTAAGTTTTGGCATGCATACATGTGTATCTGTGTGTTTGTACTCATGCACGTGTGTTTGTGTAATTGTGCACATATTTGTGGGTACTCGAGCATGTGTGTGTATATTTGGTTATGTAATTGTGTGCGTGTGTACTCAAGTACTTATGTGTGCGCGTACAAATGAGTAAGGCCGAGAGAACATTAAGCTTGTTCTATACTTCAGTTAATGGTGCATGCTGAGAGCAATCAGGCAAAATATGTTCTGTGATTATATGCCTTATTCTTTGCCACCAGTTTTCTATTGTGAGAGCATGTAAATAATTTGAAAGATCTTTAAGCTACAGTTTTTCATATAGGAAAGTACATTAATATATTGTTGCTTGTAGTTTATGACAGTTTAAAAAAAAAGCCTGTCCTGTAAATCATGTACAGAAAAGTTACTCAAAATAAACTAATATTGTTCCTTTACCTCTTGAATAAATTATATGCTACAGTTAATTGTTTGACTTTCCTCAACATTTTGACTCTGGTTTATGAATTGTAAATAAAGTTTTTATGTCTAAACATTTATAATAGTGTTACTTCCTCCTGTAGTAAGACCAGCACAACTAGTACCATATACCTTTTACAACACTAATGTGCTCCTGGATAATAGAGCACCATAAGAAACAGTAACAGTGATGTCTTTGTAAATGCACTAATGTATCTCTTCCTTTTGAGAAATACTTGAAAGGTTTCATTGCTTATCATTAAAAACACTAATATTAATACTGTATGCATAATAAATGTATTAAAATATATCATAAAAGAAAATAATTTTATTGAGAATGGAAATGAAAATACAAAAGTTATATACTACAGTACTCACCAATGCATTTGGTCAGAGCTTACACAAGACTGACCATTGTCTGGCGTCTCTCCTCACATGGTCGTCCTCCTACATCAATCCTTCCATCTCCTCCAGGAAAATAATACTTCTTGAACAAATTGTTTTGGCTTCTATTAACAGTAAACACCAATGTATAGAATGCAGATGTTCAATGTTGACGGAGGTGGGAGCCAATTGGCAGAATGGTAAACAGTCTACTGTCCATTATTTTAAACATTCAGGGCAGGAAGTCCGAGACGACAATAAACAAACTAAAAAATTCTAAATCTCAAAAATAATTAGACAAGATTATTATCATGGAATTGAGATTTCTGTAAAGTATCGCGAGTCTTTAACCTTAAAAAAAAAGACAACCCCCTTCACTAAGGGGACACCAATTTTAATATTCTATTTGGCTAACATTAGACGATGTTATTCAGCAGAGAGCGGACCCTATACAGAAGTGGTGAAAAATAATGTTCTGGTTTGGATGTATCAGAATACACTATTAGATATACAGGTACATACTACACAGTATATGTTTATTATATCTTGCAGTCATACCTGCCAAATAGCTAGAAACAGGTATATTTTCTTCTCTTCTGATATACTGTACTTTTTAGTACGCTAGTTATGTATATGTATTTACAATGACACTTAAACCGACTCCCTGAAAACTCATTTAACTAACCTGATACACTGAACTGACTCCTTAAACACATTCTTAACTGACCTAACACTAAACTGACTCACAGGGTTGAGGGACAACAGGTTAGGGTTGCACACTTTGACAGAAACAGTATACAGCAGCTACACCATAATCATCATCCCACCTAAGTTCTTCACTACGGGGACACCAATTGTAACATTTCATTTGCCTTATGCCAGATGATTTCATTCATCTCAGAGGACTAACCGTATACAAGGAGGGTTAAAGATAAGTTAGGTAAGGTATAAGCAAACATGAAACTAATAAGAATGAAACATATATTTTGAAAATAACTCTCTTAACAGTCACAGTTTATCAATTATATAAAGATAAAAAAAATATACTATTGTGACTTCCAGTAAATAATAAAATAAAATACTTGTTTTTTTTACAATTATTCCATTAACTCACTACAGCACACATGTAAATATTTTTGGCAACATAAGGAATATCTTTATCACAACATAGTACAGTATTATAAACTCACTAAGAATACCAATAATTACAGAAATGATGAAGACATTAAAAGTGTTGGGAAGATTTTGTACAAAATTCTTTAATATTATTGTGTCTGTCTTTAGTGTGTGTGTGTGTGTGTGTGTACATAGTGTGGTGTGTGTATGTATGTAGTGTGTGTGTGCGTGAGTGTGTAGTATGGTGTGTGTAGCATAATCTCCCAACACACAACTTCCTGCACAAAAAATCAAGTAATTTATGACAGGCTGCAGAAATTCTTATTAAATTTATCAAATGAAACGTAACCTCCTTACAGAGATGATGTAAACAAAACAAAGACAATGTAAGTACTGTACAGCATTGGTTTTAAGTGACAATTTTTAGAAACGTTCAAAACTCAAACTTTTCTTTCTTTCATAGTAAATGTGAACAGAACAACAGGGGTACAGTACTTAATAGTAGCTCATAAAAATTGTGTTCAAATTCTCACAACTTAAGCTTGGTTTGTTCCCAGAGAATATATAGACAGAGGTAGGTACAGTATTAGTATTATAGGCACAGTATTAGTATTATAGGCACAGTATTTTCATTCTAATGACTAGATTTACTCACACATCCTCAAACCAGAGAAGTGCTATCTCCTGCTAGAATGAAGAAACTGCTTAAAGGAACATATTCTTTACAAAAACCATACGGGTTTTCTTTAAAGCTGAATGATAAAAGAAAGTATTGTTAACAGGCATATACTGTAGAGGAATTTATGGTATTTTGCATGAACATCCAGTATACACTGTACAATATATATACAAAATACTGTACAGGGTATAACGTGTAATAACATCCAACTAAAACATTCTTCTTCTTAAAGCAAAAATAAAATCTAATCACTGTACTTTGTTGCCTCCATAAATTCAAATACAGTACAGTAAAATCTTTGTACAATGAACTTGCACAGACAGAGACACACACACACCATCAGAATTGAATATTACTTTTAAATGTACAGTAATGATATATGATAAGAGTCTCACCGACACCGACAGAGAAAGTTGAGCCTCCCTCAGTATTCCTACACGATCATCTGTTGTTCAGTGGTCATAGCTATGCTCAACTTATTCTTTCTTGGACTAGAGAAAAAAATTTCAGTTCTCTGTTCTACAAGTTGAATACACTTCTTGTGCAATATACCTCCACATCCCAACATTTCTCTTCCTTGGTACAATTTATTAACTTCTATTACAAACAAACTAAGATATAATTCACATAAAGACTCCATTTCTAAGGTCAATGTTGCTTCATGAATACGTACCAAAGAATGTGTGAAGTCATTTTCATAGTTCACAGAGATAGATATGAATACAAACTTTACTGTATCTTCCCAGGAGGAGTAGTGATGTATTAGATATGAATACAAACTTTACTGTATCTTCCCAGGAGGAGTAGTGATGTATTAGATATGAATACAAACTTTACTGTATCTTCTCAGGAGTAGTAGTGATGTACAGTATTACAGATATGAACGAAAACTACAGACAATTTCATTTTGTATTTAAAACTGGAGAAGTCAATCCCTTGAAGGAGTAGTTAACTATTACACAAAAATGGCTACACTATCACACAATAGTTTTGAGAGAGAGAGAGAGAGAGAGAGAGAGAGAGAAAGGAGAGAGAGAGAGAGCGAGTACTGCTTCTGCCATCGCTCACTTTCTTGACGTTCAAACAAGTACAAATTCCCTTACTCAGACTACAGCTTATCACTTGTATATAGTAAATAATAAAAAAATCTTCTTCTTCTATACATTTTCGATAGATGTAAACAAAAATAATCTCCTTTAAACAAAAGTTCTTTCATTTCTGTATAAAGCAAGGTTTCCACACCAAAAACTCACAAGACCCAAGGTTGCTGAGAGCAGGTGGTGGTCTGTGAGCTGATGATGTGTAGCGGTAAGACAAGGGGCAAAGGGAAGGACAAGGAGGAGAGGGGGATAGGTTGGAGAGACAAGAGATAAGTGGGAGGGATAAGGAAGATAGGTGGGAGGGGCAAGGGGGATAGGGTGGAGGGGGAAAGGATAGGAGGGAAGGAGAAGGGGTGGGTTGAGGAATTGGTATGTTTGCTGACTGACCTGTAAATGATGGTTTAGCTACACAATGAGGAATGGTCAACCAATCATAATGTAATGTAAACAAAAAGTGATGTCCACTACACTACAGTATATTCCTACTGTTATTGTAATGAGTGGTGAAATCATGGCACATACTGGCAAACCAGGTGGTGGTGGGTGGCAGCTACTCAAGGTAGAGAGATCCACCTATTCCACAATGATAAGTGTCGACTCTTCCCCTACCCCCCACCACTTAATTAAATCAGGTACACTAAAAACATTAAAACACCATTTATTTCAACATAACTAAAAATTAACACAACACTTAAATTACTGGGTACTGTAGTTTAATTTTTAGGGTGGGGTGGGGGGGTTGCGATGTACTAGCCAAAATCTGCAATATTATACAGGCTCCCATTACTGAACACTTTCATGATGTGTGAAATCATAAAAAGCAAAACCATCTTCCCATAAGAAACAATGTATACTGTTACAGTGTCATGGGGAGTAACAATCCTGGCTGGGAAGTTCAGGGCCTCTATACATGACTGATTTATAATAAAAAATAATAACTCAAAAGAAAGAACAAGGAAATACAAATATAATAAGCAAAGCAATCAGCCACCACCACTTAACACTCCCTCTACAGTACAACTAATTTTACCACCATTGTGACACTAAAATATGAATGTAATAGATGTTAAACTGTGTAAAACAACTGTGCAATTTGTGGTACATAATATAGTGAGCCATAAGCCATGCCTCCCTCTCACAGCCACACATATACCAGCACATCTTTGTCTTCATACAAAGTTGTTGCACATGATTTGAACTTTTCTTTATGACTGCATTGCAAAAAAATCCAACACACCAAATCTGGCATTAAAAATTAAATTGCAATAAAATGAAACTGTTGTAAGTAAATTTGCAATAGGACAAGGTAGACCTATAACACTTAGGCACAGTTACCTCCACAAGAACATACTGTGCCACAGCCTGGGGGTGTGTGAGGACTCCGGTACGAGATGTGGCAATGCAGCACTGCAGTCGGGGATGAATTAATGGGCGTGAAACAGTAAAAAAAATCGTTTGTGTGGCCACACATAAATGCTGAAGAACATTTATCACATTGATGCTTTATCTATGTTATTCAGCATTGTTGTGTAGCCACAACACACAAGGAAACCCAAGATTTCACGCCCATGACCACGCAGTGCGTTGCCACATCTCATACCTGTGCCCTCACACACTACCAAGCTGTGGTACATTCATGTGGAGACAACTGTACCTTACTTAAGTTTAGTGTAGTGGTACTCTCAACTGAGACCAATCCTCAAAATGTAGTGTAAATGTTTCAAAATAACAAAATACCCCCCCCCCAAAAAAAAAAAATGACTTGCCTACACAGCTCATGACTTGTTACTCAATGCAATCTTGAAAACACGATGGATGGAAGGAGTCGAACCCAACTTTGATTTGTCCTTTACATAGATCAACTTTCACTGGGTAGACCTTGGCAAATAATTTCCCATGAAAATCAGGTTCCTTACACTTACCTGTAAAACAAGACTCATCATTAATAAAAATTACCTTAGAAAAATAAAACCTTACAAAAAAAAAAGGAAGACAATTTTAAGCACCACAGAGGCACAGTATTCCTCTACACACACCAAGATGTGAGCTACCAAACGTGGCAGGTTTTCTCTGGGTATGTAATGCAGTTTCCTCTTGTATTAACACTGGATAATTCAGTTCATAAAACAGAACAGCCTGATCGTCTAAGAAGGTAGTATCGGTATGATGATAATTAAACTGCTCCCATTCCCTCCCTCACCACTAAGTGAGGTTCTATCAACACATTCATTCCTTACAATCTTTCTGCTCAACGTATATACAGTACAGTATAGTACAGTAGAACATCGATTTAATGCGAATCGATTTAAGATTATTGATTTAAAGCGACACCCACAATTAAGGACAATGTTTTAATTTAAAGAAAATCTTTCTTATTTTGAGCGAGTCAATTAAGGCACATCATATTTTAAATTTCACGCCTAAAGTCTCCCCACCAGACGCATCTCTGGACATGCTACACGGCTGCCTGCCACTCCTCCACACCCTCGCCTCGCATCCTCAGTTCTCGTGCTGGCACTTTAGTGAACGGATATACTGTACTGTGTGACACTATCTCTTCTACCACGTGTATCAACCATCGCCATTATGTCCAAGAGGCCAGCTACTACATCATTAACTACCCCACAGGCCAAGAAATCAAGGAAAGCAATTACACTGGAGCAGAAAATCAAGGTGCTGGAGGCACTGCAGCAAGGAAATGGCGTTTCAAGTGTGGGACGTCAATTTGGACTGTCAGAGAGCTCCGTCTGCACGATAAAGCTCAACGAAAAGAAAATTAGAGCAGCCTATGCTTCACCAGATGTTGCAAGGGTAAAAACCACCTGAAGAGTGCTACATATGGTGAGATGGAAGAAGCACTTAAGTTATGGGTAGAAGACATGCAGCACAGAAAACTTCCTCTCACTGGCCCCATGCTGCAAAACCAAGCCTACGAAATAATCTCGGATACTTGAAAAGGAAGGGAAGTCCATCAAAGACAGTAAGTTCACAGCAAGTACAGACTGGCTGTACAAATTTATCAAAAGGACGGGGCTACGGAATGTGACGCCTTCAGGTGAAGCTGCATCTGCCGAGGATATGAAGAAAGTTATGAAGGATATAGTGTTAGAAAATGGTTATTCTCCTTGCCAAGTGTGGAATTGTGATGAAACTGGATTGTATTGGAAAAGAATGCCCAAGAAAACCTAACTAATGAAGAGTGAAGAAAAAGCACCAGGATTTAAGGTCAGCAAGGACAGACTGACGATTCTCCTCACGGCGAACACATCAGGCACCGCACGAATGAAGCCACTCGTCATCCAACACTCAGCTAGACCTCGTGCCTTGGTTCTCATGGACAACGCATCTAGCCACTCCAAACACCCATGCAGTGTGAATAATGATGTAAACTTGACCTTCTTCCCTCCGAACGTGACTTCACTTATTCAGCCACTAGATCAAGGTGTTATTGCCTTGTTCAAGAGATATTATCTCAAGAATACCATGAGGCAAATGACTGAAGCTATGAACAAGGACAACAATATGACTGCAGCAACGTTTTGGAAGAGCTACACCATCAAAGATGCCATAACTAACATCACACTTGTGTGGAAAAGTGCCAGAAACTGCACTAAATGGAGTGAGGCGTAATCTGTGGCCTGAGGTAGTCCATGATTTCAAGGGCTTTGATGAAGGTGAGAACATGAAAGACATTATTAAGCTTGTTAAGGAAGTGAGAGGTGATTCAGGATTTCAAGAAATCCAAGAAGAGGATGTGACTGAACTGCTTGTTAGCATGGAGGATCCTCTCTTCTGAAGAAGTCTTGAAGATGGCGGAGATGGCGAAAAAACAAGAGGAAGAAGAGGAAGCGACAGATAAGTCCCAAACAGTGGGGAAGGAACTGACAATTCCTAAGCTGAGGGAGTTTATGCAACACGTCACTTCTGCCACCACTGCAACATGACACTGATATGGAACGCAGTATGCCAGTGGTGGAGGCATTGTATCTGGCTGCATCTACGTACTCTCAGCTGCTAGATCAACTGATTATGGCCCAGCAACAGAAGAAAATCACCTCATTCTTCCGTCCATTATCCTCATCAGGTGAGTTTGTTATGAAACCGTGTTATGAAACTGAGTGTTTATTGCTTGGAAAAATAGACATTAAATTTTGGGTATACAATATGTAGCTGGCCCATCTACGTCTGGGCAGACATGGCCATCATCCAGTGCTTCCCGTGTGTCAGATGTGTCAACAGCCACACCACTAGACAGTGATGTGGATGATGAGCTGGTCGAGTTGGGCTCTGCATCTTCAGAGGATGACTTGCCTAACTAAAGGCGATTGAAAATCTATTTTTGAGAGCACAGAGTAATTAAAAAAATAAGTTGAGAGGAAAGTGAGTCAGACGAGAGGCGGGTGGAGCGCGGCACTAGCCTCTCCCATCAGCTGATCGCTGAGTGTTTGTTTTAGCATAATACTACAACCTGTCCAAAACAATGTTTTGTTTATTCTGGGTGTATACTCTCAGTCGGGGAGGGCCAGTGGCCCGAGGCAGCAAACAGTACTACGCAGACTCTCAGTGACCTCCACCACCACGCACTAGCAGGGTTTGGCAGTGGACTACTGCACCATCCTCGTCATCGCCACTTACCACCAGCAGTCCCCCACCCACCTTGCGCAGACCGCCACTACAACAAAATTCAGCCCATAAGAGCCCGTACTGACAGATCTAACAATTGCACCATCCCATCTATTTTTAAAATAATAAACAGCTCCTGATTTATGTATTGTAAGGCCCTGTAAATGTATTGAACGTAAATTTTTTTGTCAAAATCACTTGTAAGTTTGTATATTTTCAGCCACCAGCTACAGCTCTATTAATAAGCCGTTTATTATTAGTAGTAGTATCAGTACCATCCAGCTCTGAACTCGACTGCAGGGAGTGCTTGCTGCATATATATCATTACACCATACATTTTTCTCATATTTACTAGTTAAAAAAAGTTTTGTAAGTATTATGTGTTTCTCTCAAGTACCAAACTAAATTTTTCCATTGAAACAAAACTTCGATTTAGCGCTAATTCGGTTTAAAGCGACCTTTCTTGGAACGTATCTCCCGTCAAAACGACATTCTACTGTATATATCTTAGAATTAGTAGCAATTGGAGAAAAAGCATTTAATAATGAAATATGTAACAATAATTCACTTTACCATCTCTAAGGCTGAAAGCCCACCTATGGTAGGGACACCTGACACACACGGTGTGATTTGGCAGTTCCTCAATGTCACCTGCATGGAGTGGTCCACCTACAAACAGACAATAATAGTGGTGTGTATAGTATAGTGCAGTATAGTGCAGTATAGTGCAGTGCAGTGCAGTGCAGTGCAGTGCAGTATATAACTTCTTCACAGGCACACTAATTATAACATAGATGAGTTCCAGCAGCAAGTTAATTACTCATATAATGAATTCTCTTTCAACAATTATGAAGCAGTTATAGCAGATTTAAAATAATTTGTATAGTCAAGTACTATAAAATCTATTAATAGTTGACAAAATTCTATATTGAATCAGTAGCTGGGTGTTAATAGCCTTGTTCCTAAAGTTAACAGAGTACAGTAGTGGTAATAATACGAACCTGCATGTGGACATTTTTCATCAATGGCACAAACAGTGTTGCCAAAGCGGAACAGTGCCAATTCGTGCCCATTAACCTTCACCCTAGTGGCAGTCCTGCCAAGAGATACAAAAAATACATTTAAAACAAATAAATTTTTGTTTACTTACAGGTCCCGACAGGTACCTACATAATGTGTATTGGGTACCACTCACCACCATGTCCTGGGTTCACTCCCTGGCACAAGACAGAGGTATGGAGAGTGTTATCCAGTGTGATACAGTAAGTCCCCGTATAACGTCGGCCCGCTTAATGTTGTTTCGGTACTACGTCGCTAATCTTGAAATACCAAAAATTCGTTTAATGTCTCGATGACACAGTACGTCGTTCTGCGTCGTCATAGACTACTTTTTACGGTACATCACCCTCTCTCATCTGGCTGCGCTACGCTCTCTCGGCTCGGCAGTCTCTCAGTGACTCACCACCCTCCTACCCTCCTCCACTCCCGCCATACTCCTCCACTCCTGACATACTCCTCCCCTCCCACCATCCACCTCCTCCGCTCCACTACCCACCACACACGCCCATCAGTGAGTACCAATACAAATTTAGTAGTTGTATATGTATGCATTATTTTCTATAGAAATGGCAATAATTTTCTGTATATGTAATGTATTTCATGGGACAAAGGGAGGCTGGGGAACATAACTCCCGTATTTTATCTATTTCTTATGGAGAAAATTGATCCGCTTAACGTTGTTTCGTATAACGTCGCGTTTTTAGGAACATAACCCCAACGGTAAGCGATGACTTACTGTACTACCAAACATGGCAGGATTTTTCAAGGTCCAGAACTCTGGTATTCTCCCCTACTAACACTGGATAACCCTCACTACCCTAAATGGCAGGTTTTCTGTAGATAAAAGAACTCCATTTTTCTCTTGTACTAAAAAAGTTCTTTAAAGTAACAAAAAACTAACCAACCACCTGAATAATGACTAATAAGATGATAAAGTGGTGAAATGATAAATCAAAATAAATTACATTAAAATATAAAAAGCATCATTTAAAATATTCATTTGGTGGAAATCAACTAAGACGGTTTATTAGGCCTAAAACTGTGACATATAAGAACAGCCATTACTTTTTATATTATTGTAACTATGCACTAACTTTATCAATCACACGTTGACGGGAGAGTGTGTGAGGAAAACTTTAATTTCTAACTTTGTCCCTTCACCCATATCACTCTTTACCAATATTTGTTTTTATTAATGAAAGTTACAATATTATATTCCTATACTGTAATGTACGGTCAGCCACAGGAATAAGAATACACGCTGTAGCTGTAAGGTCCGAAAATGGTCTGGTAACGTTGAAACTGTGCATCCAGACGCATGATGAAGCTCGGCTCCCCCCACCTGTTATCTCTAACTATTTTCTGTTTCCCTTCTTTATTCTTCTATTTACTCCTCTTCCTTCCTTTACTAATCCAAACTTCAGTAAAAAAAAAAAAAGTAGGGTAAGGGAGAAAGTGGGGGAGGAGGAGGGAGCTGTACGATAACTGTAATCCCATTGGGCAACAAGTTTACTACCATTGGATACAATATATTACTTGTAATATAAACACAAGACACTAGTTAAACATTCACAACAAATGTATTTATAACATATATGTAGGAATAAAACATAAATTACAGGTAATTTTGTCTGTTCTGTTCAGGACAGTGTTACCAGATATTTTGTCTCAAACAATAAGAATTGTAGGTGTATACTTATTCTTGTGGCCAACTGTTAGATACACACAAATATCTGCAGGAAGACATAATGTAAAAAAAAAATTAACCGATACAGTAACAAGTTATACTACTGTATATGGTAAGAAGTTACAGGTGTAAGTGTGTGTTGTCAACTGTTGCTCTTACAATGAATTATGAATTTCAGCCAGAAATAGGCAACCCTTCACTTCTCTGCTGCTTAAACCACCCACACACCACTCAACGTATTTTGTTTTGGATAGAGGGAAATATTATATGTACCAAATGCATGGCTCTATACAATACATTCCATTAAAACAACAGTCTGCTAATGCCACATGTTTTAGAGAAATAAATATGTCTTATATATTGTATAGTGTATTGTTCCTATAACTTGACTGACTTATCTATTCATTTTTTGTCTTTTTATTTTTTGGGTTTTTTTTACTGATTTATCTGACTAAATTCCACTTATAGTTTTGAAGGGCAGAAGAGGGAGTTTCATCACCTGTGGTAGAGGCAAAAAGTAACAGTTGTTCACAGGCCTACCTGAAAGCTTTTATTATCATATTATCTCAAAATAGTATTTAATGTTAAACCACCTAGGTATAGCACCCCCCCCCCGCTCTAAAAAATAGAGTACAGTATTCCAAATGTGAAAAAAATATATTTTTAAAATCCCATTAGCTTACATTATAGCAGGCCTGCAACTTTTAAATTTTGGTGGGTCTGTAAATGCATGATCATGCCAACATGTTAAGGTCTGACCAGACAACTTCTCCCTCCAAGTTGATTCTTTCTTCCAGTCAAACAAGTCTGTAATACAAAACACTAATAATTTTTGGGTAATACATTAAACATTATGTACTCTATGTCTATACGACTATCTACAGTACTGCGGGGATAATACATGATTAAAACCTTGCGTACAATCATATAATCTCACAAGTATACAGTATTATTGTACTCAAGGGGCTAAGCTGTCATATTCAAGGATAAAGATATCTTACTCAGTGGGCAGTCATAGTACTCAAGGGGTTAAAGCCCATTTAGGTGATGCACAACCCTGATTCTCAGGCAGTACTTTTAAAATTCAAATTTAAGGAGGAATGAAGAAGAGATGAACAGGTACATTTTGATAGTTTATTCATTTGCAAACATAGCATGCTTCATTTATCAAAACGAGCAGTTTTAAAGAAAAAGCTGTGAATTCTAGAATTTTATTCTTTGCCTTTTTTGTATCATAAATTGTAGACTTTCCAATGTCGTATGTTAACATTAGAACAGTAATGCTCACACCACGTTCTAGTTTTTAATTATTTCAAGTTTGTCACTCAATTTCAACATGTTCTTCTTTCTCTTCACACAACGAAGTTTATCTACTTTAGGAGCCATTATTATGGGCTTGTACAGTACTCTGTAAATGGAAAGAGTAGGACTCAAAATTACATACGTTGTCACAGTTTGATTACTCGTTTTAAAGTGGTGACTGTGTGGTCGCTTGTCGTCGCCATGCAGCTGTGGCGCTCATGCATGCGCACATACTGTACACACAAAAGCCAGCTAAATTTAAAAGAATAAATAAATTTAGTTTTCGAAAAGTCCAAGTTCTCGGGTGGTCCAGACTTCTGGCATCCAGATTTTTGGACTTTTACTATTGTGGATTCATATCTCCAAAACTTATTTTTCTCAAGGTAGTTATGCCATCTTAATTATCATGAGTGATAAGCCAATGGGCATTAAATTTTAGCCAATGGGCATTAAATTTTAGCCAATAGGGAATGAGTATAATAACTGATATTATTACCTTCAAAGTTATCAGTTGTGTTCTGCTTCTCCTTTATTGACAATGATGCAATTAATATTTTTGTGAACCTTAGTATTATTCTTAGTAAAGTTGTGACCTGTACAATAATCCATGCGGGTAATACTTCAGATGTCAGATTCAGAAGAATTAAATTTCTTTCTAAACTCTGTAATAACCTAAATTGTCTTCCTTATATTTTATTAAGAGTACAGTACATGTACTGTATCATACATAACATTTCACTTGGATGAGAGAACACCAGATTTGCCCTCCTCCTTGTGTTGACAATAAATAACTAAATAACCTTAGCCATCTTGACATAACCTAAATTAATGCATTTTCATCTTACGTTAGGTCAGGTTTTGGTTGACTTTATCGTATCTGCAGTAAATCATCTGTGTCACTGTGGGAGATGCATCTACTATCCTGTTCAAGTATTAAATGCTTCTGAGGCTATATTGTCAAAATAATAATACAAAAAATTGCCATAAAGCATCGTAATTTTTTTTTATATTATTGATAATAAAGTATAAGCTAATTCCTTTTTTTGTGTTTATTTATTGGGAGCATTAATGTCTATTAAGTCATGGCAGCATCCCAGGAAAATTCTGAAACGTCGTGTTAGAACAAAAGTGTTGGAAATTTTTTTATTTTTTCTCAGTTCTTGTTGATGTTACCACCGTCTGAAAGAGTTCCTGTGCTCGTTTGTTGGTTAATAGGCTGCATTACGCAAGTGCTAGAGTCTGACACGTGCGCAGTTATTTTTTGGACGTTGATTGGTGGGTATGATTTTGGATTAACCAATCACAACTCGGTATTGGCCTCCTGCTGACCCCCCCCCCCCTCAGTTAGAGAAACAACAGCCTGTGGATGACAAGGAGGAGCTCATGACCCTAACTCAATCTTCTGGGTTTAGGGTTAGGTTAGGTTTTGAATTATTCTAACCTTCATTTTCATCGCAAATTACTGCTTTGTGATTTTCCCCCACCCAATATCGCTTTCTTTGGGGGGGGGGGGGATTTTCTCTGAAAGTAATCACGCGCATAAGAAATATATAGAAGAAAGGTGTCTTAGAATTGTCTAAACTATCGATTCCAAAACTTAAAATCTTAAAAATTGCTGAATGACCTAAATGATAATTTGACCTAAAAATTTTAAATATCCAAATTTGGTAAAGTTCCAAATCCTCCAACTATTTATAGCTATTCTAGAGGTATGAAAAGTTATCTTCGTTAGAAAATTTTCCTAAAGCGCCTCTTTCCTCCGAGTCTGACATCTAAAATATTACCAATTTGGTTTTGTTAGGTTAGCTTACCAGTACGGTCCAACTAATTACCCAAATGTAGCCACAATGAAGTCAAATGATGGTCGTACAAGCGTAAATCGGGCTGTGAATCACTTCTCGATTATTATTTGGTGTCATATAGTCACAAAAAATTGATAAACTTAATTTAATCTGAGTTGTGTTGTGTTAGGTTAGGTTAGAATAGGTTAGGTTAGGTACATGCACTTGATCTATTAACTCAGATTAAATTAAGATTACCAATTTTTTGTGACTTCGTGACACCAAATACTAGTCGAGGTTAGGTTAGGTTAGGTACATGCACTCGATCTATTAACTCAAATTAAATTATGTTTTCCATTTTTTTTTACTTTGTGACACCAAATACTAGTCGAGAAGTGATTGGTAACCCGATTTATTCATGTAGGACCATTATTTGACTTCATTGCGGCTACATTTGGGTACATTTGGGTAATTAGTCGGACCCTACCAATATGTTTTATTAGGGTTTGTTAGGGTGTTGGGTTTTGTCTGGTTAGTTTCCCTTTTGAACAAGTTCGGTAAATATTCGTTTAATGACTGTGACCTATTTTGTTATGAGAATTCAACTTCCAAACCACTGTTGAAACCAAACCAGACCAAACTTAACCTCAATCAAACATGTATTACTAAATAAGTTATCCTAACCAACCAAACCTACCAAACGAAACCTATTATCTTGTCAAGGCCATTAAACGAATATGAACTATAATTACATAGCACACAAAATGACATTGGCATAATAAAGATCGGAAATAATTACAACACAAAATAACAATACAAAGATATAAAATTTAGGTAAATTAAACATAAAATCCAAAATATACTTTAACCATATAATTACTCCGGCATTTCAGAGTGAACGATTTTAACTTAATGAGACCCACAAGTTCATATTACTGTAACGTATTAATACTATTTAATCCCCAATATTTTCTTTTCAAATAAATACATTAACCCGTGAACCTTTACTCAATAATAGTATAGAAATTAAATATTTATTAAAGTTCTTTAACACTTAGATCTATTAACTCAGATTAAATTAAGATGTACCAATTTTTTGTGACTTCGTGACACCAAATACTAGTCGAGGTTAGGTTAGGTTAGGTACATGCACTCGATCTATTAACTCAAATTAAATTATGTTTTCCATTTTTTTTTACTTTGTGACACCAAATACTAGTCGAGAAGTGATTGGTAACCCGATTTATTCATGTAGGACCATTATTTGACTTCATTGCGGCTACATTTGGGTACATTTGGGTAATTAGTCGGACCCTACCAATATGTTTTATTAGGGTTTGTTAGGGTGTTGGGTTTTGTCTGGTTAGTTTCCCTTTTGAATAGTCAAGATTCGGTAAATATTCGTTGATATTATGACTGTGACCTATACTAGTTGTTATGGTAGAATTCAACCATTCCAAACCACTGTTGAAACCAAACCAGACCAAACTTAACCTCAATTCAAACATGTATTACTAAATATTAGTTATCCTAACCAACCAAACCTACCAAACGAAACCTATTATCTTGTCAAGGCCATTAAACGAATATGAACTATAATTACATAGCACACAAAATGACATTGGCATAATAAAGATCGGAAATAATTACAACACAAAATAACAATACAAAGATATAAAATTTAGGTAAATTAAACATAAAATCCAAAATATACTTTAACCATATAATTACTCCGGCATTTCAGAGTGAACGATTTTAACTTAATGAGACCCACAAGTTCATATTACTGTAACGTATTAATACTATTTAATCCCCAATATTTTCTTTTCAAATAAATACATTAACCCGTGAACCTTTACTCAATAATAGTATAGAAATTAAATATTTATTAAAGTTCTTTAACACTTAGATATAGCTCTTTAACACTTAAGTACGTGTAGCTAAAGTTCAACAAAACCTTCCTCACCATATAATGTGACGTTGTCAACTGGAAAGTATAATTTCTCCTGTTGAGCAGTCATATTGTAGTTCCTAGATGACTGTGGTAGATTTGGGGAGGCTGTAGTTAGCTGAATGTGGTAGAATTAAGTAAAAATAAGACCGGGAAGCAGATACAGCATACGTCTGACCGGGCTCCTTGCTTTGTAATGTTGCCAGGTCTAGTTGCCAAGAGTTCCCTAGATTCTCCCTCAAAAATTACCCTGGTTGTCACAAAATTACCCTAAATTAATATATATATATATATATATATATATATATATATATATATATATATATATATATATATATATATATATATATATATATATATATATATATATATATATATATATATATATATTTTTTTTTTTTTAAATGTCCGTGTCCCACCATCGATCTATCTATCTTCAGCTAGCTATTTATCTATCTTTTATATACATACACTCCAGGTTATAGATTCCACGAAGCTCACCATATAGACAACAAACTAAATTAGAAACCACACGTCAGTGAAGTTATCAAATCCTCCAGTTTCCGTCTCCACCTCCTACGCCGACTCAAGTCCCTCGGTGTTCCTGCACACGAGCTCCTCAGTGTTTACACAACATTCATACTTAAGCTCACCTATGCCTCACCTGGTCTTCCTCCCTAAATGCCACACAACGTAAACACCTAGAAAAAGTGCAAAAGAGGCCATGCAAGATTATTCTCTCCTTCCTACTCCACATATCAAGAAGCGCTCAACACACTGACCCTTTCGACTCTCACTGACCATCACCACGACCTCATCTGCAAATTTGGTAAGAAGCTTCTACACCATCCTCGACACCGTCTCCTACTACCACCTGAGATCCCTAGCCCGAGAATTGCTGTTCGACACCACAACCGCATCCAGCCCATACGTGCACGAACTGATCTCTATAAGAACAGCCCAGTCCCAACCATTGTAAAAATTATCAATAACTTGTAATAAACCAGTGTATTCACTCCCAGTAAATACTACTTCTTGCACTGTCACTATGTTGAAATGCACTATAGTTTGAGCTTTTCCCCATCTAGTTATTATATATCTTATTTGTATCACTTATGTTACTTGTATATTATTTGTAATTCGAAACCCATTCCCCAAATATGTAACTGCATATTTTCAGCCTTCTGGCTGCCAATCTCTTTCAATAAACCGTTAATTATTATTATTATTAATCATTATATACTGGAGAGAGAGAGAGAGAGAGAGAGAGAGAGAGAGAGAGAGAGAGAAGATTGTAGTGGACGTCTCCCCTACAACTGGGTTGCTGCAGGCCACCTGGGACGTCTTCCCTAGCAACCAAACTAGCGGCCCAGGGGGGAGGCGTCACCAGATGCCACCGTATCCTAGCAACTGAGTCAAAAGACCGGCTACTTCCTGGGTTTTCCCTACATGACTCACGGCTGACTCACGGCTGCTGGGTATATAAGCTCTGTCTCTCCATTGAGATTCATTCTGGCCTCTCTACTTGAACACGCAACACCTCCTCCTCCGCCGCTGCCTGGCGGCCCTCGCTTCTCCTCCGCCTGCCTGGCGGTCCTCGCTCCCGCCAGCGAGCATGGCGACCCACCAGCTGTCCTTCTCTGAGCTTCCTCACCAACCAGCTCTCAATCTGCTCTCGGTTCCTGAACACGCAACACCTCCTCCCAGCAAGCTCCTCGCTGTCCAGCTTTCATTCAACCAGGAGGCCAGCAACAGGCAACATCTTCTCTAACGAAGCTCCTGCACATCTACCTCCTTCAACACGCTACTCACCGAACGTGTCTACTGAGCAGCTCCTCACCACACGGCACCTCCAGCACCAGACTGTCTACCATATAACTTATATTATATAAGAAAACCACCTTAGAGTTTCCATCCATCCTGAGTGCTAGACAACATTAATATCACGAAACCCTACAAGATCAAGAAACCTTCAGCGCCTTGACGTGTGAAGGACAGGATCGTTTCACGTTCAGTACGTGTAAGGGTTACCGTTGGTTTGCTGACAGCTCGCTCAGCCAGTCATGCAGTCTGTCAATGAAACATGCAAACATTTCTATAAATTTGGGGGCCCACTGATGAGTTTGGCCTGGGGCCCACATGTAGGTAAATTCATTAACTAAGAGTCATAGTTAATGAATGTACGTTTTTAATGGCTTAGTTTGGTCTGACAAAAGGCACTATAAGCTCTCTCATTTATTTTTTTTACATATGTGGCTGAAATACTGTAGGTTTAGCAATGGCAGGTAAAATTACCCTAGAATTGGGTTTTTTCCCATTTCTTCCCTGTTTCCCTGCAAGCTATGAATAGGGTAATTACCCTGTACCTGGCAACAATGATTTTAAATTTTAGCCCCAAGGAACCTTACTTTTATCCTCTTCACCACTGATCGCTCGTTAGCCGCTTGAGCGATCGGTCACGTTTCTGGTTACTTTTCCTTTTCTTTTATCCTCTTCATCAAAAGATTGGCTCGTTAGCCGCTTGGGCGATCGGTCACTTCTCTGTTACGCACTGTTGGCAAATACTGGGCATGCACCGGCTCCTGAATGTACCTGAACCCGCTCCAGTGTTGGTCAAGTCTTGTCTTGAAAGAGCTCACACTCGGTGCCGTCACAACACTTTCTGGCAGATTGTTCCAAGAGTTCACAACTCTCACTCCGAAAAAGTTTGCCCTCACAGTTTTCTGGACTTGCGGCTTCTTCAATCTTTAACTGTGACCTCAATTTCTGAATGCAAGCATTGATCAGTTTGCGAAGGAACGCTTTAATATTCTATCTGTACTGACAATATAACCTGGAGTGTCTTAATATACTGTATATATCAACAATGGTACAAAATAAATAATTATCATCATCTCACCAATATGTCAAGGGTTACTAAGATCCACGGCCCGGACTCATGAGAAGGGTACTGCTGCCGACTTTGCCAACATGAACTTTGCCAGTCACAACTCCCCACTCTCCTCACCCAACCAGTGAGAAAACGGTTTCAACTAAAGGATTATACAGAATCTTAACACCTTGACATTCCCTCCCATGATTTATTTAACTTTGCTACAATGTTTATCTTTCTGGATTATGTTGACCCCACAGCTGTCACACACAGTTCACCTTCAGTACAGTATGTTTATACTCTTCCGTGTCAACCATGTATAATGACGCAGATAAAGTGTTTGTTTCTTGACAATATCTTTAAAAACGGTGAAAATGGTGTCGATAATAAGCGCTGCCACTAAGTTACAAGTATTTTTTATTTGTATTTCAGTATAACTGTTTTCATACAATTACTTTAGATTATACACCATAATAAACACTTTCGTTGTTAAATCTGTAGTGTGGTTCAGGGTAAAAGTAATTTCACATAAAAACAAATCCAGTCAAAATGATGCACAATAACAATTAATGTAATAAGTAGATCGTTATTTGTATGTTTTATGGTGAAATTTATCCGCCTACTGCATTTACCTAATTCTGTATAATATATTGAATCAGTGTTCCTCAGAGGTCAAGGCTGGACAGCGGTTCTGTACAAGCAACGTCAGGCAGCTCGGGCTGATGCAAAATTTGTATCATTGGATGAATTAGTCAACACTAGCAATTACAAAGCTCGTCGACGTAACAACAAAATATATTTTCCCTAACGTGAGCTAAGTGGTCGTGGGATGGGGGTCTGGAGAGTCCTGGAGTGGACAGCAGTTTGTAAGGGAGGAACAGCAACCACACAGCCCAAACACACACAGCATCAGACTGTGCACGTCTCGCCGATACTCGGGATTCATGAGGAAATAGAGGAAAAAGTCACTACAAATGCCAGCCAATTCCAGGCAGTTGGTCACACTGCGCACCACCTCGAGGGTGACGTTGGTGTGGCAGTGTTGACCCTGCACAAGGTAGGTCGTCTTCAGGACTGCGACTGGCAAGTTGATCACCAGGAAGGTTAAGGTCAATGTCAGCAGCAAGTAGATGATTTTCTGCTCGCAGCGACTCCCACCGGCCCTGGCTGTTGTCCGTACCGAGGTTCTGGCAAATTTCAGTCGCACGACGGCCCTCAGGATCTGTAAGTTAAGGACTACCAAAAGTGCACAGGGTAAGAAGCGATGCAGCACTTCCAGCGACACAGACCATATCATCCACGCCCGAGTGTCAAAGATGGCACCTTTGGTGATGTACCAACCCTGGTGGTGGTCGCTGTACTGCGGCGCCTGTGAGAAGCAGCTGGGGAAATACATGACGGCGGAGACGGTGTAAGCAAGAGCCACCCTGCCGGGCATCTTGTGGTAGCTCAGGGTGGCCGAATACTTATGAGGGCTACACACGGCCTGATAGCGGTCGGTGGACACGCCCAGAATGATGAAGGCGCAGCTACAATTGAACATATTATAGATAGGCTCCTCCAGGTGCGCCAGGTAGAAGGCCCAGGTGTAGACCAGGCTGACCTTCTTCCTAACGATAAGGGCGACGGTGACGGTTACGCAGAGGACACAGTGTGAGAGGCCTAGCCACACCAGGTGGGTGCGGGTGGGCATGGAGGTGGTTCTGCTTGCCCGGTGTACCGGCCGCAGCAGTACTGCCACATTTATGATGTTGGTCACGGCTGCCAGCATTAAGATGAAGGGGAAGATCTGCTTGTACGACACCTGGCAGACGTTCTGGAGGGTCTGCCATCCCTCTGTCATATTGAAGATGGTCAGGCAGTGGCAGAAGGACTGCATCTCGCTCCTGCAAATAAACAGTGAAGAGCTCAGGCTATGATACACAGGGAAAAGTACGAAGAACAAGACCGCTACACGAACCAACCCTATCTAACCTAATCAACTCTAAAACGCCTTAGTCAAATTTAAACCAGCTGAGCTAAACCTAAACTAATTTATTAACTCTCCGGAGGCAGTTTCCGTAAGGATATTTTTGGATGGTTTACTTGTACAGCAGTAGTGAAAATAAAACCCTTGATAACCTTATTTTTTGTTGCAAGGATAATTTGTCGTGTCAGTTATGGATCTATTATTTTTTTTTTTTTAGATTATTTGGGTCTATAATGGCAACACATCTTACAATAGACGAGCTAAGCATCACACATTATATTATAAACATTGGCATTGGGTATCGCGTCCTAAAATTATTTACAATCTTACAGAAAACCCAAAACTAGTAGGTTATCACAGGAACGTAATAACATAATCAGGTGAATAAATAAGTACGCAAAAAACTGTGATATATAATTAAAAAGTGAGGGACTAATTAATAACAACAATAATAATAGTGCAAGATTGTTGTTAAATTTAGCCAGAAGCAACACCTCATCTCTCGCCTGGGGGATTAAATTTCTCGGTAGCCTCGTGGGGTTGAGTGCAGCTCTTACCAACAATAAACACCTCGCAATATCCACTCCATGCAACAGCCCACGCCAACAACAGCCTGCAAGGTACTCAACATACCTTTAATCCACCTTACATAAATCATATATATCATTTGAATAGTAAGGACTGGGAAAATGTCACAGTAGGGCTTGATCTGATAAGATGATTGGTGGTGTTGGTGATCAAGAGTCGATTGTTCAATGATGTACAGTACTGAGGACTGGGGATTCGACGCTCAGGTTATGCTGGGAGAAAGTTGAGGGAGAATGGGGGAAGGGGGAAAGGGAGGTGAGGGGGAAAAGAGATGAGGGAGAATGGGAGGTGAGGGAGGACGAGAGAGGAGTGAGGGAGGATGGGAGGTGAGGGAGGAACGGAGAGGTGAGAGAACGGGCCGTGGTTAAACCTAGCGCAACCCTTACACATAAACTGGCGTAATTTTTTATAAATTGCAAGGGCGGATCCTAGGGGCCTGGACCCCCCTTTTCATCAGAAGTTTCCAATACTTTTTCTTCACTGCAGTATTGTACCCAGGTATTTTTGTATAGTAAAAAGTAATTACTATTGATCTCAGAATATCAAGTGTACATGGCTTCAAAATGGCCTCAAAATGTCCGTAATATTGGTCAGATTTAAAACAAATTGGGGTGGGCTCGCTTTGCTCGCCAAGTTCCCCCACCCAAAACTTCTTGTACCCCCCTTTTGATATTCCTGGATCCGCCTCTGAATTGTATATAACTCCCTTTAACAACTTGACTTTTAACCTGATGATTAAATAATCTAACACTACCTTGGAGGGATTAGGTACTTTAACGGGCAATGTTCGGTGGATTTCGCATCCTGTGTACCGCCGGCAAACCCGTGGGCTCGGAACACGTCTTGCTCGCGGTGCCCACATTTTCTCTGTGGCTGTCAGTCACACTGTGACTAGAATAACCCGTTGTAATACATCCTTCTTTCCTCACACAGCCAAACTGTGGAATGCTCTGCCTTCTTCTGATTCCATACCCATACAATCTGTCTCACTTTAAAAAGCTGGTTTTCCGGCATCTTCGTGGTGTAGATTAATTAATATATATATATATATATATATATATATATATATATATATATATATATATAAGAACAGCACCATCCCATCTATTGTTAAAATAATAAACAACTCCTGATTTATGTACTGTACAGCCCTGTAAATGTATTCAATGCATATTATATCATTATGTTTAAATCAAATGTAAGTCTGCATATTTTCAGCCACTGGCTGCAACTCTATTAATAAACCGTTTATTATGTATTATTATATATATATATATATATATATATATATATATATATATATATATATATATATATATATATATATATATATATATATATATATATATGATGGTGTGCCTAATCTTCAGCTGATCCCCGAAAATAAATACAGTTTCATTACTATTAAGCTATACTAACTTCCCTTCCATACACTTGTCAGTATAGTAAACGATAAAATCAACTGAGCGAGACTTACCTCTTACTACGATGTAAGAATATTCCTCAAGGGGCAGGTGACAAGGAATCACTGGAGTGTGAGAAAGAAGGACTGCCGCGACGGACTGATGAGAATGACCCTAGGACTGTGTAGGAATGGGTATGCTTATTGTGATAGTGAGAGAGCTCCACTACCTTCTCACCCTATAAGTGTGAGTGAAAGAAATGAGGGAGTGGAAGAGAGCATCGCCCACCCACCCACCGCCCTCACCTGTTCACCAAACAACCACTACTGTCCGTCTCAAGTCTCGACGACCAATTCCCACAGACATTCGGCGGACACCACTTCTCCCTATATACACATCCCATGTCTGATCTTGTTTCTCTCTTTGTACTGCATCCTTATCTCGCCCCTGTCTCTTCCTGTCCTACCCCAATCCCAAGTTTCCCTGCCAATATCCCCTTCCCATACAGTACCATCCTAGCCCTGCCCCGTAGTCCCACCTTAGCCCCGCCCAGTAGTCCAACTCGAGCCCCTACCCGCTTTGCTCTGTCCAATCACTTCCCCAGCAGGAGTAACTCAGAAGCATACAAAAAGAGTAAATTGTTTACCAGTTCCTTCCGCTCCCGACAACCACAACCTTCATATTGATGACCAGACCACCTCTGCTGCTTCTCATTGTTCCGTGGCAAATTTTATATTTCTTTCTTTCTTTCTCTCTCTCTCTCTCAGGTGATAAAATGATAGATTGCATGTTACGGTTACGGGACATTGTACATCTTATATAAAAAAATCTACTTGTGGGGCATAATAGATTACAGATTGCCCCGGAGGGGGCTAGTTTATTGGGCACCCCCTTACATCCTGTGCAAGGTGAAGCGCAGAAGCGTTTACAGTGCCCAACTGGGAAGCATGCGGAGTTCATGCTTGCCTTTATGACTCATGCATTAAGGGTGTAAAAGGCCTGAAGGGTCATGGGTTTTGTCAGCAAGTTACATAAAGTGACAATGATGAGTGTGTGGGGGAAAATTCCCGGTACAATTTATCTGTTTATGGCAAAATGTGGCAGGTCACTTATAATGTCAAGTGTCAGGCCTGTCACTAGGAGGAGGGATATCTGGTCAGGAAGGGAAGAGGTGCCACCCCTGTAGGGGGAGGTCATAGGGCAGATGAGGATGTGGTGAAAGAGGGTGTGAGAGTCTGTTGACCACAAAGTTTACAAACAGTGCGGCCAGGCTCAGGGTTGCCAATGTACTAGGCGTGGCGAAGTACAGTGGGGGTGGAGGTGATATGGTGTGGTGGGGCAGGTACAGTAGGGGTGGAGGGAGGCACATAGGCATTGACAACATTGAGGGACACACCTTTTAGTGTGATTGTGAAGGTGTGTTCGTCGACATGTCGGTGGGGTACAGGTAGCCGGGGGTGGTGTCCTCAGGTCCAGGTAGCCCTGGTGGAGACAGCTCAGACACGGGCGCGGCTTGCGGTGGGTGGTGGACAGGTTGAGGCACCAAGTGTTGTGAGGATGGGGCAGGACTTCGCTCGGGGGCAGCAGGACACACCAGGGCAGGCCCGGGAGGCACTACACCAGTAGTGAAGGCCGCCGGCGGTGGAGTAGGCCGTGAGCAGGGGGGCTCACAGGGGGACCAACAGCTTGTGTCAAACCAGCAGAGAGGAGTGACTGGGTGGCAACAGAAGGCAGGAGTAGGTGGGAGATGGTGGTACAGAGTGTAGCGAAGAGTTTTTCAATACGGTTGGTAAATTCTTGGAAGAGGGATATGATCTGTGTCATGTCACTGGCGGGGGGTTGTGGGGGGGCACCGGTGGGAGCGCAAGGCCTGACAGCCTCAGAGTAGAGACGAGGAGGAGGCCCAGTAGTAGTTGAGTTAGGAGACGGCCGGGACTGCTGTGTTGTAGCCAGATGAGGCCAGGCAGAGGCAGGTGTTGTTGAAGAAGGCATTGCTGGAGACACAGGGTACACAGGGGGGTGTGGCCCGGAAGACTGGGGGGGGCGTTGTGGTAGACTTGGCCTTCGGGGAGGCTTTTCCCCTGGGACAGACGGGCGATTGGGGCATTGCCGTGAGTCAGCATTGTGCCAGCCGCCACAGTTACAACATCTGGGATTAATTACATAGCCTACCCCACCACTATTAAGGTGGTCTTTGATTTTCTGGGCACAGGCGGCGGAGTTGTGGTTACGTGAACAGAAGCGACATCTCGGCCGATCACGACGACAGCAGGCAGTGAAGTTGTGACCCCAATGAGAACAGACAACACAAAATGCAGGCTCAGGATGATAGGCTTCTGCATACAGTGGGGGTAAGAGTGGGTGGGCATTCACAGTGGTTGGGCACTCCCTTCCCTTCCACTTGACAATGACAGCGGGTTGTGGAACTCTCCCCCGGTAATGGCGACGTATACTCAGTATATACTAGAGTTAAAGTCACGCGCATCTTCGATGTCAGCGTATAAGGGGAATCGTTTCACGAGGATGTGGCAACATTCATCCGCGTCTACGGGGGGGGGCAGCAGGACGGCCCCGTCAAAGCCAACAGTACTAAGTGTTTCATAGGCCTAAGGAGTCTGACACTTGATAAAGTTCCGGTTCTTACCTTGTCGGAATTCAATGCTGAAACCGTGCTGTCTGCAGTACTTCATCATCCAGTTAAAGCGTTCCTCTACAGTTTTCAGAGAGTCCTTGGGGAAGTGGAGATTCAGCTTACTTGTTTGTTTGGCAGAGGGCAGGGTGATAGGGTCCATGGCATTGGTGTTTCCACTGTGGCTAGCGTTTCCCATAGAAACATTAGCGTCACTGTCATAATCACTGGGGTCTGACTCTTGAAGGGTGTTGGATTCAGTATGACCAGGCGAGTTGGTAATGGCATCAGTATCAGAGATGTCTGCGTCTATGAGAGAGCCTCGTCTGGGACGTTTATGTCGACCCCCCATGCTGGCAAAACATGCCGGCAGAGGGGACCTTGGTGGGACGATCGGGAAGCCAAGAGCACCTATGGGCACATCTGTTCCCTTGGGTGGTCACGCCACGACTGTGGGGCATAATGAAAAAAGGTTCCCCATTTTCTCTTTTCGTTCTTGTCAAGATGACGTCATCGTATACATAACTACAAGTTTTCAGGGAAGAACAACACGCTCACTGTCAGCTTTGTTTGCAAGAATGATTCAAACAGGCTTAATAAATGTTTGGCAGAAACAAAAAATTCACACGATTTTCTTGACCTGGTGAGAGTTGTAGTACTATAATTGATCATAATCTTCATGAGTTAAAGATTCCGAAAATTCTTGGGAAATGTAATTTAACGACACGACTAAATATTATATAAAATACAGCAAATCAACACTAAATTGATCAACATCCACCATCAGCCTTGATATATAAACAGATAGATATTCATTAGATTGTCCTACACTAACCTGACCCATTTAACTTAACTGAACCTAACCTTACCTTTTGCTAACCTTACATAACCTAATGCTTACCTCACTAAACTAACCATAACTTAACCTAATGAAACCTAACGTTACACTAACCTAATGCTAACCTAACATAACCTAATGCTAATCTAACCTAATATAACCTATTGTTAACCTAACATAACCGAACCAAAGAGATCAACATAATTCAGCCAAGGTTAAATTAAACACACAAATCGGCAAGTGTTCTTACAGGGACATATGGAGGTAAATATTAGGGATATAGATAACATATGTTTACTAGGGTGATGAGGTATACAGTATAAACGCCATGCTGGGCCACCCGTCCGCTAGCCTAGTCTACCCGCCTGTTACCTTAGCCAACCAACTGCAAGTTTAACCTTCCTATTTTGAGTCTAACCTTGCTATAGCGAGTTTAAACTTCCTATTACGAGTAACCTTTCTATTGTAAATTTAACCTTATTGCAAGTTTTGCCTTCCAATTGCAAGTCTAACTTCTCTTTTGCGAGTAAAACCTTACTATTGCGAGTTCAACCTTCCTATTGCAAGTCTAACTTCTCTTTTGCTAGCCTAATTTATCTTCCCTAACTACAAACTCACACATTATTATATATATCTTTCGTCTTCACAACTTTTACCTTTATTCTGTATTTCTCTATTCACATACCATATTTGTTTTGTCATCCAGTACATCTATGTCTTCAGATCCAACAGTCATTATATGCCATTATGTCCACCACAAGCATAAGTTCTCATCTCGTAATTTTTCTCAAGTTTAGGATACAATGTAGTACTGTGGTTAACTTAGGTATGACCAGAGTAGGGTAGGTTAGGTTGGATGACGTTACATTAGGATAGGTTGGATTAGGTTAATATATAGTACATAAGGAGACACTCAAATCAACAAGCAGAGATTTTTCACATACCAGATTTATTCTCAGTATGGATGACAGGAGGTACAGTCGTAAATCAGATAAAGGAGTGAAATTAACAAATCCTAATGAATGTAAGGTAACAACAGCAGCTTATGGAACTCGACTATACACATGACTTTACATTCCGCAATAAGATGCATTATTTGATCAGTGAAAGCATAAAACAGCAAGACTCGACCCAAACGAGAACCCACTATACAGGGCGTCTCAGAAAAATGTATACAACCTTACAGATTACATAGAGGTAGCATGAATGTTTCTGTTACACTGGCAACAAACATTAAGGGGTTCTGCGCAAAACTCTGTAAGGCATTATGTGTGTGTGTGTACATTTATTAGACACACCCTGTACTGCACTGTACAGTGATCGATAAATAACATTGTACAGATTCTCAGGTGAAAGAGCCATATTGAGTAGATACTTGCAGGTGACTGACTGTCCACTAATCACATCATGCATGCTATTACAATGAAAACACACAAGTCCAAATTCCACAGCCAAATCAAAAACAAATTTCCATATCTTTTGTTCTCTAAATCATGACATCAATACATTATATAAACCAAATATATTATGAAGATAATTTTAGTTATAACAATGCTACATAAAGAATGCCATCATCAGTATAGTCATTTTTGGTGTGGTTTATTACCAGTCTGTCTGTCTGTCACACTAAATTCACTAAAACCCCCATAAGTGATCCCATTATAGAAAGTACAAAAAAGTCATTCATTACGCTAAGGCTACCCCCGCTCCCCAAGGTTCTAGGTACTGTATAGGTGTGTGGTCAAAGGGGCTCCAGCCATAATAGACTCTAATTTTAATGGTGCTTTACCTGAATGATCTGATTAGGTTAGGTTAGATGAGGTTAAGTTAGATTAGATGAGATTAAGTTAAATTGTTAGATCAAGTTAAATTTTATTAGGTTGGATTAGGTAAGTTAGATTCCCATGGATTAGGATAGGTTAGGTTAAGTTAATGAGTTTAGATTATAGGTTAGGTTAGAGCATATTAAGCCTGGGGTACATTTCACCAGCAACCACTAGGTACAGATAATGGTTCACTATTGCACTGGCTATCGGTGAGAGGACCACTGCTAGTCAACAGGAATTATCTAGTTATTGTAAAGCCACCACACAGAAAAACACAGGCATATATTAGGAAGATTTTCAACTTAGAAGTTACTGTACTATGGGGAGTCTGTGCATCCCAACATGTATAGTTCAGTACAGGTAATCACAACACCTCCCGCGACCAGTGAAAACATCTTCCTCGTATAAGTCTATTTTCCGTGTGATGGCTTTCATATCGGTGATCTCCATGGCATTGTGACTGGTTCGTACACAATATATATATTTACAAATATGACCCAAATATCACCCAGAGTATAGACAAAGGTACAATTTGATATTCCAAATCTGGCTAACCCAAAGGTATACACTACAGTAGGTGCATGTATGGTATACTAAACCCACGATATAAATGATTGGGAACATTCGCGACTCCCAATGAAGTAGTAGGTACAAGACAGATTCACTTATACTGTATATAAGAAATATGACTGAATTCGACCCTTAAAAAACAGTTCAGCACATTGATAATTTATTTTAATGATACAAGCAGATGTACTGGGCTTCAGACAACTCATATTATTAAATGTAGTATCTTCTCTTACTGGTAAGAATGCCATAAACACACACACACACACACATATATTCTCTTAACATTTTCCACATTCTTTTCAAAACAGGTTGTCTTTAATCTCTTATAAAAATGTCATATTAGTAAATGGACAAATAAATCATTCACTATTATATATACAGCAACCAGCATCAGTTTTATTGATCCACCGGCTAATTCATGATGAAGAATGAACACAACTGCACAAGCTAAAAATCACTGATAATTACCTAATATCCCAGTAGTGACAGGACTTCGAGCACCCTAAAATTGTCTTCTTTTTCTTTCTCCACATTTGATGAAGAAGGAATGTAATATATCTTTACAAAGTCATTTATTTTTAGTAAAATTATCAGTAAGAAAGAATGGTTAACCTCTCATTCAACAGTGTTCACAAGCACATTAATATTTAGTAACTCGTGAGGTTGACATCTAACACGAGAACTTGTACAGTACACTCTTGTGTTTTACGGTGGTGGTGTGGATGAAGGGTAAATCTTCTATATAAAGGAGACACCATCAACTAATAAATATCAAGCTACACACACACACAGTTTTTGATGGAAATTACTCTGTGATAACAACTGCAAACTTGACTCAAGAGTTTGGTGAAACACATCTGCTTCCAGGTAAAGAGTTTTGGGTCATTCAAAATATCTGAAGTCACCATTTACTCACCTGGAAATTAGAGAATGCAATAATTCAATAAAAATCTATTTAATTTACCCTTCTCCGGATACTATATAAGTCATAGGGAAGTTACATTTAAGTTCCTGAGACATATTCCACCCTATGCCCTGCAACACACTATAAATGAAGGTCATAAAGCACAGATCATCAAGATAATACATACATACATACATACATACATACATGCATACAGTACAGTACACACCCAAAAATAAGTCAAATTGATCTTCGATTCTCAACAGTAATGGAAATGAAATATAAATCATAGACTTTTACTTTCTTAATGACAATATTACAGGCTTTTCAGTTACCTGTATATAAAAGTGGTCAAGACAATCAGGTGTGAAAGAAAAGTAAAAATACTTGTATACCATGCTGGAGGAATAATTCTTGACTTACGAGCCCTTGTATCATGCCAGGGTGGTAAATTATTGGGCTGATAAGGGAAGAACAATGTTTTCAGTAGAGTATTCATGAAGGCTTAAATCACACACTTAAAAATAACAAAATAGAAAACAGAAGAATGACTCGAGTGGCAAGTGGTGGTGGTTAATCAACGAGCAACGTGGAATAATTTTGCTTCTCCAAATTGGGTCCGACATAATTAGTAAATATAAAAGACAGTGTTAAGAGAAAGACATAGACAAGAGGACACTGGCTATGAGTACAAGACATCTACACATTTGGGAAAAAATAAAATGGTACTGTACAAGGATAAAATAATTCAGGTGGACTTAAACACCACAAGTGTCATTGGTCAATATAATGAGTTGTTTGATTTAGTGTCCAGCGAAGAGAGCGTACAACGTGTGATAACCGCTGTGTAAGACTTTTACCATTAACCACCTTGAGATATTTTTTCTATCTATGTATTGGTACTGCAATTACTACTCCTAATATAGTGTCCTGCCCCCTCCCCTCCCCCCTCGATGCTGAGGACTGATCAAGACATACAATTGATTACAATCTTTTTGGCACGACAACATGAGTCAAATTGAAGTCATCTTTTCAAAACAAATCAATGCAAAAACCAGTCATATTACACACTACTGTACCAGTCTGTGATAACTAAAATATTAACACTACAGAATGTTTTTTTTTTAATCAAGTCAATAATTTAATAGGAATATCATATAGCAATTCTAATAGATGTAACTTTAGTCTGAGTAACTTGACCAAACCAAAAACACGCACATGGAATTCTTACCTTCCTGCCCTGAAAAAGCAGTTAGGTATTACTTTGGTCATATTAACTTCAACACATTATTTAAAACTACATTATATACTACAAATATAAATACAAGCTTAAAAAAAGGACAGAATAACAGCACTGCACCTTCCATTTTGTAGACAGAATCCTGCACAATGTCAGTCAATATACATATATATCACATATGCCTTCCACTAGGAGGATATCCCATACAGTACTTTTCCCTATAAAGAAAATCTAACACATGCAATTAAAACAAAATAACGTAAATAATTCTATACCTTAAAGAATTTCCCAGATGTAACTTCTCCATTATGATGAAATGTGACCTTTAATTTAAACACCAATGAGAATTATCTATGAACGGCCAATATGATTTTCAGTACTTCTTAATATCTTTTTCTATTGTTTTTTGTATATTTAATTTATAAAGCTGATTATATGTGGTATCTAAGTAATCAGTCTGAGGTGTCTTCCTTTCCATTATGATTCGAGTATTACGATGTAATGACAGCAAAATAGCACCAAACTTGTAATGTAGCCTATACTGTACCGCTCATCACCACCACACAGGCCTGATTCTCTGATAATAATTTTCTGTGCAGCAGTTAGGCTTTGCGGAGGGGAAATATGGTCAAAATGCTCTCGTAAGAACAAGCCGAGCACTGTGAATTTAGATAAATCCACTTTAAATATATATTTTTCTAGCCATTACCTGCTTCCTAAACCATCATGTCTTTTTTTATTTGCTGTAAAAAAAGAAAAATGCTGGAGAATACAGAAAAAATGTAGAATCCACAATACCAATAAAGAATAATGCACAGAATTAACTATAATATACTGTAATAATAAATATATTAATATCAACTTTTATGATAAATCATATACACAAAGATGAATATGGTTTGGAAATGCAGTCATTAACAATTGAGTCGGTATCATTATAATAAAGTCAAGGTTGTTATAGTACTGTATACTTCAATATAACAATTTCTTGAGGCTGTCCAAGTTAAACCTGGATATGATAATGAGTCAAATAATGGAACCTTACAATTGCTGGAAGTAAAGAGCACATGCATGACCCCAAACACTGGTCACAACACAGCAAAGTTCTTAATTTTTTTTCCTTTTAAATGAAGACAAATACTATCAGCATGAAGCTATATTTTTTCATTTACTGTTGAAAAATGTTCTAACTGCATCACAAACATTCTGCACAAGAAATTCCACAAAACTGATTGGTATTGTAAACTGTGTGTATGATCAGCCTCTACACTAAGAAGTTTGCAGAAGAAACAAATAATTTCACAAGAACACAAACAATTAAATACACCAAGGAACAGTACCTTTAAACACAATAATATACAAAAATGAAACAAGATAACTAATGAAGATGAAAACTTGGACATACTGTATACTTATATAGCCAGACACCCATCAGTCAACACTAACTTTATAAGGCTTTTCTTTTATAAACATATCAAACTACAGTACGCACTTCACTGGGAAAAACTCCCGCCAGTTCAAGGTGCCGCAGAAGTACAATTCAAGATTAAAAATTCACATGTAAACAATTACATATCACAGGGCACAGCAACCGATGGAACCACAGCTGTACTGCATCACCATTAATGGCAGCCATATGCAAGAAACACAGTAAAGTTAACACCTGCTGTGACTCTTGCTGTTGCTAGTGTTGCCAAACTCCTGAAGCCGCGGCACCTACCAAGTTGCAGTTGAAGCGAACCTCAAGAATAATCATCATGCCAACAACTTCAAACTTCTGAGACACATTCACAAACTATTTATCGTACTGACCAACTGACTCTTAGTTTATATATGTTTTGTTTTTTTGTATTTCTACATTACTTCTTCTTCCACTGTTTATCAAAATGATTGGATAACAATAAGTTTGTCATCATCAACTTTATATTCTTTGTAGTTATCATAGCACATGAAGGACACTCTTGTTTAGTGCCACAGAAAAAGTGTGGCAAGTGATGCTACATATACTGAGTGAGGGCTTTCATAATCAACTGCTACCCAGCATATTCAACCACCCAAACTTGTCAATGGTACCAGTCCAAATGTGAGATTTTAGCCAAAACAATATAGCAATTGTAGAAAATTTGGAGAAATCACAATGTTGGTAAAAATGTTCTGGAATACTTCTTGCAGTGGAGCCATTATGAACACAGTTGCCTTGGAGCCACTGTGGTCACTGCTCCCCTGAAACTCACAAGAGTTACTGTATGAACTCATCAGTGCTGAGTGCCTCTCGAGATAGATAAACAAATTTTAAATCCCTTCACCATCTTACTGGTAGATATTCTGATAAAAAGACTGAGACACTGTATTTACTGAAATGACAGAGGTTATAGATGCTAAAATTTTATGGTCACAATAGACAAACTCAGTATTATCTAATCACCAGGCTTGCTGTAATGTTTTGGATCACTGAATTACAGTACACTGTTAATATTATATTTCTAAAAAGTTACACATTTAATTTTCTTTAAACTTGAACATTCTTATCAATTTCGCTATATCATTTGAAAATTGTCCTCACTGAAAATCTTTTTTTGCCATTCTGACAAATAATTATTGATTTGTGGGCTGCCAGAACAAACTGTACGATGAACTTTGAGATGGTTAGTCACCAATAGACCTCATATTACTAGTTACATTATACACTAACTTCCATAATAAAGGCAATGATGTTTTTTCTAAATATCCCTGTATCTAAAATTACGTAATATTCTAAATTTTGAAATATAAAATAAGAGCGAGAGATATACTGCACTTTTCTTCCCCTCACAGGACAAATGAAAGTTACTATGTACACAACACACTGTACTACAACAACGAGTCAAACTGTGGCTGTAATTTATCTGGCGGTGTACAGGGGCTGGGCCACACACAGCCTCTACGGCCCCCGCCCCACACAATTGAGTAATAACAACCCCCTAGTCTAAACCAGACATAAAAAACAAATAATTTTAGGTTTTGACCAACTTTTTTAAAATGTGAAAGGCAAAATATAGATATTCTGTACAGTGATGATGTAACTCATCCTAACCTTCCAGAAGTCACATATTCGTCTCTTAAAAACTACATAGAATATCCCATATAATGTTATAAATGTTGTGGATGATCATGGGTTACTATGACTGGCTAACAATGAAGTGTGATGGTGATGATGAATGGTGGTGACGGTGAAGAAATTATCGGTCCTGTACAGCAGTAACAGTATTGCTATGGACGTCTCATTGCGATCTCGTGGTTGCTGGTTCTGTTAATATACTAATTTCGATCTGATTTGGGGTTAAGGAACATATCGACATCTAGTATAAAATGAAATAAATAATCTTCAACACGTCACACACACACAATATAAATTTCCATGGATAAAGACTGCGGTTATATTGGGAATGGCATATATGTTGTCTTTATCTTGGAATCTAAAAAAAAACGAGCTATAAAAATGTGTAAAAACCTCAACAAAATTGGGACATGATAGGATGGGAAGGTGCAAAATAATGTAGAGTAACAAGAAAGGTTAAGGTAACTAGCTACAACACGCTATACAAACCTACTCCAACCCTCACCTAGTAAACCAAGTACCGTATATACTCGTCTATAACCCCCCCTCGTTTATAGGTCGACCCTGATTTTTTGACCAAGAAATCGTTAATTTACGATATTCCTCGTTTATAGTTCGACCCACATTTTTGAGGGTATTGGAACAACAAAACTTTCACTAAAAAATGCTCTACGTCCTATAAACTGAGGCTCGCCGTGCCTGAAACACGAGTGCCGAAGGCAAATTGTTTACCATTTATTATTACGTACGACATTTTACACTGAAACGTGGGTAGTTTCAACAAAAATATTGTATATTTCCATTCAAGTATTTATTCAAGTCAATTAGGAGGGAATATTATTGTAATACAACAGTTTTCTAACTAAACCATTCGAAAAGCAATTACGGTAACATCTTTTGAATGAAAGAAAGCGAAAGTCATTGTTTTCGTCACGATTTTATCCCACTTTCCAACGTAATACGTACGTAATTTCAGCAAAAATATTACATTTCCGTGAATATATTATATCAAGCACAGTATGAATAGAATAGTATCATTGTAATATAACAGAATTTTAACCGAAAACTATTAAAAAAACGATTAACATCTCAAGAACAGAAGCTTAGGTAAAGTCTTTTGTTTTCGTCATGTATTTTATCCTATTTTACATTGAAATACACCACGTTTCAGCAAAACTACTATTTATTTCCGAGAATATATTCATTCAGGTGCAGTTTAGGTAAAATATACGTGTGATGTAATAGTTTTTTAACTGAAAACGACTCGAAAAACACGTACCCTCTAGCCCTGTTCAAGGAGAGGACTGGGAGGAGCTGTTTGGTGCTTAAGACGATGATAAGGAAAATGATTTTGATGGATATTAATGAAAATATTCAGAAATATGGTATCGTAGTATTTATTCAAGTCAATTAGGATAGAATATTATCGTAATACAACAGTTTTTAAACTGAAAACCATTCGAAAAGCGATTACGGTAACATCTTTTGAACAAAAGAAAGCGAAAGTCATTGTTTTTGTCACGATTTTATCCCACTTTTCACTGTAATACGTACGTCATTTCAGCAAAAATATTACATTTCCGTGAATGCCTTATACCAAGCACAGTATGAATAGAATACCATTGTAATATAACAATATTTTAACCAAAAACTATTAAAAAAACGAGTAACTTCTCTTGAACATCGGAAGGTTAGGTAAAATCTTTTGTTTTCGTCATGTATTTTATCCTATTTTACATTAAAATATATCACGTTTCAGCAAAACTACTATTTATTTCCGAGAATATATTCATTCAGGCACAGTTAAGGTAAAATATACATGTGATGTAACAGTTTTTTAACTGAAAACGATTCGAAAAACACGTATACCGTCTAGCTGATACTCAACAGCTGGTGGTGCGTCATGCGTAGTTGTAAACAATAGGAGGTTGAAGTAGATTACCGGGTATTATATTAAGTGTGAAATATCGAAAAGGTTTTTATTACCGGTATTTTTTGTAGATCAATGAGAACTGTGATACCGTATGTGATATGATAAGTTAGCCTGTGCTAAGAACTTCAACATAGACTACTGAAAGCACGTTGTAAGGTAATTTAGCCTATTGTAAGTTGGTGAGCTTCATTTGCTGAAGGAACTGCACAACTTTTCATCACTAATTGGTACATATTTTATGTTTCCATTGTTTACTGGCAGTAAATGGTAAATATTTTTCATGTCTGAAGCTAAAAGTTGCTCCTCGCCCTTCCCATCATGCACGGGTTCAACCTAACAAAACTATTACGCATGTATAGGACGACCCCCAATTTTTTGCCTAAAAATTTGGTCTTAAAAACTCGAACTATACACGAGTATATACGGTATTACTTTAATTAACCTCCAACACACTGGCTCACATGATCAGTTATGCAGTCACAAAAGGATACAACTCTGAGTCCACGTTCAATGGGGTTGGTGATAAGGAGGCCTCGGGGAGTCCATGCACGCTCGTTCTGTTCTGCTACGTATTTGGTCACCTTCTTCATCATCTGAGAGAAAAAGGTGATCATCAATTTACACCCAAGTTTGTCACTGCACAGCACTCATTCACTTCCTCCAGACACACTCAGGTATTGTATTATGTAAGAGCCAAATACAATATATACTAATATCTTCTACCTCCTTGTCAGTCATACACAGTACTTTAAGGACACACAAGTTTATCCCATCACATTATATCACAAAAAACGTTTAAATCTGTCTCAGGAAGTTATTCCCTGCAGCCTGCTAAAAATGACAGTAACAGAATAAGTACGGTACCTGTACATTTAAGGCAGGTGTGTTACATGAAGTAACTATTGTAGTGATGTGAAGGAAAGGATCCATAAACTTATAGATGGTAGAGTCTGTACAGCTTTAAAGAAAGTAATGGCACTAGCTGGCTAAGACCATCAGTAAAGTCAGCCAAAAACTTCAATGACAGGCTAATATAATTATGTTCCCAACATCTAAGATTAAACCTGTTTCTTGTTGTGAATACAATGTGATCGTATGACCCCACAGTGACCAGGTAAATGTGCCAAGGTGACCTATACTGACCTGTTCATAGTGTGTCTCCATGCAGAAGAACACAAGATACGCTGTTAGGCAACCTAGACAGCCCTCACAGTAGCGACCACAAGACATTTTTTCCGCTTCCACAAACATGCCGTTAATGTCGTTGATTGTATTCTCAAACACTGTTTTCTCAATCTGTAACACAAAATAATGGAATAGTAAAGGCTGCCATCCCAGACACTGTAGAACTTTCTACGATGTAAAATTAAGACAATGCAACAATATCATAAATCAAAATTGAGAAGAATCAATGCTGCTAACCTTTCCCTCAAGTTCAGGAGGAAACTTGGTCTGAAATTTTACAGAGGTTCCTTCTGAGTAGTCCCGCTGGATGAAGACCTTGAGGCACCCAGCGGCCCGGGAGCCAGCCAGGTCCTCCAGAGGCGTCCCATGATTCTGTCAAGAATGGAAAAAGGTGGAAACTATAATTACTGTACAGCTACACTATTTCATAAGATATTCATAACTATTACAGTATAATTTCATCTGATGTCATATTAACTGCCCTAACTATCTGGGCCCCTGACATACCCCAGAAGGGTTTACTAAATCAAAAGTAAACACGTTAAACTTTCCAGGAATGGAACAATGGAAATAACTTCTAGGTCTGTTAAAATCAAGCAGAGTTAAGTTAAACCGTCAGCAGACCCATCGTGATCCTGTGCTCATATACAGAGAATTATCCACACCAATAGAAGCAAACTGTAAGGTACGGTACGGTACGGTAAGGTAAGGTAAGGTAAGGTAAGGTAAGGTAAGGTAAGGTGAGGTGAGGTAAGGTAAGGTAAGGTTAGTTAAGGTAAGGTAAGGTTAGTTAAGGTAAGGTAAGGTAAGGTAAGGTTAGTTAAGGTAAGGTAAGGTAAGGTAAGGTTAGTTGAGGTAAGGTAAGGTAAGGTTAGTTAAGGTAAGGTAAGGTAAGGTAAGGTAAGGTAAGGTACGGTAAGGTGAGGTGAGGTAAGGTTAGTTAAGGTAAGGTAAGGTTAGTTAAGGTAAGGTAAGGTAAGGTAAGGTTAGTTAAGGTAAGGTTAGGTTAGTTAAGGTAGGGTAAGGTAAGGTAAGGTAAGGTTAGTTAAGGTAAGGTAAGGTAAGGTAAGGTTAGTTAAGGTATGGTAAGGTTAGTTCGCAACTTATATAAGGTCGTAGTCTTACAGATCGGTGAATGTCAACAATAGTCTGACATTCTCATAAGCACCTATGGTTGTATTTGTCTCCAGATTCTTGTTCCATAATGTTTTAAATGTAGAAATCTTTTTTAACGAATTTCGGCAACATATAAGTCAACTATATGTACATCTATCTCTCTACCCACCTAACTATTCATCTATCTATCTATACATCTATCTATTTATCCCTATCTCTATCTATCTATCAATCTATCCATCCACCTATCTCAAAAGGATGAATATTTAACACGATTCTTAATAACTTTCTGTGGTGAGTTATCTTAAGGTTACCACATCACTGCCTATGGTGCCACTGCCTACACACCTATTGTAAATAACAAAAAGCCGTTGTTGCATTGTAATTGATTCAAGCAGCAACAGGCCACCAACTACTGGTAACATGCAGTTATTACACACCACATACACACACACCCTTCTGGCTGCCATGCTCTTTCAATGAAGTGTTAATTATTATTACTATTACTATTACGCACACACACACACAAACAGACACACACATAGAATTCAGCGATAAATTTCAGTCACTTCATCTCAGCAGTAACATTAAATGCAATATTCGGTAATTTAAAAAAAAAAAAATTATGCACCACGAAGTTCCAGAACTCTAAAATACAATAATAATGAAACTTTTTGAGAAAAAACATATTTAGAGAAAACTCATCTATTAGTGCGGTGTCTCTCACATTTAATATATGCGAAAAAATGTCAGTTGAAGCATATCGCCTGAAGATTAGCCACCATAGCTTATTTCACCTTTAATTAAACACCCTTATGTAACCTGTGGAAGTTAGGTTAAGTTAAATTAAGTTAGCATTTAAAGGTGAAATAAACTGGGGTGGTTAATCTTCAGGTGATGCAGTATTAATATATTCTCTACTGTATTATCAACTAGATGTATAATACAATAAATAAATACAAACAATTCTCATGATACGTATTAAGTCTTAACAAATAGACGTTCATGTTGTAATTTAAATCTCCCTAACATTTTCATCGCCAGATAATCCAACACAAACTCCTACCTAACCTCATCTAAATAGACAAAATTCAATAATTCATATCAAAAATAATCAAATATCCCCAAATAATGATGACCTTGACACGATGAAGACACTGAATAAGAAGATAAACTACTTTTATCACTACGACTCTCATACAACCATTACTAGAGCACAAGGCGACACTGGCCACCACTACCACACACACAGGCAGGTGGATACAATTAATACTAGTTTATTAACTCCAGGAGAGACTTGTGTGTGGTGGAGGCTAAGCTACCACAAGTGGGTTGGGTCACCTAAACTTCTCTTCCTGAATCTTCGTTTCCTGGGTCAGATTTCTCGGGTCATTTTACGCCCTTTAGTGACCTTTAATTAACTTCAAACTCAAGATCACGGCGACAAAACACCACATTTTTCATCTGGTTTGTTATTGATACGTCACAGGGAAGTAAATTGAGAACTAATAGGAAAAATACTTAAGAGCTACTTGTTTGTTTACCGTGTTAGACGCCATCTTGAATAATATTAAGGATCTGGCATGTAAAAGATCTCACAACTTTACCCTCAAGGGATCTTCACTGTAAACTCTAAAACACATACAAATATTACACAAATGAACATATTCACTGGGTTATTTTGTAGCTCATGAATATTAGGAACCTTCATTTATTTCATCTGATGTTCACACACACACTAGCGGTAAATGAAGTGGTTGGGTTAGGTTAGCATGGGATAGGTAAAGACATGTTGAACTGTATACCTGCATTGTGTGTATACATGCTGAACCCATTGTAAACTTGAATGACTATTTTACTGAGCTATCTATCTATCTCTCTATCTATCTTTCTTTCTATCTATTTATCTATCTTTTTCCAAACTGTCTCTACCTTATCTTTCTCTGGAATTAACTGAATGTAATAAGAACAGAACATAAGAAAATAAGGAGTCTGCAATAGGCCGGTTGGCCTGTGCATGGCAGCTCCTGTCGAGAGTTACTACCACTCTCTATCATCTATATTCTAATTAAGCTAGAGTCTTAGTCAGGTAATTTTATTGTTATTCTTAGGTGCACAGTCTTACATCATCTGTTACGACAGGACAGTCACTGTAGGGGTTGAATATCTGAACTAAGGTTGTTGTTATAATTAAGGACTCTCTCTCTCTCTCTCATCACAGCACCACACAACTTCAGCTGGGAATTAAAACACTCGTTCGTCGAAGCCAAACAAGTGAGGATGAGAGTGTGAGCCTCGGCACGACCCACCACACACGACCTCCTATATACGACACCTACACCACCTTCCAACGACCCCAACACGACCCCAATATGACCCCAACATGACCTCCTACATGGCACCATACACGACCTCGCAACACGACCCCTACATGATCCCACACACGACCTCCCAAAACGACCCCTTACATGGCCTCCAAACACGACCCCACACACGAACTCCCAGCACGACCCCCTACATGACCCCTCATACGCAACCTCTCCATACGACCGTCCACTCCTCCAATGGTCACAGCCTCAAGCTAAGTTACCCCTCGTCATACAGGGACTGGTGGAGCTAATTAGTTCGAATTGTTGTTAACATGAGAATAATCGGATCACCAGAAGATTAGGCACCCCAGCTTATCTCACCTGATGATTAAACACCCCAACGCTGATATAAGTAAGCCTAATTTAATCTAAACTAAACTAAAGTAATCCAAGCTAACTTAAACTAACCTATATGAAGCTTTTGTAATCTAATCTAGACTATCCAAAGTTCCCCCCCTCCCTCCCCCATAGGTAGGGTTAGAGTGGTTAATCTTCAGATGAAATAATTTAAGGTGTCTAATATTCAGGTGAAATAGGCTAGGGTGTTTAATCTTCAAGTGGTCTGCTGTACGTAATGGAGACTTGACCAAAGGCCCTCTATCAAGCTAACTGGTAAGGGGTAGACTAACACACACACACACACACACACGCGGGGCCCTGGCCTGTGGGGTCACGTGTGCACGGAAGTTGGCGATTCGCAGCTGCACTTGAGGTGTTGTGATGATGAGGTGCCAACTACCAAGTTTGGAGGGAATGCATAGAGACTGTACCTCTGTTGTTTATTGTCGGGAACAGAGAGAGAACGAGGAGGTGGTGGATGGGGGGGTGGGTAAACGGATTAATGAATGGATAGAGAGAAAAGCAAATGGAAGGAAAAACGGATTGATACACGGGTGAAAAGACAGGCAGATGGATAAACGGAGGCAGGGGAGGATCCAGAAATATCAAAAGGGAGGGGTCGAAGTGGTGTGGGGGGGTAGGCCATGGCGAGCAGAGCCCACCCAGCAGGATTTTTCGGGAGGGTAGGGGGGGACGCTGTAAGCCTCCAGAATATTTTTTAAATCTGACCAATATCATGGGTATTTTGAGGTCAGTTGCAATTACCGCCTGAGTATAATACTGCATTAAAGAAAATTATTGGAATTTTCTGCTAAAAAGAAGGGCCCGGATCCCCAGGAACCCCCCCCCCCCCTCCTCCTGGCTCAGCCCCTGGATGGGTGGACGAACAGATGAAAGGATGGGCCAATGGAAGGATGGGAGGGTGGATGAACGGGCCAACAAGACGGTTAGAATATTACGCCCACTAAGGAGATAATGAGAGAGGGAGGACGGGCGTCAGGTGCTGCCAACAGTTATAACGGTGACTCACTTTTGTGGCAACCCCCATCAATCTCCCCCTTAACAACCACAAACAGTCTTATAAAAGTCACCTCCCGACACCTATACCGTGTTATTATGAGGCAGTCTAGGTCCGTGACGTCTCTACTGCCTCAACCAACACCAAGCTCCGAACAACACGACCCTGTGATGAAAACTATGAGATCTACAGCACTCAGCGACCCTCAACTGTGGTGAAGAACAAGTTATACACACTAGAAATCTTTTAACAAATACTATAACTCTATGACGTCATTCTACTCGTCATCCAGCGGACGTACTATGCAGACTGGACGACGGATGTTCCTGGCAGTGTTGGTGATGATCATAGTCACTCGTGTTAACTGTGAATTCGATGATGACACGTTACACAAATTACGTAATATACTTAGGAAAGAATCTCGGGCATTTCTTGACGAAACTGTCAAAGTGAATCAAATGAGAGAATTTAACAACTTGAGAAAAGTTACAGCAGTGTCTTCTACGCCTCCGTCTGAGTCTTCAGATTCTATTAAGACAAACAGGACAGACAAGTGGTCCAGGTGGAAGAGGTCAGGTTGTCCTGGAGGTGTTGGTAACTTTGGCTTCAACTCCTTCAACCTCCTGACATTCTCCCTTCAGGCATTTAATGGTGTCATTAACACAATCAACAACCTCAATAATAACAATAACAATAATAACATCAACTCTGGAAACAACGCAAACAGTAACTTCAATGAACAAAATTCAAATGTGAATTCCATGTCTATGTTGGTTGTTATAGTTCCACCTGTAGGAAGAAGAAAGCGGGAACTATGGGAGAAGGAAAATGGACATTGTGAACAAGATATGAGTGAACAGGAAATACAAACTGTGATACAAGACACATATTCGACAATATCTGACATCATCAAAATGTCACAACATAATCCTAACTGTGGTAAATATATTTTGTGTCTCAATATACAAAACAGCTATGCTCGCTACGGCCTGCAAGTGCTGAGTGAAATGTCTCGCCAGAAGAAACTGTGGAATGACATTATAGAACCCATGTTAACGGCTGGTCACTGTTCATCTTTGTTCCCTGAGTGTTCTTAAAGTAATATAATAAAGTGTATGTAGATTCATATAAAAGTTTCATTAGGCAACTGTACCTAGTTTGTCAAATGGTGTTTAAAATGTAGTCTCTGTGCATCAACATCAAGGTCTTTATAAACATGTAATATTAGATGGCTAATAAACTAGCCTACAACTATGAACAAATCAAGGAAGATTATCTCCCTGTTCAGTAAATCCTGTTGAAGTCAATGTAAATTTCTGACGATTTCGTAAAGTTCTGTTTCTTGTTATTTTTTGATGGTCTGGTATAATTACAAACCTTATTAAACAATTAAAGACTTGATGTTTTGAAGAGCAGCAACACCATCGTTATCCCCAGCTTATTTCATCTGATGATTAAACACCTTAACGTTACGTGGTAAGTAAGGTTAGGTTAAATTACGAGGATGGTTAATCTTAAGGTGAAATAATCTAGGGGAATGATCTTCAGGTGAACTGATATAACAGCCTGAACTAAACAATTACCCAACAATTAGAGCCACATGTACAGCTGTACGGACTCGCTGCAAAAAGCATCTTTACGGAGGGTTCCGATGAATTTAAGAAACACTGCGACTCCTGTTGTCTCGATATGGTTGTGAACATCCTTCATACATTGTGTCATATTGTCTAACATAAAATTATATAGATGTTTTTTGGAGCATATACAATAGAAAAATAAAACGCCAAATCGCAATTCATGTCAGTGTTTATTAGAGAGTGGAGTTTATAATGAGTTAAGCTTGATTTATTTGGATAGATTTGATGAGGATTGGTCAGCTGTACTACCAATTTAGGCTTGATTAGGTTATTGACTTTTAATTAAATTCTTGTGTGGATTTAAATATGGTTTTACTATATTACGCCCAAAAGCATTCTGGGAACAAGGATGAACAGTGACCAGCCGTTAACATGGGTTCTATAATGTCATTCCACAGTTTCTTCTGGCGAGACATTTCACTCAGCACTTGCAGGCCGTAGCGAGCATAGCTGTTTTGTATATTGAGACACAAAATATATTTACCACAGTTAGGATTATGTTGTGACATTTTGATGATGTCAGATATTGTCGAATATGTGTCTTGTATCACAGTTTGTATTTCCTGTTCACTCATATCTTGTTCACAATGTCCATTTTCCTTCTCCCATAGTTCCCGCTTTCTTCTTCTTGGAGGTGGAACTATGACAACCAACATAGACATGGAATTCACATTTGAATTTTGTTCATTGAAGTTACTGTTTGCGTTGTTTCCAGAGTTGATGTTATTATTGTTATTGTTATTATTGAGGTTGTTGATTGTGTTGATGACACCATTAAATGCCTGAAGGGAGAATGTCAGGAGGTTGAAGGAGTTGAAGCCAAAGTTTCCAACACCTCCAGGACAACCTGACCTCTTCCACCTGGACCACTTGTCTGTCCTGTTTGTCTTAATAGAATCTGAAGACTCAGACGGAGGCGTAGAAGACACTGCTGTAACTTTTCTCAAGTTGTTAAATTCTCTCATTTGATTTACTTTGGCAGTTTCGTCAAGAAATGCCCGAGATTCTTTCCTAAGTATATTACGTAATTTCTGTAACGTGTCATCATCAAATTCACAGTTAACACGAGTGACTATGACCAACACCAACACTGCCAGGAACATCCGTCGTCCAGTCTGCATAGTACGTCCGCTGGATGACGAGTAGAGTGACAGCTGAGTGCGACAATACTGAATGATCTGAGCTTTAGGTTTTAATACTATATGTACAGCAGATGAGAGCTGTCGTGTGCGTGTAGAGTCGCGTTGGACCTTGTGGAAGATTTTTTTTTTTTAAGATTTCAATATTATACAGCCACATCTTTGTAAAATTACACAGCGTGTTATCAGCAGGGGCTCTATAGCAGACTGATTGTTAATATTCAGTAGTAATTACAGATTTACAGTTGTGTTCACAGCCGCCACCTAACGCTTATTTTTCACACTGTCTCTCATCCATTAATCAGGGTCGCACAATCAAATGTAATCACCGAACAATTACCAGTGACATATGGAGCTATTCTTGAAAATAATTTCGGTTGTTTAACGGTGTTTGGGCCACATGTTCTACTGTACTGTTAACCTGGCGCAGCGCTGGAACAACAACTCACACGGGGCTGAGTTCATCACCAGGTGGGTTGAGGGAGATGACTTCCAGATTATCGCTTGGAACCCCACGTTGATAGCCACCTGCCTGACACTGCGACACACATGCAAGCCCCGACACGCCTCGTTCACCCCACCTAGAGTATCTACGTATTCCTGCAGGAGGGAGATGAGGGCGGAGGCTGTGTGAAGGGTGACAATGTTCCCATCAACGGGTCTGCAGGAAGATAAATGGCGTTTCCTGCGGCGGCTGGGAGGAATGATGACAAGAACGGCGTTGGCACTATTGGAGTTACTGGAAATCTGATCAGTGTTGACTGTCACACTGTTCTGGCTGTTGTCGTTGTTGTTGTTATTGTTGTTGTTAATGCGGTTGACGGCGTTGATCACTCCGTTGAAAACCTGCAGAGAGAACGTGAGGAAGTTGTAGGTGTTGAACCCGTAGGCGCCGTTACCTCCAGGGCAGGAACGACGAACTATCTCATGACGCCGTGTGGAATAACCGACGACACCTTTTGGTCTCTTTGCTATATTGTCATCTGTTGCTCTTTGCTCTTCGTCTACCATTGGCTGTACAGTACCCAGTTCCGTCGACCAAGGCGCATCAGGTTGAGCGGGAGTTCTAGGACCACCACCCCCGTCTGTTGATGGATTTCCTTCACTTGTTGCTCGAGTCTCCCTCATCCTTGCCCCCTCCAACACCTTCCTCATCTTCCGTTGAACAACCTCTTCCTCCTCGGAGAGCAGCAGATTACTCTTGGCAATATCCGAGAACTCCTGGAAGGACAGCTCCTTGACGGCTGCCTCAAGTTGTAACTCGAAGACGCTGATAGTTGGGCCAAAGGTGGCCAGTACTTGAGGTGTGCCGGCCAGGGTGACGCTAAGAGCCGCCCACAGCAACATAATGATGACGAAAAACCTGTATTAAAAAAAAAGGAGAATAATATGAATATTAACACTAAATTACTCTCTCTCTCTCTATCTCTCTCTCTCTCTCTCTCTCTCTCTCTCTCTCTATGCCAGGCCACCCCTTACAAGTCTCGGAGGATCAGAGTACACCCCTCGACACGGAGCTACCTCTCGGACGGACGCCAGACGGGTGAGTGACACACACACACACACACACACACACACACACACAGTCACTCAGAACCTACCTGCCGTAGTCGCTATTGTGGTGTACTGAGGGTGAGGCGTGAAAAGAGTCGTCTTGGGGCTGCACGACGGAAGCGCAGAAGAGGGGGTTAGGGGTGAAGGAGAAGAGTGAGGGACGTAAGGTGAAGAAGAGAGAGAGGGGGTGGGTGATATATGCCGTTATACCTTAAGACTACAGAGGCGTGGAGGGTGATGGTGGGTGATTGGGGGGATAACTGTGTGTGTGTGTTATGCGATCTCCTATCTCTTGTTACGAGGAAAATACAAATAAATGAACCTTTCAGAATCCCTCTTTGTTGTCGTTGCTTGAGGGAATCAACTAGATGCCTTCCCACATCTCCAATCAAGGCGGAAAACATTGCTGAAGAACCTTTGGGAATCCATCTTTGCTTCGTAGTTTAAGTTAGTTAGTTTGTTATTATTTTTATACTTCCAGTGACGGAGGAATATTAACTTACGAACTTTGATAAACCCGGGCTCAGGACTGTGGCAATTGTGGGGTTGTTCGCGAGCAAGTCAGTCAGATTAGAGGCAGTGCGGCCCGCTAGTGCGGTGGCAAGGAGTGTGGCAGCAGCAGCAGTGGCAACAGTAGTACCACCTGTAGCAACATTATCAACAGCAATACCAACGGCAGTAACAGAAGCAACAGCAGCAATATTAACAGAACCAACACGCACCAGGTTGTGACGACAATACTACTGCCGCTAAAGTGTTTACAAGGTTACAAAAAACAACATATGATTTAAGACTATACACAATGATAGAAAATAGTGTAAATGATAAATAAAAAAATAAAGACAGTGTACGTCTTATCTTGAACAACAAAAACACTCAGAAATATTCAAATAAATATAAATATTTGAGAGCGAGAACACGACGTTTGTAATTCCACATTTTGGGCAATTTTCTGGACACGGGCTTTAGGTGAAACCCTCAATCGTGTTACCAAATAGTGTGAAAGTTATCAGACACGACGGGAAGACAGTGATAAGATTGAAATTGACAAGAATTAACTGCAGACTCAGACAAAACGAGAATTGGTCCAAGATGTTACACCCAGACATATCGGGGGTGACAGCTGGCGCGAGCACAACACATTTTCAAGAGACTTTACCTCTGACCTCTGGTGACCTCCTCCTGAAGGAGCTGAGGCAGCAACTGGGCGTCTATACCAACACTTACCTCCAGGGATACACCAACATGACGGAGGCGTTGAAGGACTTCCTGAAGAATACTGCCGGGCTAAACCAGCAGGAGGACTCATCTACAGGGAGCGTGGGGTTAAGGTGAGATATATAACCCATTGAAGCAGTTAAACGCTTTCTTTCATACTTAGAGGAAATATTTAACGTAAGAATTAAAGACCAGGATTTCGATTCGTTAAAAATTTGCATTTTTTCTTTAACTGGGCTTGAGACAATGCAATTACCTGCCTCACTTAAGCCACGACACAAAGATGGATTTTCAAAAGATCATACATTAGATATTCCCAGCTGGAGATATGGGTTACGTTACGTTACGTTACCTAACCTTACCTTAGGTTAGGTTAGGTAAACAAAATTCTAATCAGTGTTGCCATGGTAACAGGAGGCGGCGTCAGGTGGGGATATCGCCTGACCTGTTGGCACTACAGGGCGGCTACTCCAGCTTCTTCGGCAGCCACGCCAACAGGAGGACCACTAGCGCCAAGAAGAAGAACAGAAAGAAGTAAGTGGAGGAGTGAGGAAGGGAGGGAGGGAGGGAGGAGGAGGGGTGAGGAGGTGGTGGAAGCAGGGAGGTAGTGAGGATGGGTGAGGAGGTGGAGGAAGTAGGGAGGTAGTGAGGATGGGTGAGGAGGTGGAGGAAGTAGGGAGGTAGTGAGGATGGGTGAGGAGGTGGAGGAAGAAGGGAGGTAGTGAGGATTAGTGAGGAGGTGGAGGAGAAAGGGAAGAAAGGAATGAGGGTTGGAGAGAGAGAGAGAGAGATAACTACTGTACTTAACCCCCTGCGCGTTATCCCAGCAGGCAGGAGCAGGAGGAGCTACCGGTGGTGCTGGTGCCGGAGGAGGACCAGGCTGAGTGCGTCTCCAGCAACCAGCTCTCCTCCTTCGGTTTCCTGGGCTTTGTGCTCAACGTGGTCAACGCCGTCATCAACGTCGCCAACAACATCAACAACAACGACAACAGCAACAACGACAACAACAATAATAACAACAACAACGACCTCAACACCAACCAGGTCCAGGGATCACAGACTGCCACCAACACTAACACAGCCATGGCCACGGCCGGGCGTCGCCTCTCCCGGCTCAAGATGATGAGAGATTCTGTCGATCGTCATATGCGCCGCATCCAAAACTACAGGAACCGCAGCCGCAGGTCTTCCTCGGGATCATCATCTTCATCTTCCTGCGGCAGCCATGACAAGGACGTGGTGGACGAGGCGCTGCTTGCGGCCGTCGCTCTGATGGACATGTGGAAAGAAGTGCTGTTTGAGGACGACCCCGTGTGTATGGCGGCCGAGGTGTGTAACACTGCAGTCAAGCTGCGGCAAGTGTCGCGGTTAGCGGGCATGATGGGTCAGGTCGGTGCCGTAGCCGCAGCCAACATGCTCGTCAATTTCCAGGTGAGGAGGGAGAGAGAGAGAGAGAGTACACATGCAACACTTAGTGTATTGTATCAGTCCCTCCCAGACCAGACAACACTAGAGGATGTAATTGTGTCCCCCTCCCCCGACAGGGCGTCAACCCGGAGTATCTGGTGCTGGCTGCTGAGGGAGGTGCAGATGGAGTGGACTGCTGGCAGAAGTACCGCGCCTGTGGCCACCACCACCGCCGTCAGTAGCCACTTCTTACTCAGCTGCAGCCTAAAGAGGAAGAAGTAAGAGCGAGAATGTGAGAGGACAACACGACTAAGAAAAACCAGCAACTGGTCCCCCAAATTCCTTCGAGATTGTTGTCGTTGTTGTTGTTGCCACAGTTGTTATGTAAAACTTGATCTTCTACAAAATACAGAATCTACAATACCTGTACTAACGTGTGTATCTTTCCCTGGACATTGTTTCCCCACAAGGCCATCAGTACAGTTACCTTTGACAATGGACCCTGAAATTCATGCAGAAAAAATATTATAGTATCACCATTACATCAGCTCCAGGAAATGTCATGGTCAATAAACGTATACATACATATCAGCTAAGTAAGGCCTCCATAGCTCGTAACGTTCTCTGTTTATACTGAATAAATACTGTTGGATGACTGACAAACTATAATTTTTGATACAGTAATTATAATATTGGTTCACTTAAACAACAGTTGATTATTTCTAGATTTTATTAAGAAAAAATTAATCTGTCTCACAAATAATGGTTCGGAGTCCAATAACAAAACTTGAGCTTCCCTTGTAACACAGACCAGAACATTATCCTCGTCCGTAGCCGCAGAAAATAAAAGTGCTATTGTCCTTTACCACAGAAAATGGAAGCTCTCTTGTTCAATGCCCCCAGGAAATGACGGGTTTCTAATTCTCAGCCACAGAAAATTTCGATTCTCTAATCCGTAACCCAAATTCAAACGGATTTTCATACACCAACATCCGACTCTCATATAAATTCATCAAAATTAAAAATGGAGGCGATATTAGGCAGCCCCAGGTCAGCGAAGTCCTCGGAGTGGTTCCTGATGTGATCTAGGAGGTCCTCCTCGCCTTCCTCCTCCTTCAGGAAGCTTAGGTTCATGGTCTGGTGGTCCTCGACGTCCCTGAGGATGCGCTTCCATGCCGCCCTTGAACAATGGGGACTGAGGAATGAACAATCCTGTCCTCGACGACCATAGAGTCCAGATGCCGTGATGGAAGACCTGGGGACACCTGCTGGTGGGGCCCACTCACCCAGGGCCTCGCTGTAAGGGCGGGCGGGCGGGGGGAGTACATGCAAGGAGAAAGAGAGACAGAGAGAGAAGGAGGGAGGAAGGAAAAGACGAAAGCATGCCATGTGGGAGGTAAGGAGGGGGGGAAGAATAAAAGAGGTAGAAAGGTGAGAGAGCGGCGACGAAGGATGTGTAAGTGGGAGTCAATGAGAGAGGAAGAAGGGAACTTGTTAATTTGGGTCGAAAATATCAAAATTGTATAACTGTTTTCAAGTTTTCTTCTTTCTCACGTTTTACCTTTGTCCTGTGTGTGTGTGTGTGTCTACTTGCTAGTTTGTTTATCTTTCTAACGAGAATCAAGTAGTCAATACTCACGTGAAGATCGCGGCGAAGATTTGAGCGAGGTCGCTGTCGTCGCGGGCAGTGTTGTTGTAGTTGAAGGAGCGATCATGGGTGTGGTGGAGGTCGTAGGTGGCATTAAAGTTTGCCTCACAGACGGCTCTTAAGACACACTCCCCGGGGCGCCCACCAGCCAGCACCCAGAAGGTTCTGCAGGAGACAAGACCGTCAGGCAGGTCTTTTATTGTACTGGTTAACGAGTTTACTTTGAGTTTATGATGACAGACGTATTCTCTTTCCTTCTCTCTCACCTGAGGAAGGGAACAGCTACTGCAGCTGCCAGAACCTCCTCGACGTTGGGTCGTTGCCATTTGCTTCCCTCCTCCTCCTCCTCCTCCTCCTCCTCTTCCTTTGTCCCTCGTTTGCGTCTTCGGCCTGTAGGAGAAGTCCTTCGTCAGCAGGAGGATAAGCGCTACAGGTTGATTGATAACAGGAGTATAAGGAACTTTGTTGATTGGTCAACAGGAGTAGTAAGCGCGCTGGCTATTAGTCAACGTCAACAGAAGGGAAGATGTTGATTGGTTAATGCTAATAAAAGTATTGAGAGAGAGAGAGAGAGAGAGGCAACTCACCCATGGCAGGGGGTATAGTAACAGTGTTCATGTTATTTTGGTTACTGTTGCTGTTGGCAACGTTGATATTGTCCAGGTTGTTGTTGTTGTCGTTATTGTTGTTGTTGTTGTTATTGAGGTTGTTGTTGACGTTGTTGGCTACCTGCAATATGAGGTGATTAAGGCCGTGAGTAATGTAATGGTTAAGATATATTGAGAAAAATATTTTATATGATATAGGCTGAACACTCTCTCTCATCTAGTACCTGGGCTACGATGTTCACGACCCCTAACAGAAACCCGATGAAACTGTACGTGTCGAACCCGGGGGGCTTGTAGTCACCACACTCGCCCTGGTCACCGGCGGGGAAGTAGACGAGAGGAGCCTTCGTCGTCGTTGTTGTCGTTTTAGCCGTCGTTGTCGGGTACTCTACTTCCATGTAGGACTTCCTCGTCAGCTTTGGGCGAGAGAAGAGGCGGAAAGGATCGAGGAGGGCGGAAAGGGAAACAGGGGGAGATGTGGGATGAGGGACTAGAGGTGCCGGACGGATGATCTGTCGCAGCCTTGGGGACACAGCTGGTCGGGGTGGTCTCAGGGCCTCCATGTGTGTTATATGCTGCTGGAAGAACCCCTGAAGCGGTATAACACTCCCGCCGACGTCCACAGGTACTTGAGGGTAGGCGTAGGTGTGGGGGTGAAGGAAGGGCAGTGACCGTTCTTCTCTCGGTGGTAATGGCGGGGTTAATGGGACCCCTGTAAGCTGTGTCATGTTGGTGATGATGGTCCCAGACATGACAACCCGGGAGGCCGTGGTATGTGGGAGGGACGCTGTGGTCTGTGAGACGGAGGCTGTGGTCTGTCGGAGTAAGTGTTGATGTGAGTCTGTGGTCTAATCGTTGGATCTTTCATATGCTCCTCTAGATAATCCGGGATAAGTTAACAATACAGCTACTGAGTTACAAGTAAAACTAACAACAATATTAACACACTACTCACATTATACATCATCATGAAACATTATCTTAAACACATAAATGAAAATAAAGACGCATACACTTTACTAATAAGAAAATTTTGGTTAAGTGATCGACTTTAAAAGGAATTCTCTACCTGAAGGATGAGGACTGGTGACCACAACAGCTATATTCTCGACCATCTTCAAAGTCGACGGTTTGTGACAGTCAAAACATTAAGCAACATGTGTGATGTGTCGCTGTGATGTGTCATTCTCCTCAACAAAAATCCTACATGATACATAATTTAACACATGAATTATAAGGTATATCTCCATCTCCTGATTAATTTAATTTTCTCACTATTTTCCCCCACTCGATCCTCGCCTTCCTGCCCCCCCCCCCTGCCTCCCTATACTACCAGTCTTTGGGGGCAACATACCTCCGTTATATCCAACTGAATAACGCACCACACGCTCGCTACGGTCCGGTGGTCGTGGTGGCGGGCTGAAGGGACGGGAGAGGAGTTAGTTTATCACTGTGTGTAAGGTAAACAGCGCGTGACGTCACAGTTTAGTGGTTACGATCATATGTTCAGAGGTTTGCGTTGCTCTTTTGTTTACGTTTTATCCAGTTATTCACTGTGACTCTCCTGTTGGTATATTCTTTGGTGTTTATTCTTTATTGGCTTTGTCAATTATTATATAGTGTGTGTATATAAACGACACAGTAATGAAAATATCTGTAAATCCTTTTCTCAGGCAGTCCTATTATCAGAGTGTCGTGAGGGAGGAGGATGACCACTTAGAGTATATCCACGTCTATGTGACCCAACTATAAACTCAGATATTGATAACACTGACTTAAGGGTTAATATAAAATCAAAACGTACGTACTATAGACCAACATTACTCACCGACAATACAGGAAACACTTCGTGTGTGCCGGGTGTGTCGTCGTCCCCACCTGTATGTAGCGCTGAGGACCCGACGTCGTCCCGGGAAACACTCCTGCTGGCGAGCGTATACGGGAGGTGGTGGTGGGTGGAGGTGTTTGTGTAAGGCCCAGTAGGTGTATTGAAGGGCGTTCACGCTCGGAGAAGGGGCGAGCGTGGGAGGAGGACCGTGGGAGTGCTGGGAGAGTGAGGGTGTGTGTGTGTGTAGCTCAGTAATACCTCCCATACCACAGCTGACTCTGATACAGCTCACACTGGTGTGGCCGCCAGGTGTACAACCACCCAGGGTCGTCGTCATTGTTTTTTACTTACAGTCTCATGTTCGTGCTGTACGAGAGTGTCGCTACTGGCGGGGCGGTCAGGCTAAGGTTCGTCTCAAGCAACTTATAAAAGCGTTCATCTTCACAAAACTGTTGTTGTTCGTGGTGGCGCTGTGTTTAAGCTTCACGAGTATCAACTGAGACTCATAACTTACATGGAGGGAAACTTGGCATCTCTTGTGTCTTCTGTTGACCTGTCGACGCCCTGGACCTCCTCAGCTCACAACGCCTTCAGGAGTGGCCTCACCAACCTCACACACAACTACCTGGAAGGACAGAGAAAATGGCTGACCTCACTACCCTGGCAGGAGACAGACGATCTTGACCTACTGACCTTCACCAGTGACTCCGAGGCTAAACTCCTGCAGAAAGTCCTTCTCAAATTCTCTCAGGACCTACAGTTTTCTGGTGTCGAGTCGAAGCTCCTGAAACGTGAGAAAAGTGGCAGAGAGGACTTCCCTGCGTCAGAGGAAAGCAGGTCAAGGAAGGTCAGGTCACCTCAGGGTCACCCGTTCATCCCGGCGGCGGTGATGAGGCAGATGATGAGGCTGCCACGACCCTCACACAGGAGGCCCAGTGGCAGGTAGGCCGTGATGCAAGTTGTGAGGGTAATGCAACCTACACACACACACACACACACACACATATATAGAAAAAGAGAGAGAGAGAGAGATTTCACATTTTATCTATATCCCAGCAAACTGAAGAAGAGGAAGTCGAATGATGGGAAGAAGGGGGAGGAAGAGGAGGAGAAGGAGGAAGAGGTGAAAGGTCGTCCTCCCATCATCTTCGTGCCGGAGGAGACTACCAAGTGTATCAAGACGGGTCAGATGTCCTCCTTCGGTTTCCTCTCCTTCGCCCTCGCCGTCGCCAACATCGTCATCAACATCTCTAACAACGTCAACAATAACAACAACAACAACAATAACAACGACAACAACAACAACAATAATGACAACAACATAAACATTGCCAACAATAACAACAATGTCAACAGTGCCAACGAGGTGAGTTTGTGTGTTTGTTTGTTGTTGTACATGTGTGTGTGTGTGTGTGTGTGTGTGTGTGTGTGTGTGTGGTCCAAAACTTCTCTCATCACCCGGGTCTCTACAGGTGATGGTGGGGCGCCGTCTTCAGCGCCTCCTTCAGCTACAGCGAAGCCTCAACGACCACGTCTACCGCAGCCAGAGGAGGACCCGACGATGGACCTACACCACCCAGGTCAGGAACTACTGTAGAAGGTGTCTTAGAACTTCTGTAGGTGATGTCCTGTGTCCCATGGAAAGCCCTCTGTGTAAATGACGCTTAGTAGTTTTCTCTCTCCATCAATCCATCAATCTATCCATCTATCACTGCCACACCCATATCATGTCACTCATTTTTCCTCCACAGGGCGCGGGGATGGCGTGGGCATGTCCTGGAGGCTCGGAGAAGGTGAGGGCGCGGGGGCTTGTGGGCGTGGCAGCACTGCTGGACTTATGGAACGTTTCCCTCACACACCCGCACCTTCCCTGCGTCGCCTACAGGTGGGTACTGCAGGTGAGAGAGAGAGAGAGAGAGAGAGAGAGAGAGAGAGAGAGAGAGAGAGAGAGAGAGAGCTTACACTCGCCATTCTTTCAACAGGTTTTGTGTCACTGCCGGCTACTTGCACCAGGGTGGGTCAGTGACGTCATCGGTGGGCGTGGTGGGCGTGAGAGCAGCCGCCCACCTCCTGATAAAGGAGAGAGGATGTGACCCCAGCTATCTTGTGTGGGCGGCTGAGCGTGGGCGTAGTGATGTGGGCGAATGTGGACGGCTCTTCCCTGGGTGTGATGGAGGTGTGGTGTACTAATGGAGATACACACATACACACATACACACCTCACATACGATCACATACGTACATGAGACAAATACATACGTAAAGAAAAATACGCACATACACACCCAAACATGGTTAAGTACACATAAACAGCAACAATACTTACGCCCACGCACACACAAACCGAACCTGAACCTAATATAAACCTAACATAACCAAACCAAACCACTCTGTTGACACGAAGAATAAAATGTACAAAAATAAATAAACAAATAAATAAATAAATAAATGAAAAATAAACACGAAATAAATAAAGTGGATAAAACTCTTTACTGTTCATCTTTAATAAATGAATAACTGAATATCCATCTTTTATTATCACGGCGAAGTTCCTAAATAACAGTGCTGCCTCCTACTCACACCGAGGGTACGCTGTGTTGGAGTAATTCAGTTCATGTAAGTGAAAGATTGACAGACAGATAGACAGACGCTTCAAGAGAAAAATGTATAAATCTATAGTTAAGATAATTCTCACGTGTTGATAATTGTCACGGAAATACAGATTATAAGTTCAGTCGTCATAATTATATGCATGGCGATTCTGTTTTGTTTTATTTTAGCAACCAAGAAAACGTTGTGCAGACCAATGCAGCTAATATTATAATTTATTGACCATTTGAAGAAGTTGGTGTTTTTAATAATATCATGAGTAAATTATACCAACGGTCTCAGAAGAATTGCATTTTATTAAGAAAAAACATCTTGGATACATTTGGTTAAGTGTTCCCGACAATCTTTAACGTTTTCTATGTTAAGTTGACTGGGTGACTGAACACGACTTTTGGCGGTGTCTCTTAGGATGAGGTAAGTTTCCAGCTCATCTATGGATATCAAGAACTTGTAGGCGACAAAATATAGTTCATCGGGGGCCTGAAGTTCCTGGGCGGCTATACAGAGTAACCAGGAGATGCAAGAGGCCCCATGGGAGACAATAGGGGCTAGGGTTGTGGAGGATAGCTTAGGGGTGGACTCCGAGGGATGAACACACACACACTGTGAGGAGTTAGTGAGGGAAGATAAGGTTGTCTTGACTGGAGCTTCGTGTTGTTGTTGTTGTCTTGCCAAGGCGTCTTGTTGTCGCACTGTAGTATGTTGTGGCGTTTCTGTGTGCTGTGGCGCTTCTGCAGTTGGTGGGAGGTAAGGGAAGCTCCTGCCAGCCATACCAGTGCCTGTCACAGCATTCTCGACGACGTTCGCGTTGTTGACGGAGTTGTCGTTCTGGTTGTCATTATTATTGTTATTGTTTAGGTTGTTGTTATTGTTGTTGTTGTTGTTATTATTATTGTTGTTGTTGATGGACATGTTGACGATGAACTGCATGATGAGGATACTGAAGGAGAGGAAGCTGAAGATGGTGAACTCTCCGGCAGGATATTGTGGCGGGCAGGTCTCCTTCCCTCCGCGTCCCTCAGGCATTCCTTCCCTCCCTTCTCTCCACACTCTTATCTCTTCTCCTCTGTTGCTCTGAGAAGGCTCTATGTCTCCTCCTGTGACTGTTAGGGCAGGTGTCCTATCCTGAAGAAGGCCCTGGTTTAGAAAGGTGTGTGAGGGCGCGGTTGTGGTGCTCTTTATAGCGTGGCAGACGAGGAGCAGGAACACCGTTGCTTTGTTAGTCGTCATATTGAACCTGACAGAGGGACGAGTACAGCTGTGGTCTTAGTGATATAAAAAGTTCCTCAACTATTGTGTACAAGATAGCATGACGTAAATATTAAACACCTGACTACTGTTTGTTTACTACTACGGACCCACCTGAACCCAACACATCTGAGAACAAATACACCTGAACACTTATACACCTGGTGACGTACATACCTGTCTGGCCACGGTAGGACTGAAGGACTGCCCGAGAAAACGATCACTTCCTCACCGTTGTCGTCGCCAGCTGTGCGTGGGGAAGGTGGAGGAGAAGGGCGTACGGTGATAACTTGGTCTAGTTTCGTCAGATTTATGAATAGGTCACGTAACTGTAAGTTTAAAGATTATGTGGGTCTTGGTGGTAAGGAGACGCGAAGCATACAGTAAACTCGCGGGGTCGTCATCCATAGCAGACCAACCACGTCATCACAGAATATGATGTCATCGAGAATTCCACTACTCATGTCATTACACTACAAGATGTTACGAAAGCCTTCACCACTCACGCCATAGTAATTCTTGACGTCACTAAAGCCTTCACCAATCACATCTTCGTGATGCATTTCGTCACTCCTGGGCGTCAACCATTCACATCATCGCAACACATGAATTCACCCTACGACCTCCACCATTCAAGTCATCGCAGCGCGTGACATCATGATAGAAAACGTGGCCACTGTCTTGTATGATCCACAGAGTCAGTGGCCGAGGCAGCAAGGTGGGATGCGAACCTGTGTACACCTCTACCAGTACCCACAGACCTGAGAACTCGACAGCCACTGAGGTACGGGTACTAATGGTATTTCTTTACCAAAATATCACTGTCATATATATAAAATATTAAGCAAAGACATTTTTAGTTCAGTGTCTGATTTTTTTTAATTGGGATTTATGAGTTTATTGTTTACTATTTTATTCCGAGTGACTTTAAAGTGTTGTTATATTATTTCACTGTTTGTTTTGTATTTTCAAAAAACTAATAAATACTGAAGGTGTATGTTTATATTCAGGTTCACTCAACAACACGTCTTTTTGATCGCTTTTCTTTTGTTTCTTCTTCAGGGTCATGAAGTGGCGGGTGATGGGGCAACTGCTGCTGTGCTCCGGGACCACAGCCGCCCCTCACAGCACTCACACAGATATACACAATATAGCACCTCACAGCACCTACATGAGCATATACTCAAACATACACACGGACACGCCCCCAGAGACATACACAGGTGCACACACAGATACTCACCGAGTCAGTAGTATAATCAGCAGACCTAGGACCCACGATGTCCCCAGCTACTTCATCAACGACCCCAGCGACGAGCCCAAAAACGACTCCAGCAACGACTTTAGCGACGATCCCAGCAATGTCCTTAGCGACAATCTCAGTGGCGACTGGACCGACCTCAATTCGGGTACCTCAGGAGACGATGGTGGGATAGAGCGAGGGGGCCGAGTGAGGCGAGATGAATGTCCCTCCCAGAGTGACCCAGCCAGTTCCATCTTCAACTTCCTGAGCAATACTGTCCTCACCACCACCCTAGTCATCAACCTCATCACCAGCATCAACGATAACAACAACAACAATAACAACAACGATAACAACAACAACAACAACGACAACAACTTCAACACTAATGATCTCATGGTGGATGTAAACAACATGAACATGAATCAGGCGATGCTGGGAAGGAGAAGCATCAGGTCAACACAGAGGTCTCTATGGTTCACACCGGTAACCGGTAACGATGTGTGTCTTTGTTCTGGAGACATAACACTCCAGAAAGCTGTCAAGGAAGTCGTGAATGACAATGGCAGTGAAATGAACGACAGCCATGACAACCAGAGTCAATATGTCAAGGGCACCATCGTACCCAACATGGATTCACACCAAGTTTCGAAACATAAGACCAAAGACACATCAAATTCTTCTTTGAACCCCAACGAACCAATTACTGTTACCTTAAACAACGTTTCCGTCACACAAATAAGTGAGTTGGAAAGTCTTCGAAACACCACAACAAATACCCAGGACTTTGGTAACAGTTGGAATCTCCTTTCGAAACATCATGAGCCATTTCTTGCTACTCATAGCTCCCAGACAAACGACACAGAGGCACCTGGTGTCCCACAAGGCTCTAACATGAGTTCATTCTTCTCCACTTTGCTCACGAACAATCAGACGATGGCGTGTCTCTCCTGGGCCATCTGCAGGAGGCTGAGGGATAAGCAGGAGGCATCTCTGGTGGAATGGGTGAGTGAGAACCTGGCCCTCTCTATCCTGGAGGTGGAGGTGTTACAGTTCCTGACGGAGGAGGAGCAACGTTATCTCCGTCTGGCCATCGTCAGAGGCAGGTACTGGGGTGACTGTGGAGACCTTGTCACTAAGTGTAGAGTGTGAAGAACTCTTTATGTCAATATGAAATGTACAGCTTTAATATAACTTTTAGCTCATTGATGAGTGACTTGTCCCCCATTATTATTATTATTATATTATTATTGTTTTAATACATTATTATTTTATTACCAGTATTATTTTTGTATTGTCATTAATGCTACTACAGACATATAAGTAAACATACGAGGTTCACAAAACTCAAATTATGGAATAGATTTAATTATTTTTACACGGTTGTAGTAAAAAAAACTTGAACAATACTATTCTCCAAGTGACTAAATATGCACGAGTGTGAAAAATACAGTTTGATAAATTGAGTTGAGTGTTGCTTAAGCCTTCTTACACGAACAATGCTTGTAGGTAGACCTTTTTGAAAGCCAGTAGCTGGAGGGAGGTCTTTTGGAAGTGGCTGTTTTGAAGTCCGGTTGTAGCGGGGATCTTTGAGAAGAAAACCTGTTTGAGTTATTCCTCCAAGTATTCGTATTTTGATGGTTTTCTGTTTTCGTTTTCTTTCCTCTTGAGGGTAAACTTCGCTGGGATCCAAACCTGTCCAGAAGTCTGCCTCCGACGTCGTTCATGTTCTCATTCATCGTCATCACCATGTTCATATTTTCGTTACGGTTGTTGTCGTTATTGTTGTTGTTATTGTTGTTATTATTATTGTTGTTGTTATTGCTGTTGACGACAATGTTGATGATGAGCTGGACAGTGAGGACGGTGGTGCTGAGGACGGCCAGCACGTTGACGCCTGACCCAGGTGAACCACACTTACTGCTGGACCGACCCACCCGAGTCAGGAGGAGGTGCTTCTTCTGCATCTGTTTTCTTCCTTCTTCCTCTTCACCCTTATTATTCTCTCTTGATATATCCTCCAGAAGACTGAAAGGCTGAGGATAAACCCTGTAGATGTCATTGAAGGAGTATAAATGGTCGGGGTGCTGAGAGTAATCACTGACGTTGCGGGATGTCACCGCCTGAGCTACACTGTGGGTGTATGGTGTGGACACGTTCTCAGTAGTAAGCTTCAGGAACATGTTGAGATTGTTGACAGTGTGTTGATCTGTCACAGGAACTAGTAAGATTATTCTCTGAGATGTTTCAAAAGAGTTAGGTTATCGGGTCACAGTACAGAGCCATCGGCAGGTTGTTGACGGGCGTAGGTCTTCTCAGGTTCTTGCCGGGTAAGGCTGACACTCTCACTTGGCTTCAGGATGTTTTCTTGCTACGACTACACTACTGCTACTACTACTACTACTGCTGCTGCTGCTGCTGCTGCTGCTGGGGTCCTGTACCGTTGAAGGAAGAGTCAGTCGGGCTGAAATCTCTCTTCTTGCGGCTTTTCGTCATAACTATATGACTCTGTATTTCTTGCTTCTACCAGACCAGACGAGTTAAGTCACCGCAGAATGATATCACCATCACTGAGGGAGGGCAGAGTTGGTCTCCGCCATCCTTCATTCAAACAAAACATCCAACCCAGAGGTGAATGAAGTCACTTGTACAATACTCATCAAATTAGGCAGCCCGAGGTCCTCCTCCAGTGTTACCGGCGGCTCCTCCCACACGAGGTCCTCCGTTTCCAGGTCCAAGAAGGGACTGAGGACCATCCATTCAGCGTCGGAACAGGAGGGATGGGCGGAGCTACAGTCCTGGCCACGCCTACCTTCAGCAGCGGCATTTAGCAGCAACCGTCGTCGAATAGGGAGCTCCCGGGGATACTGGTCCACGAGAGCTTTGCTGTAACCATAATTAATATAAACAAACTGAAAAATAATAATAATAATAATAATAATAATAATAATAATAATAATAATAATAATAATAATAATAATAATAATAATAATAATAATAATAATAATAATAATAATAATAATAATAATAATAATAATAAAAGAATAACAAAAGCAAATCAAGCAAGTCCCTCGACCTTTGACTCTACCTGAAGACATCGGCGAGGACGTCAGCGAGATGACCTCTGGCCACGGCAGACTTGTTGACTTGACACAGGTTCCTGAGGGCACAGCTGGGATCAGAGGTCAACATGGCTGTCCTCAAAGCCCTGATAAAGTCCATCACCACGAGAGCTGTCACCTCTTCCTCTGGCTTTAGCCGTAAGCTTTCTTTATACCTGTTGGACGTACATAAAGGTGTTCATTATATTTATGAGACAGAAAGACAGAGAGAATATGCAAATTAAATAATGTAAACAATGTCTTCAGCTTGGCAACCTAACTTATGACGTCACCCAAAATGGCGGCCTATCTGATGACGTCACCATACCTAGATGATGTCACTTACTCCTCCAAGATGGCGGTCTCGAGGTGGCGTCGTCGGCGGCCCATCATGGCTGGCGGGATGGTCACTGTGTTCTGGTTGTTGATGTTACTGTTGCTGTTAGCAGTGTTGATGTTGTCCAGGTTATTGTTGTTGTCGTTGTTGTTATTGTTGTTATTGTTCAAATTGTTGTTGACGTTGTTGGCTACCTGTGTGAGAGTGGAAGATAGTCTCTCTCTCTCTCTCTCTCTCTCTCTCTCTCTCTCTCTCTCTCTCTCTCTCAGCAAATGGTAACTTGATCACTACACTGACATATTCAAAGCACTGACCTAATTTAATCTAAACTAACCTAATCTAACCCTACGTAGAGAACCCAAACCTAACGTGATAACAGCACTCAGGCTTCTTACATGTCCGACGAGATTGGCGACGGAGAAGAGGAAGGAGAGGAAGCTGTAGGTGTTGAAGCCGCCCTCAGCGAAGTCCTGACACCCACCACCGTCGCCCTCGGGGAAGTAAACAATGGGTGGAGGGGCTTCTGTGGTGGTGGTGGTAGGGGCGTATCCTCTTCTCCTTGTCAAGCTTCCTCGTTTGTTGATCTCTTCCTCCATCTGTGAGAACATGCCGAAGGGGTCGAGGAAAGAGGCGAAGGAGAAGGACTGGAGAAAGCTGGGTTTTGGGGTGGTGAGGGGTAGGGGGTGATAGGGAAGGTTGATAGAGGGACCAGAGTTCTTTAGTAGAGGACCTCTCAAGGGTGACTGTTGGCGGGGTCTTAAGGGTCTCCTCTGAGCTCTTGGGATGACACGGGTCTCAGCAGGGTGTTGGGACGGCCTCCATTGTGCCTCCAGTGGCCTGGGCGCCAAAAGCCACCCACCCTCGCCCACGCCCGCCGCCCACAACACCACTGTTAGTGTAAACATACTCCCTGAGGCACCTGCACTTTGCCAACCCATCTTACGTTCCTGTTCAGCTACTTTCTTATTGTTCCACTTCTTGCAATCTCTTCTTCTCGTTTCAGCTGAGAGTGATTAGTGTACTGCTCCACGGCGAAGACTCCCACGACTCTCACCTCTCTACTTCTCTCTCCACATCTGTCTTAAAGATTTCCTGACTTGAGGTTGATAATATACTCTAATACACCGTCAGCTGGAGTATAATGGCAGTATACTGAGCGGGCAGGATATATGTACACAGATGGCTGCGCTCTGAAGCAAGCGTAACAAGTGACGCCCACCATCAGCTCGCCGCCGCCTTACTTCGCTTCCCACACCTCACAACACTGGCTGACGGCGTGAATATGACCACCAAAGCCGGTTATAACGGCACTCACGGACGCTGATCACACCCAGCACCTCACACACCCCGTAATACAAATTTACTCGGGTGTATTAAGTTGACATATTGTGTCTGTACAAGTGTATGGTCGCTGTGTGTGTTGCTGGCATGTGTATGGCTTCTCTCTCTCTCTCTCCTTTAGTCACATTTAACTTCACATCAAGTCTGAATCATCACCGATATCATACTGTAACCACGTAGAAAATACAATACCTGTACTTTATAACCTAATCTTGCTGAATGTTTACTGATGTTTCTGAGTGACTTACCGAATCTACATATCAATAAACATATATCTCACACATCTTACACTTAACAACGATGTTATATCATATATATATTTGTTAATTAGTTATGTTTTAGATATCAGAAACATAGAGTTACACGTGTGTTTACAGTAGGGATAACAGACTATAGATGTTATGATGAATGTTTATTAGGATGAGAATGAAGGTTTTTACAGAGGTAGATTGTTTTGTTGGAGTCCAGGGCGTCCGTTGAGTCCATCTGTCACCCTCACGCGTCCGTAGAATCCGTCGGTCACCCTCAGGCGTCCGTTGAGTTCATCTGTCACCCTCAGTCGTCCGTTGAGTTCATCTGTCACCCTCAGTCGTCCGTTGAGTTCATCTGTCACCCTCAGTCGTCCGTTGAGTTCATCTGTCACCCTCAGTCGTCCGTTGAGTTCATCTGTCACCCTCAGTCGTCTATGTCTTTTTAGTATTACACATAGGAATCCATGTGTTACCCTCAGACGTCAATGGCATCTTAACATTACCCTCAAGAGGTCTTAATCTAGCCTCAGACGTCACTAGGGAGCGTCCACTTGCCCACTAAGACGCAGAAACGTATCCATAACAGCCTGGTTGTCCCTCAACTTGGCCCATACAGCAGCAGGACACCTATATCGACGGTCACAGGACGCCCCACTACGTCCCTCTGCGGCAGCTTCCTGTAGGGCCTTCTTGGACACCCCCACCACATTCTGAGACACCCACTCCACGTGAGCTACACTGGAGGTGTCGTAACATGTTTGTATTAGTGAGACAGGGAAGTGAGTGTCGAGTATCCTAATGTTTTATCGTGTTTAGTTAGGAAGATCAGTCTCTCTCTCTCTCTCTCTCTCTCTCTCTCTCTCTCTCTCTCTCTCTCTCATAAATACAAGTACGGTAGCAAGAATTACAATCTATTTCTACATCCATCTACACCAGGTCATGCCCCGGGATGAGCCTGTCTGAGGTTAATAATAAAGACACCACTGACCTGAGTGCCTGGGCTAGGATGAGGGCCAGGTCTCCCCACTCGGCCGCGGCAGCATTAGCCCTACAGAGTGACCGTGTGAGGCAGGAAGGTTGTGTGGTGAGGGACGCCTGCAGGTAGGAGCGTAGGAACCCAAGTGACACTACCGATGACACCTCCTCTGCTGTAAGGTAGACACGTACGATTTTAAGACAGACAGACAGATACAGAAATAGACAGACAAGGGATCAGACAGAAATACAGACAGACAGATACCAAAACAGACAGGCAAGGGATCATACAGATAGATAGATGGATAGATAACCCTTCAATCATGCAAATAGATAAAGAAGAAGAGGAATTGATGAATAAATAGATATATAAACTAACCTGTGAGTGTCTCCTCTTCCCGAACCCAACACACGTCGTCCTTCTCTTCTCTTTTTTCCTCCCTCTTCCTCCTCCTCCTCCTCTTCTTGCCCGTGCCTGTGGTGATTCTGGTGAAGATGTTGGCGTTGTTGTTGGCATTGTTCTCGTTACCATCCTGTAGAGGCCAAGAGAAGTGGTGACACTCTCTCTCTCTCCCTCTCTCTCTCTCTTGATTGCTCTATCTATTTGTCTTTTTTCTTCCCACTGGTTAATCTATTAGTGTCTATTTATCTATCAAATTGATCGGTCAATCCCTTCATCTATGTATCTACCGCCTCACCCCCCCCCCTCCCAGTCCCACTCACCTGTATGTTGTTGTTATTGTTGTTGTCGTTGTTGTTGTTGTTGTTAAGGTTGTTGTTGGCGTTGCTGGCCAGGATGCCCACCAGGTTGGTCGCCGACATGAGCAGCGCCAATAGACTGAAGGTACTGAAGCCCCCGCCTGAATTCTCCTGAAACGTCAACACACGTCACTAAAGGATCACAGGAGGTAGGAAAAGGTCAACATCTCTTCTACTGACGCTGCTGACTTCTGACGCCCATCCTCTATGATATTCCTAACTATTGACATTTCTCCCTTTTCTCCTAACACTGCTCCCTATTAAATTGTTGTCTCACTGACACAGCTCACTTCTGACACTGCACCCTTACCTGCTGACAGTCCTCCTGCTGGTTTGGGAACCATATGACTGGTGGTTGTGTGGTGGTGGTCGTGGGGTCCTTGATAGACGGGTTGTAGGCAGTCATCACCCTGGAGATGGCCCCCGGCAGCGCCTCCATTACCTCCCGGGGCGGCAAAGGCGCCACCACGGGAACATCCATGGAGTTCCTTCGGGGCTGGAGACGCGACAGCAGGACTCCTGGAGGACGCCTGTGGACGTGACGGTGTCGTGAGAGAAGGGGACGAGGTCGAAGAGGAATTGGTAGCTCCAACATGTTTCCTTCAGTGAGTGTGTTGTGTTGAGGGGCTGTCTTGGAGGTGGGGTAACTCGCTCCTCCCCACTCCCTCATCTGCCCGTGAGGGATGCTAGGATGACGCCCTGCTAGGACTCGTGACGGGCTGAGCCATCGACTGGTAACAGCATTACTCCTAGGGCGGACCAACTGACCAGCACAGAGTGTAGAGGTGACCAGCAGCAACACACACAACACTCCACCCTCCATAAGATGTACAGAGTTCCTCTCAGTCGTCCGCCACGTAAACCTTTACGTTTCCAGCTCTGCTTCGGGAGAAAGAAGTCTTACGCTCTTGCAGCTGGACTCCTCCTGGGGTCACCACGACACCAAGACGCAGCCCTCAGCTCGGGTGTAGCCTCATGTTCCCACAGTCCGTCATCAACAGTTAGCGCGGCCCTTGAAACCACTCGACGGCTTATCAAGTGTTGGTTTTTGTCGTCGTGAATTTAACACAGCGGGGGACTGGTGTCAGATTCTCCGGTCATGCACCGTTACTCACACACACAGGTACCCATACGCGCGTCTTACACTGCCAATCTAACACCTCGTTCTCTGCACGTATATGATCGCAGGGAACCGTTCACGTCCCGCTGACCCGGGCCGTTAGCCACGAGTGTTTACGCCCAGATGGTGGTGGTGAGGATTATGTGTGAGCTGTTGTATGGCAGTCACACCTGTGGCCTAGATGAACAGTGAGTGTTGCGGGACATCACCGTTACCTGCACGGGTCGTATGCCAGGAGTGAGGAACCCATTCACATACGTTAACGAGCGAATATAAAGTGTGTCGTATAGTGGAGGCAATATTTGTAATATTGTCTCCTTCACGGTCTCCTCATAAGGTCGACAACAAATGGAAACCACAAATAATCTTAATATGTTTATTCTTAGTAAGAGTATGGGCGGTGTTGTTCACGCGGTGAGGTTGTGGGCGTCTAGTGGGTGGTGGTGGTGGTGGTAGGCGTTGAGGCCCGCCCATTCTTGGGGGTCACATTGATAGGTGGCTTCACAGTCCCACCCACTACGCCCACGCCCACCTGCCCGCAGTAACGCCGATCTCCACGACGAAGACGAGGACCCGGGCATCAGGAAATCCACGAAGGCGACGCTGAATGATAGACCAGTGAAACAATTGTAATTATTATCAAGAATTAAACACAAGCGAGGAAAACTTCATTATTACTATCATTATTATTATTACCCGGAATAACTCTTATATTTATATTATTGCTACTGATATTGTTATGTATTGAGTATATCTTTAATATTTTCATTCTTAAAACAAAAACAAAATCATAAAACTACAAATACTAACATTCTGTTTACCACATCACCGGTTAGTGCCGCGAGATACATATGTTGAAAAAACACAATGATCATGAACACTACACTATCTAAATTTCAGATGACATAAATCAAAGAATCCCAGCCTAACTTACTGATGCTTAATATGAAGTAAACTTACAACAATACAGGGCAATTTTGGTAGGTTAGCATTATTTTCTTTGATTCTTATCATCAGAAAAGTATATGGATTGGCGGTCCTTTTCCAACATCATAGTAATATGCATTGCAAATGGCGTTCTCACGGTCCAGTGTAGCCAAGTACACGGAAATTTCCCTTTTTATGGAAAAAATGACCCTGAGAGGGAAAAGGGGAAGAAAATGAAAATTGGTCAAAATCTAGGGGAAAATGGCAATGAAGTACGGGCATTTTGAAAGAGTACCAAAATATTTCATCGACGATTCAAGTTTGTATCAGTCGGCGCTCATGCACCCACCCTCTCAACCCACAAGGTATTTTGTTCTTGCAGTCTTGCCAATAAGTTGTTAAACTAACCAAACTACTTCGTTCTGTGTCGCCTTATATTCTGACTATTAATTTTGTTTACATTCTTTCGCTCCTCTGGTCCCCCCTTCTCCACTCTCCTCTCTGCCTTCCCTGTCCCGTGATAGGCTCTGTTTTCATTAGTTCGTAATCTATAAATATATACTGCTACAGTGTACTTACATTATATTTCGCTACAATCGCCTGGGCTAAAACCTCCAAAGGGCTTTTTCAGGTTGTCTTGTATCTGAATAAAAAAAAAGTATCGTACTAGGCTAGAGGATCAAACTCAGCAAACACGTATTGGATACTAAAAGGACACCTATAGTCGCTATTAATAAGGGTTGAAGTTCTGTGAGAAGTTTAGAGCTGTTCGAGGAACTGTTCGAGATACAGATTGCTAACTCTAAAAAATTGGAAAAAATAATAATTATAATTGCATTGAACATTCATGCCAATAGACACTTTCAGTAAACTTTATATTTATTTTTAGCCGCGCAGGTAATAGCATCGTGTTAACATGCAGATGCTGTCATATTGATTATCACTAATTTAGTACTCTAGAAATGAAAATGGGGAAATTTTGTGAGACAAAGGGAATTTTTAAGAGTGCATCAGGGATATTTGGCCGAGGAGACCTGGCACATTGTGCATCAGACCTCAGTCTTCACCTTAGTACTTCAGCCACGTCGTGAGCTAGACGCCCTAACGCGACGCTCCTGTGGTTCGCCTCACATAGACTCCTCTTTATGCACCCAAGGGACGCCAAAGACTTCACTTTGGGCGTGGCTGAATAACCCCCTGTGTTTTCCCAGAACGGAAGTTTAATCCATTCCTCGTCACGGCTATTCGAAGCTGATGACTTCACCTTCACTTGAACTTTTTCCTCATCGGTTTGTACATCATCATCTGCTACAACAGCTCGGGTTGATCGATACCACGCCCTCAAGAACAGGACGCCCGTACCTGCAGTCACGTCGTCGAGTATGGGCGTGAGATGGTGTTGTGGGAGAGAATTGTTGGTGGTGAGAAGTTGAAGATGGCGACGTTTACGACCACCAAAAGTCACCATGGTAAGCAAATCCAAGTTATTATTATTGTTGTTCTCGTTCCCTCCCTGTAATATAAGTGACACGTTTATATATATATATATATATATATATATATATATATATATATATATATATATATATATTATATATATATATATATATATAATATATATATTCCATTATTTTATAGTCAATGTGAAAGAATGGCGCCAACCTATAGTTAAGTCAAAATTTCTAGTGATTCTGTCAATATCAGTAAACTGCGAGTGTTAATTTTAGTGTTTTATTCAACATTTTGTGGTAGACTCGAAAATTGATCTCGTTAATAAGTTACCGTTTTATACCTTTGTGAATCTACTTAACAATAAACACACTAATGGACGAATCAATAAATAAACATAATGAGAATAGTAATGTATACAATACACTGTATGCTTGAGAATTTGTACCCAAATCCCTCACAACAATACACTTCATTTATTATATACCTGGATGTTGTCGTTGTTGACGTTGTTGTTGTCGTCGTTGTTGTTGAGGTTATTGTTGGCGTTGCTGGCCAGGATGGAGACTAGGTTAGTGACGGACACCACCATGGCCAGGAAGCTGAAGGTGTTAAAGCTGCTGCTGCCTCCTGACGTCTCACACTCTGTAGGGGATGCACTGTAGTTCACCACCATACGAAGTGGAGTGATCTTCATGTGAATTTACCTGTTTTTGATTAATAAACTAACCTAACATATTCTAATCTTATCTAACTTAACCTAACCTAATATACTAACCTAACCTGAATTTGTTTGAACGAATCGTAATAAAACTTCTTTCTCTCCCGGTCAGTAAAACATTCAGTCATACACAACTCTTCACTTACCACCAATATTGTCTAAATTTGTCTTGTCACACCCGACTGACACACACTAATAACTTGTGACAAAAATCAATGAAAACCACAGAACACAAACACACCGACCTGGGGTGGTGTTAGGGAACCATATGACTGGTGGCTTGGCTGTGCTGGTGGTGGTGGAGTAGCGGGAGTACACCCCCTTCACCGCGTCAGGTAACAGCTGCAGTACCTCCAGGGGAATGTTTTCGTCTGGTGGAATTCTGGGAGGATAACCAGGAAGAGGAAAACGTCTTGGAAGTAGTAGTCGTTGGTTTTGGATGGTTGGAGGAATTGACTGGTGCCTGGGAGGTGGTCGTGGGTGGGGGTGAGATGGATATCTGGCGTCTTGTTGAGTGTTCGTGTTGCCTCTCTCTTCCATCCTGTTGTGAAGGTGCGTCTGTCCTCTCTTGTTGAGCTTTAATCCTTCTGTCGGGTGTCGAGAACGAGCTCCTGGAGTAAGAAGGTTCTGTTTTCCTCTGTGATATACGCTGCTAGTGAGGTCACGTAGCGACACAGCCATGTGTGGTATCCTGTTTGGTGACGACGATGGATGGTTCCTCCTCCATGATGGCACTCTGAAGCCTCGCTGAGTTTGAGCAAAATCAGGAGGGAAGTTTGGAGTGTGAAACATCCTACTCTGAGGGTAGGCTGGAGGGTGAAATTCGGCTGCCACGACGGTCAGAAGCACCAGTAAAAATCCTCCTGACGGTGTTCTGGCCATCCCGACACCGCGGGTCTTCCCTAGACTTCACGACTAACTTAATGATCATGTCAGGGCTGGCGACCACTCTGGCACCGGCGGGACTGAGTTTGGGTGAGTCGGGGTGACGAGAGGAGGGGCTCGCAATGCGTGTAACACATGGAGTAGGGAAAGGTGGAGGGGGAGCAGCGTGAAAGATAGGGAGGGGAGGGAGGACGGGGGGTCACTGAACCAGTTTACGCCTCAGCTGAGTCTGTTAAAAAAGTCTTAGTGATCTGTATTTATATGTCTTTTGTTTTATCGGTGTCTGTTAGGTTCGATTCTCATTTGGGTTGGACTTTGGTGAGAGGTGTGTTTCCGAGGTGACTCGACAGAAAATTATTATAGGTTTAGTCCGGTTACTCCTGCTGTATCAACACTGGACACGGGGCGGGGGTGGAGTTCTCAAGACCTCTGGGGGAGACCTGATACAAAAATAAACACACATGATAGAGCTGGACAGTAGAAACAACCTAAAAGGTAATCACAACATAAACATGGCAGCTACAGTTTACTTTTGTAACTTCTCGATAACTTTGACCATTACAATTTTTCATATTTATTTATACCTAATACAAAGAAAGTCCCATTTACCCAGTAGGAAAGATCAGTGAAGTCAGGAAGTCAATCATCTGATTTAGATTCATCCAAGATCATCTTATGTAAGGCTAACAGAGTGGCATAGTGTGTGATGTCACGGCTGGTTTCTGGCCGAGTTTATGACGTTATTGCTGGGTTCTATTTAGTGTTGCCCTAATAGTGATGATAATAAAAACTTGCAGAAAGTTTATGTAAAATGACCATTGCGATGGCCGGGAATCGAACCCGGGTCAACTGCTTGGAAGGCAGCTATGCTCACCACTATACCACCATCGCCATATATATTCTGTGGGAAAGTCAACATGAAACTCAAACCAACGTAAGAGTTTGTGATACTATATAAAGGAAGATTGCTTCGGTGTTTATGATATGTTTCATAGTGTAGTGTATATCTACAGTTTCACAAGCATTGTGCTTAGAATAACCAAACATTAATGAGGATTGTTATATAATTCTCACTAAAGATGGCCACTTTTGAGAAATAATTCACAATTACTGTAGTATTAAACTATTTAACCAGAAGTAAACTGTTCGCTTCTCAGGTACTGTACTGTACACAAAGTTATCAACGAAGCAAACTGGTGATCATTACGCAGGACCTACTGGTGATTGCAATAACGGAATTTACTTAATAACGGTAGACAAACAATGAACGAACGTGACAGCTGAACATCTTGTGGGGCGCCGTGAATGGAATGTGTTGACAAGCCGAGGGTTGTGAGAGAAAGAAAGATAGAGAGCGAGCGAGCCAGCCACAGACAGACAGACAGACAAGGAAGGTTAGTTATCTCGGGTTATGAACATTGTCTTTCACATGTGTTGGTATCGCTTATCTCACAGGTGAACAAAAAATAGGCTTTGCGATGGCCGGGAATCGAACCCGGGTCAACTGCTTGGAAGGCAGCTATGCTCACCACTATACCACCATCGCCTTGTGTTCATTCACCAATAACACTGTATGAGGTGGTAGAGATGGTGACAGAAGTAACATCAATGCCATCGTGGACATTATCCTCTTGGTTGACAGACAGACAGACAAACTAACGAATAAATAGATACCAGTAGATATGTGGAAAGATAAATAGATAGATTGATATAGAAATAGATTGATAGACATCAATAAATAGACAAATATAGATAACTAGACACTGATAAATATACCCATGGATAGATAGATAGTCGAATGTATGGACTGACAGATAGATAGTGAATTAATTGAAGATTTACCCCAAAGCTTATTGTACCTGTTGATAGCCACTGCAAAAACCTGGGGGATTAGGTTAAGTTGGGATTGGCAAGATTGGTTAGATTAGATTAATTTAGGGTCGTTAATCTTCAGGTGAAATAAACTGAGGCGAAAACCTTCAATTGAACCAAAAACTACGTACATATATTTTACAGGTTTTATTTTATTTTTTAATATTTTAGGATTATTTTACGTAGGTTAGTAACTGTAAGGCGGTGGTGAAGCCATCTAGCGGCGATAAGGAGTACTATTCAGCTTCGCCCCGCCCACTTTAGATTCCATCATTCAGACATTCACTCAATTCAGTGTCAACTTGTCGTTGGAGGAGGGAGGTAGTGCTCATCGCTCTGTATTAAAATAATTGAATATTGTATTTCTGGATACAGTTCATGACCGTTGATTTAAATTAAGCTGTGGATAGTTAAACTTCCTCGTTGTGGAGGATCCAGGTGAGATATATCAAGCCGAGTACAGTGTTTAAGGACAAGGGTCGCAATTATTTCTTACTTTGATAACCCAACATGTATCGTTTCTCACTCTTGATCCGATTTTCTTTTCCGTATTTATGGTTCAATTTATTTTATTTCGCCCCCCCAAGCATAGTATAGGCGTACCGAATTGGGAGAGGCCAACGCCCCTTGAGCTAATAAATTATTCCAAATAAACCATTTTAACATAAGAAAAAATAAAAGCGATAACAAAATAAATAAAAATAATATCATCACTAATTGAACGGTAAGTTTATCATGTACAGAAAAATATGAATTACCCTGTATCTCGCATTTCAACAATACCTGGGTATGTTTAGTTGAAAGTCCCTCTGCTAAATTTCTGGGTAAGCCACTGATGATTAGGTCTAGCCACAGTAACTCCACCCTTGTTGTATTAAACGTGCTTTGATGACAAAATTTCTTTAAAGATTATGATCAGTTTCTACGAGACAATAACAAATATAAAATATATATATATATATATATATATATATATATATATATATATATATATATATATATATATATATATATATATATATATATAAGTAAATCACTGTAGGTGCGTGAATTACACGAAAGCGCTTGGGAACTTGTGTTTTCTCCTTTCCTTGTGGTTATCAGCATATATATATATATATATATATATATATATATATATATATATATATATATATATATATATATATATATATAGAGAGAGAGAGAGAGAGAGAGAGAGAGAGAGAGAGAGAGAGAGAGAGAGATTAGTGTTAGCATGATTGATCTTAATATGAAATCTGCTGGGAGGCTAATCTTCAGGTGATCCTTTTCATTTTGCAGGTAGATAGCAGCAGCAGCAACAAGGGACGTGTGGGTGGTGATGGTGGGGGAGGCTGTGGCAGCACTCTGGGTTGTGACAGCGCTGCCCCTACCAGCAGGATGGCACCAGTCTCACATCTACCGTGCAGGGCGGGGGGAGCCTCACCAGGGTCTTGAGTCCTGGATTCACACAACCACTAAAGCAGATCTTCATCAACTGTGGCGGCAGCAGCAACTCCAGGCACCAAGAGCTTCAGGAGACCTGTCTGTCAAATTTGAGAATTCCTGGGTTGCTACTGTGAGCACTGTTCATCAAGCTGTCAGCAAAGTGCCTTCCATGGGCCACTACAACAGGTGGTGGGAGGTGACTTTAGGTAGAGAAAACCAAGAGGGTGAAGCAAAAGCATCTCTCAAGAACAATAATAAAAGTGGCTCTAGATTGAAGACAAACTGGGTGAGAGATGGAGGTGACACCATTGAAGACAGTAGGTTACAGCAGCAGGGACAGCAGGCCATGATACAGCAACGGCGGGGAAGAAGAGACAGAACCTCTAGACAAGAGCGAGAGACCACCTACTGTCTGTCCTCCTCAACGCCAGAATCCGCCGCTTTCACCTTCGCCTCCTTCATCATTCTTATCGCCCAGGGGATTGTCAATGTGATTAATATCAACAATAACAATAATAATAACAACAACAATAATAATAACAACAATGATAACAACAATAACAACAACAATGTCAATACAAATAATGTTGTCACAATGAATAATGAAGAAAATAATGCAGAGGTGAACATGGGCAGGAGGCTACACAGGTCACTACCAGCAGCACCACAATCACTGACACGAAGGAAAGTTTCTCGAGGTGGTTTCCTGCTTAACCACAGAAAACCAAGTCGTGGGTTGAGAAGGTATTCTGGAAAATCTCTCCACCACCAGATAACCCTTCAACCCAACACAACTGACACACTTATCGATGTTGACCTATCACTGTCACCACCATCGTCATTACTATCAACAGAGCATAACAGAGCAGTAAACCATCAACATACACACCACCATAAAACCACTGTGGCAGCCGTGAACTTGGAACTACAACCACAGCAACCAAGATGTGAGTGTCAACAAACAAGATCCAAAAGGTCAACACCTGAGACATCAACCCTTGGACAGTGCCTCAAGTATGTCTTGTGCCGAGTAATTAACCTCCAGATGTCAGGTTCACAAGACTTCCTCTCCAGATACTTGCAGTAAGTCAGTAATGCTTGATGAAACTTGTACAGTACGGGCATCCCACAAAGCTTGAAAACCCAATAGTTAAGTGAATGATCATATACAGACACGTTTCAGTATGGTGTTAATGGGGTTACATTCCAGAAATCAGTCAGATTGGAGGTTTTCTTCCCAAACTGAAGGAGCATTCTTGATAACGGTAGAGGCAGTTGACTGGGCCAAACTGCTTGCCGTACGAGGTTGCTTGTCTTTGCTCGAGGTAGCAGGAGGCACAGCTGCATATTCCCCAGTAACTTAATTCACTAAATGATGACACTGCAAAGTCACTACGATTGTCAATTGCATTCTGTAAGTACAGCTAAATACTGCAATCATAGCATAACAGGTGCTCACGTGGAGTAAGAGCGGCAACTAAACAAAAATATTTTTGATGCACATGGGTAGGGCCTCAAGAAGTAAGATTCAGGCATTAGAGTATGGGTAGTCCTTCCCTGTGCAGAGGACAATGAATGTATTTTTGGAAGATAATGAAAAGTAAGAATCACACAGAGCTGCTAGGGAATGACTTTTCTTTTGATTTCCTTACACAGCAATAGTTAAACAGAGAAAGTCCAATCATATACAGTTGTACCCCACTTAACGCGGTCAATAAAACCCAGAGGGGTACCATGTTAAGTGAAAACTGCGTTAAGTGAACAACAGAACATATGGGATTAATTCCAATAGAAACCGGCCCGACCCCCAAACTCCACTTTTTGACGACACATAACTATGTTGTAGTAAAAATTTTATCTTAACTTTATGATGGTATGAAAAAACAAGTAATATAGAATAGGTTAGGTTAGGAAAAATAAAGGTAAACATAGGAAAAATAAAGGTAAGGTTAGAGAAACTAAAAGTTAGGTGTAACACTAACGGTAGTAGAAGAGATGGGTCGGCGTACGGGGATGGAGGCTGGGTCCGAGGCAGAGGGCAGGCTACTGGCCCTCAGGTGAGTCACTATCACTGTCACCCACAGTTGTTATGGCCTCCCTGACAAATCCCTCAAAGTCATCTTCACTGTCTCTACCTCTTGTCACTATCACTGGCTTGGGCTGGCTGTGGTGGGTTGCGGGCGAAGAACTCGGTTATGCTTTTTTGACGGCTGGTGTTTATGTTGTCTTGGTACACTGTGATGTACGGCTCCATAGCCTGCACCAGCCGGGTATGGAAGACTTCATAGCGGTCATCGTAGATTCGTTGACGCCATGCTGGCGCGCGAGATCAACTTGCCGTGTTCCTTTCTCGAAATCTTGAATAATTTGGTACTTCACCTCGTAGCTTAAGGAACGTCGTGTCTTCTTTGGCTTAGTGCCGCTGGGTCCAGGTAAGGAAAGGTCTCTCTCTGGTGGCGGTGGTGGTCCGGCGGAAGCCATTTTACGGAACAATGGATGCGCGTTTACACGGTGTGGCCTTGAGGGATGAAACTGCCGCGGCTAGGTCAAGCGTCGTCTTTCCTCCCTCCCTCCCCCGGGTGGTCACATCATAATACTTTAAGCCAATTACAGCTAGCAGCAGAGGGGGGTAGGGATGCATGGCCAATCACAGTCCGATACGTCATATGACGTCAGTGATAACGTAACAAAGACACACACTGCGCAACCTTACCGCGCGGCTTGCCCAAGCGGAGGGAGGAGGAGGGAGAGGCGAGGAGCACAGGCGGGCGGGTGGCGCGTGGGGCAAATCTAAAAATAGCGTCTCGAGCCGGACACTCACCGCGTATATGTGGAAAAAATCCGTGTTAAGTGAAAGTTCAGCTCTGGCGAGGCACCGCGTATACGGTAAAACGCGCTAAGTGAAACCGCGTTAGGCGGGGTAATACTGTAGTAGTAAAAAAATAGGTATAAAATAATGAAATCATTGGAAGTTGGTGTATCGAGGGATGCCTGGACTGTACTGTACATTATTTGTTAGCCAGAATAATATTTTTTTAATCAAGTTGGAGCAAATAGAATGGTTTTGAGTTGTTCTTCAGTGTGTGCCACTTATATAAGGACCTAATGCCGAGGGGGGGGGCAGGTCTTAGTTTTAAACATTACTAGCTAGTTACAAAATATGAAGGTGTCTAGGATTAAAAAAAAATCTCTAATTAATTGAATTGGTTTAATTATTACCTGTGACAATTTTTATAGCTTGCTATATATGTATCTATTTATAGTGTATACAGTAATGTGAGGTTTATTATGTTCAGGTTACAGGGGCAGGCGATACGAGGGAGGCTTTTACGTGGAGGGTCGTGTGAGGTCTAGACTGCTACCTGTCCTCATTTGAGTGTCTGACCAGTTCTACTTCAAAATAAGATGCCAGGGTTTTCCTCTACACTTCCCACACAGATGCTGTAAGTCCCTAGTAATGATAAATGCTAGCATGACCTAAATTATTTATTTTATTTATACTGTACTGTATTTCTTGTGTTTATGAATAACGGTTTGTAGCCTTTATACCGAGTCTCATGTGGAGAGTATGATGTATGTGATGGGTGTAGTTCAGGGTACTGCACTAACTCCAAAGCTGTCATTATCAGAGCACATGAGAGGAATCAAGAGTTTTATCTTTTCACTAATTCAGAAAATCCACTGAATAGTTTCCATGGAGGATTAAATATAATAAAAAACACTTATCATAGAGAATATTATATTTTTTTCATATGAAACATACATTATTTACATGTCAGGGAAAAAAACATGTTCAATAAAAAAGTGGGCTATAATATAGTGATAAAATTTGTTCTAATATTCATATGAATAAAGTCAAACCAAAGACAGTATACAGTATTGTGTGAGCACTGGTCACAAATACTGCCAGAGTACACGCCTCTGTATAGTGTAGTTCCAATACCCTGTTAAAATACAAAAAGGTACCTCATTGATTTATCATAACTATTAGATGCCTTCCCTATAATCTGGAACAAAAGGGCAGCATCCCAGGGAAGAGTTCAGATATAGTATAGTTAGGTCACAATTTGCCACAACCAACCAATTTACTAAAACTCTTATACAAGTCTTTTGTTACATATATATTGTGCAGGTTAGGTTAAAGCACTATCAGAATCGTTGTAGCCACCTGTTATAAAACTCATCTATGCCACTGTGGATATGAAAGTAAACCTTAACCTGACCCAATGATGATGATGGCCATATTACATCAGCTCTCTACTCAGTGGAGGAGAACTAATAAAGGTTACATATTACTTATCATTTACTAATTTAAAATTTAGATTATCTACATAGTTTATTAAAGTTTTAACCCTTAAACTGTGGCCATGGAAAAATTGGCTGATCTGTGTTTTTATCAATTCTTTTAAAAAAATTCAAATGGAATTACAGGCATTCATGCAGAATAACAGAATATGGAGAAAAAATCTTTACTTACCATACAACTTAACTGGTGGATGTTTTTATCCATGCACAATTCCATCATCACCATTTTACAGTAATTTTTCATACTTGGGCAATAATGGTCAGGGAATCACTTGCCTCCCTCTTATCACCTGCTAAACTGTGACATAGAAGTTCCACTTCATACCTGACAAAGGCCTACTCAGGATGCTGCTCACATGTTCCCTAACTTATACAAAAAAAAAGGTACACTATACACATTTAAATATCTCGGCTGGAAATGAGCGAGTCTATGGACGTCGACAACAGTTTAAGGGTTAATGAATAAATCTCATTAAGCAATTATAACAATCTTTGTGGCTTTCATTTAACTTTCTGCCATGAATAATTTAAAAAGATTAGACAGACTGGAAATTAACTCTTAAGACAATAACTTATGGTATTTTACAAATAGATACACATTGTCTGTGTGTATTAATAAAACCAAAATGTTCCCCAGCCAGAACTTAACCCAGCACAGCCTATACAGTACTGTGCTTAGTTCTTGTCCCGAGAGGATACAGGTATTATTTTGTCGTGACATTTACCATCTGAAATGAAGGCCCTGAACACGACACTTAACATTATAATCTCACTTCAGAATTGCTGGATACTGTACATTAAACACCCATGAACTAAACTTATTATTCTAACTCACCAACATACAAATATAAAGGTGCTTATGAATGATGGATTCAAGACTAAATTTACTTATAAATACTGGATTCAATATATATATATATATATATATATATATATATATATATATATATATATATATATATATATATATATATATATATATATATATATATATATATATATATATATATATATATATATATATATCTTTGATTTTGGTTTAATTTTAAAAGAGCTTCTCACAATTAAACTTGTCATGATACTCAATATTGTGCATAACAGATTGCAAAGCTATTTATAAATATCTTTAGTGTGAATTACATAAAGAGATGCCTATGAACTATAAATAATTATATAATACATATTAATATTTAAGTATTATAAATATGACTGCACCAAAGATTCCAGTTGTAAGATCCATTTCTTAAATTACTTTCTGCAGCATCAAAAATAAATGTTTCAAAGTATACTATATTGTATGTAGGCTCTTAAAATATAACTTCTTGGACAATAAACCAAACACAAAGTAATGACTGTAAAGTAGTGTGCATCAATGCCTGTTAAGAGATTTAATAAAATCATACCCAATGGGAACACCCAAAGGCATCCGACCGCAGTATTTGTTCGAAGACTCAGTCTTTACTGCACACGTAGCACAGTGCACCAAGATAAAGTTAAACCAAGTAAAACCTAATGAGTGAGAACGATGCCCTCTAAGCATGCAGATTCTTGCCCTCAGTGAGTTGACCGACCAACATTAACATGTACAAATACCCGGTACTGTATAATAATACAGCACATTTCACCTGCAACCATGAAACTGTACAGTACAAGCTGGAATTGTTAAAAATGAAGTAGATCTGTATTTTTATTTAAGTGACGTTTTATATACTGTATTTAAAAATACTAAAACAAAGTGAAAGATAATTAAGTGAAGCCAATATTTGACAGATGGATAGACAGACTGATGCCAACACATAATACACAAGTTTATAAAAAGACAGCACAGCACTGTACTGTATATACCTAATACTAAACTTGCACTGTATCTAAAGAATGTGGCCTTTACACTTCAATAGTAAAATTTCTAAAACTGCATTACATACCAAGTCAGTGAGACTGTGAACTTGATCAAAAATTTCTTATAGGAGTTACTTGTACTGTACTAGAAACATGATACAGTGCACTATGCTGAAGGTAAATTACTGTACCACATGTAAAGAAATAAGTTTTGGTATATTTATGTAAAAATATAGATTGACCCTACGTGGATCCCCGCAAAACTACAGCACAGACCAAATAATAATAAATTGCTCAATCTTTTATAAAATAAGGGGAGGGTTAGACAGCTTAAATTTTGTAACAATACTTTGCCATTTTTACCTTTAAAGATTACAGTACTACTTACATTATAAAGACACACAGAATGACTACCTGTACTTACAAGAAGTCGTCAAACAATGACATGAAATGCTAGTACATTTCTCTTAAACCAGAATAAGTTGGGTTTAAAAGCTACTCTTAAATTAGTGCCTTTATGAACACCTCAAGGAAATAACTAAGGTATGATTAAAAGTAATGAAACTGAATTTTCTGACAATGATTTTAACATTACATATGGATATACTGTATTTTTAAATGTGGGTACAAATACATACAGTAGTCACAGAAGTGTAAATAGCAAAAATTAGCAGAAATCTCAGGGTCATAACATTTCAACATACTGTAATACTCATAATACGACTCATATTTCCATGTGAATCATAAGTCTCTTCCACACTCCACCTACTCTGAATCAGGAAAATCACTGGCTTTATGTGAGAGATTTATAGCATTGTTTCCGAGTCTTTAGTCAAGGGCAAAGTATCATGTCTGCAAGCTATTCACTCCAAGATGAAAGCAGATATAAAATCCATTAAAACTTTTTATGTGATCATGTACAGTATTCCATTATTCTAGATCCTTTCAAGTGATTTCATAATAGATAAGTATTCTTTTAAGTTGAAATGTTCACGTGTACAGGTATGGAAGCACATGCTGTTGTACACATGATGTGATTTGGGTTTTTTTTTCATAGAACTAATATACGTGTTTACATATTAGTTGTATGAGTTTGTCTTGATAGAATACATAACCATATGTGAGAACCTGAGTGCAAAATTCTGTTTAAATTGATAGCTAACCACAGACTTGTTGCCCCATGTTTGTATTTTTCCCATCAAATCAGTTCCAATTACAACCTTATATAAATGCAAAATAAAATAATAGTAATAGCACAAAGTAGTGGTTACAGGTGAGGAATATTTATACTGTACTGTATATATACAGTAATATCAGTATACTGTACTAATATTAATATATAAAGCTTGTATAAAGACATCAACCTCGTATAGTGGAAGGAGTGGAGTAGACTGAGCTCCTTTGGAAGTTTATCACTTTCACATCATTACCTTAAACATTTGAAAACTTGTGCAGTTCATAAAAATAATGAAGGTGATTAGAGTTGGTCAGTAACTGAATCAAACAGTTCTTCCAGTGTGTCAGTCAGGACTGGTGTGTGTAGAGCCGATTGATGCAGCTGAAGACAGACAGAAGTTATCTAAAACAATACGGTTTAACCCACAATGGGGTAAATTCTCTTCAACAACATAGCTAATGAAAGATTCCTGGTATGGTGATACAACATTCAACCAAACTTTCAGATGATGTTAAGTCCATGTTAATCTGACTTTGTCTCAGACTAAAAGGGGGGAAATAGCTGCAACAAACCTCAAAAGTTCATTAAAACTTTTTATTTTCTTTAAAAAACCCAAATAATGAAAATAAAACTGTTTTGTATTTGTTTCTGAGTCATGTCACCTCTGTTTGCACACAGGTGATGCACGGACGCATGCATGTCCTCATACACACACACCAACAAATATTTTTGTGCTCACCATCTCTCCCCTCAAAAGATAGTGTCAATGTTTGTCCAGTAATTACCTGTATAGTATATTAAAATGACAAGCACATTAAGAAGGGAATTGAACATTTTGGGAACTTATAAAACTATACTCAAACTATAAAAATAGAATTTCACTTGTGCATCATGAGGTGTTACCCTACAAGATACAAGTATGTTATTAACACTTAATACAATTCAGTCTTCACTTTAGTTCACAAAAATCTTAATACTTACACTAAGCAGTTTATTTATTTTTAGTTATTTATCATATTTACTTTACCTATTAACTGTGTTACATGTAAAGTCATTCAAAAAACTATCTACTTTGGGGGGGGAGGTGAATTTCATGATGAACACTGCACCTCTTGTTGTCTCAGTAGGGTTGCCAAAATCCATTGTATCATTTTTTTAAATACAATTTTGTATGGATAGTTTTTTTAATTGACAGTACAGTACACAGTATATAAGTGCAAAGCATCACATAAACCCTGATTCATTAGTTATGCCAGTTTTTAGCAGCTAGAGGACCATACCTGCTACCGTAACATATACTTGTGGCAAGTATCAACATTTACTATACAGTATTGTGGTACTATTTTTTGTTGCATATTTCATGTGGTAAACACAAATCATCTGTATTTCTTTCATACATATTTTTCAATTTACAATTTTAAGCATGAAAGGATTAAAAATATTATATGGATTGGATCATAGTGTACAGAAACCTCCAGGACAGGGAGGACACAGAAGGGCCGTGTGTTGTAGACAGTGACCAGGAAGGGCTAAAACAAGTACAAATACCAACACATACTTCCTTATATTCAGACCTTATTGAAATTACTGTACTGTGCATTTTTACCTGAACAAGAATTAAAACACGATGTTACAAGAAAGTTACAGATTTATACTGCAACTGCTATTTACTGGACAAGGGCCCCGCACGAGTTACAAATCTTATACAGGTATCGGTAACACAAACAATATTGCAGCTGATAGTATAGGAAGACCACATAACTCAAAAGGTTTCGCTTCAGATTTTAATCCGCTTGTCCAATTAAGAAATTTTTCAGAGACACGCATTTGGGGGATTTGTATAGTACAGTAATCCATAAAATTACAACTTGAAGATATGGGCTGACTTTAGATTACTGAATGTACAGTGGCAGGCTTTTACTACATACATTATACCAGCAAGTTTTGTTTTATATATGAAATTATGGGAAGGCAACTTATAACAACATTAACTTCTTCACTGCAGGCAGAAGAGATGTTTGAGGAAGACTTAACACATTTGAAAAAAGATCAAGGCTGAGAAAGTTGGAAATATATAATCACACATTGTGATCGAGCAGCTCCATAGTCCATAAGTTAAGGAGGTTGAATCCTCAGACCACAAATATTAATTTAGGAATCCAGTATCATGGTAGAAGATACGGTATTCTAATTTATTTATTAAATCTTAAGAACCTAAACACACACGTTTGGTCCCTGGAGATTCAATCATTTAGACTTGTTGGGTATATGCAGTTGCTGATCCTGACTTGATTACAGAGTATAATATAGGATCTCAGGATCAATCTACAGCTTAGTTTATTATACAGTACTTGATGTACACTGTAGCACAGTAATAAATGAAAATGTGTATACTATAGTTAATAGAAGATAAAGGTTGACAAGAGCCCAAGGCTGTTACTGGAAGCTCTGTACAGTACATGGAGCATTTTAAAGGTAAAATTGAATATCGTTTTTTTTTAGGAACTTTGAGATTTGTTACTGTGTTTGACCAATTAAACAGTAGCAAATTATTTATGTGTACATAAAAGATTATATTAGTTTTTGGAGATTATATTATAGTTTTAAATATAGTTCATTCTTACATGCATGCAATTATAATACATAAGAAGGAAGTATTAGTTTCAAATTTTTTTTTTTTTTACAAGATATGGAATAATTATTTCCTCCTCGTACACTCTGCAATAACTGAATACATCTGCAAGTGGTGGTGATGGGAGCCTCAGGTGGACTAACATCCTGTCAGGGAGTTGAGGTAATACACTGGTAGAGTTTTATCTCTCGTAATTACTATCCTCGTTACACACTTAAAGGCCTTAGTAGTTGAAGAGCAGTAATAACATTATAACGTCATTATTAACCCACTAGCTGATGAATGATAGTAATCGGGAATTAAACAATTGTCCAGACTCCCTCTACCATAGCAGGAAGACACTTGATTAAATGAACAAAAAATTCATGTGGCCCCCGTAATGAATTGTGTAAACAAATACCATATATGCCAAATATATTTTGCTTTTAACATCAGTTTTGACATACAAATAAAATGGAGAATAAATTTAAGGGCAATTTTGGTGGTAGGGTGAGGGGCGAGGAGAGTGGTACTGTACTATATAAAATGGCCCTAGAACCAGCCGCTATTATTCTCCCATTAAGTAATTAGATAAAGGGGTGGTCATTATTTTTGGGAGCCTGCACTGTACATGGTAGTTTTATGTTACGATAATTGTCGACAAAAAGTGAAACGACGAATAGCTAGTTTCCCATGAAATACGTTCACACAACCATGACATGGAAGTACTTATATAAATACAAACTATAAAAAAATCCCCAAACAAAATGCTAAAAAAAGTTAAAAAATTATGAAAAGACAAACTTTTATTCTTACCTTGGAAAATACACCATGGTGGTGAGCAATAACCACGGAGCTGTCACCATTCCCACTTCTTTTCACTTCCTTCTCATTCTTTCTCTGTCCACAACAGGTATTATGCTTTGTGGCCACAATTTCAAAGTTAAGGAAAGATATATGAAAAACTTGAATTTAATACCACAACAAATAAAAAGTTAGCTGCTGGCGGGCCGAGATGACAATGCAACGTCTTCCTCAGTAAATTAATGACGAATATGTGAAACAATGAAGAACGGGAACACCCAGTACCAACTTTGTGAGCTCTTAGGCACACAGGCTATTACCTCCACCCCCTGTCAGCTGGCTAACAAAACCTAACAGTGGGTATGTATTTAAACTGTATTAATCATCCATCTTTAATGAATTTATGTGAACGAACGAGTCTATATTGCTCTTTAATCCAGACACCCTTTGCCATAGAGGGAAAGTGTTTGCAGTAGTGAAAAAGTCCTTCAGTTGATTTATGTACAAAACAATACAAATATTGTCAAACCACATCACAACCTCTCACACTTTCACCTGTTTGTACATTTTAAGTGTACCTGCATATAGTCTAATGCTAACTGTATCTTCAATGTGGCTTAAAATAAATGTATAGACCTTCCTTTTTTCAAGCACATGGTTAAGACATTAAAAAAATGCCCATTCAACCAAAACTAGTTGTAGGGTGAAAACTATTAAGTAAATTTTTTAGGGAATGAAATTACGATGAATTAGAAATTGTGTAAAGCCAAGTTACCAATAAATCAGTAAATTCTGTTGGATAAATTATTTACATTGAGGATAACAGTGTTTAAATTAACACACACACACATTCTCAATGGCTGAAAAATTATCTCATGAATAAAAGCTGTATTTCTATGATATATATGAGCTTAAGCTGCAATACTTGTGCCAGAAAGCAATGTAGAATGTAAGTGTGTCTAGGTTTGAGGAGATGAGCCTTCAGTACATGAAGGAACATGAGTGTAGGTATAGATTAGATTTGAGGATGAGTGTGATTATGGGTGGTAATGAACGGGTAAGCTGGCTGGTATGGTACGAATGTGAGGATGTGAAAATAGTTGAGGAATATGAGCCACTCACAGTCGATAAATGTGGGAGGAATGATTAAAAAAATAAAATTGGGTAGTTATAATGAGTGGCTGAGTGTGTGTTGTAGTGAGGGGGGGTCAAAGTGTGTGGGAACAGTGTGTTACATCAATGTCATCACCTTTGTTCAACGTGTAGAATCTTAAAAGTAAAAAATATAATAAAAGTAATAATAATAAGCTACAATAAAATATATGCCTCCATGTAACAATAAAAAATATTGTAACTAAAAAAGCATTACCTATTACTATTAATATTAGTTATTATTTGTCCAGTGACTGACAAAATTCACAAGACAAAGAGCAGTATTTATCATAAATGGTCAATACTCTGTATATTGTAACAGACTTACTTCCAGTTGTCTGTCTTGCAACATGAGTTATTTAGCATGTTTTAAATTGGAACATAATTTACATTTTAACTTACAAAAGTTCAGAAGTAAATCACTGCAGAGTGAAGGCTGAATGTATGGAATTCAGAGTATACACAGAATACTTGAAGTAGAGATTTTTCCTTTACAGAGCCCATGAAAAGTGTTCAGACTGGGTAAAGTTCAGCCTTGGTATGAGATCTGTCTGGTGTTGCCTCAGCACAAGACAGCCACAGAGGCCATAGTGAGGCATCCAAACAGAAGACAGAGAAGCTGTGCACATGACTGGGCCGGGCGATCTTCCTGCAGCAGCTCTGGCAGCACAGTCACTAGTGCTATGTTAAGGAACCCACCTGCAGTGAATGCTAATATATACACCTGCACTCCACCTGCAAGAATAATAAATACTTTCAGTAAACCAAACAACTGCTACCTTACTGCCTTAAACCTAAGTGGTAGGCATCCATCATGACAAAAACAATTACAGTAGTACTCTTACGAAAAGTGAAGTGAAAGAAATCATTGCAATAATTCATACAGTACATACTCACTTATTCATGAACAGTACTTGTGTCTTTCTCAAACAATCAAACATTACAAGAGTAGAATTGCCTTCTCTATTTCCCCCAAAAATCAATTTAACAGAATGAGTTTGGTCTCAACCTATTTTGTTAGTACAGGTACTGTACAGTAACACATACTGTATGATTTTGCTGTGTTGTGAAAGAGAATGGCAAGGTGTTAACTGTACAGTGTATTATTCTTCTAAACAAAAAATAAATATTTTTGACACTTAAGAATAAACTCACCCAGGACTTCTGAGGTACCAATGAAGAGCGTAAACAATGCTCCCATTAAACCAATGCCGGCAGTGTAAATCTGGGCCTTCGTTGCTTCCCATCGAGAAAAACCTGCGGTGAATTAGGAAAACAAATTTATAATAACAATTGTTCAGTAAACTTGTCATACAGGTTTACAATTGGGTAGGCAATAGGCATGTATATTAACGAAGCAGGTACATGGATACTTTTCAGCATGAAGATACATTGAAGGTACTGTACTGTACTTTTTTTAGTGTATACCGGTACATAAAGTAGGTCGTGGGAGAATACAGTTTTTCTATGTGCCTAGACAGTGCAGGTATACAAGTGGTACAGTATGATAATTAGACCAAGGATAGCCAATATAGCTGCCAGATGTTTATCACCAGATAGTACAGTTATCCTGAGATTTCACTTTAAAAGAGTCAGGGCAGAACAATTCTCTAGCCAGCAAATCTTGTAAATTCCCAGGCTCAGAAACCTGACTGGCCAGCAATATCTTTCTGTCCTTCTCCTGGGGCATCTTCATGTCAATGGTATCCTTATGTAATCTAGTATCAAAGTGAAGGGCAATCTAATACTGTAATTAGATTTATTCTATATTTAGATTGCCATCTCATAAGTTGGACCCAGATGATCCCACCCTGTATACGTGCTGACTGCACAGTTGCTTGACCCCAATATTCACTTTACTTGTGCATTCATGAACAGATAATCAAACTATACAGGAAATTTAAACAACTATAGGCAATAATATATAAGAATGACTGTCGAGATATTTTATTGATACTACTCTTGATATTTAACACTATTTGGTTAATGGCAGATGAATTTATTCAGTTCAAGAGGGGAGCCCATACACAAGGGGTTAATATATTGAAAACTTCAAATGTCCACTGAAGACACTGATGCCGCCATCATCATTAGGCAGCTTACAGATTATCTTGACAGTTACCAATTGTTCATTGCCTAAGGTAAAAAAATTTAACATCAAGTTCTGCCTTCACACATACAGTACGTACACACATACAGTACGTACCTGACTTAAGCAGAATTGCAAAATCTCCAATTTCATGTGGAACTTCATGTATTAGAATTGCACCAGTAGTGAGTAGACCAGTCTTGTAGGACACCATGAATGATCCCGCCACTGCCAGCCCGTGGGTGAAGTTATCAATCCCATTGGCTATTAGATTCAGGTAACCAGTCACCTGTAGGATGAAATAATACAGTATATTCACTTTCCTAGGATTACTTAAGTCCCTCTGGAAGGAACTGAATAGACAAAAATGTAAGTGGAAGATAGACACCAGCACCATGGCTGATGACAATACTATACAGGATTTCTCTGGTCCATGGCAACCAAGTAGTAAAATGTAGTTTGTTTTAAGTCTAGGAATGTTAATTATCTACTGGTCAAGAAAACATAAATTGCTACCAAGGTTGTTTTTAACTCTGAACACTGACAACCTTTTCCTTTAATGGTCAGTGCACATGATATTATCTATACTGGCCATGACATTTCGTTTCATAAATAAAGTACTGTATTGTATGAGTGACTCACCTCCTTCTTGGTTGTCCCTGAGCCTCCTTTGTTGTTGTTGTTGTTGTTCTGTGGGCCAGAGTCACTGTGAGTCGCCATCATCTCCACAATGATGAACACGAATATCCCCGCCAGGACACACAGGCCCACCTGGATGAAGGCTTCATGGGTATCTGCCCCACCTGTGCATATATGCAAATTCCTTGTAATTAAAATTTACACTTACAGTATTATATCCTAAATAATACAGTATTAGCTTCTTAAGAGGGTAGTGGCTTATTCTGTCCTGCTTACTTTAATAACAAAGCACGGAGTTGACTTTAGGGTAGACTCTCACATTTTTAATACATTTGTTGTCTTGTTTCTGATTATTTGTGAGAGGATTTTCCCATTATTATTTATTTGTATGTGTGTCTCTACACACACACACTTACATATACAATACAGGTAACAAGGAATAATTGTCCTAAGGGCAAACACAAAGGGAATATACATTCCTTTGAACATGAGTAAACCCCCCCCCCCACGGTCAGCAAATGTTATTTGCGGATTTGGCTATTTGCGGCCATTTTGAGAACCTAACCCCAGCGAATTTTAAGGGCATGCTGTATTACGCACATTACTGTACTGTACAGTCGTACAAGAGCATTTTTGGGTAATAACTATTGGAGCTTTATAGTCCAGAGAGAATCCAAATTAAGAAAAAAATAGTTGATAAAATACAGTAGGACAAATTAACAGTTATCATATACAGTATTTCAGTATAATTTGAGTAAAGAAATTGGCAGTACATGTGTGCTTCAACAGTTCCTGATAACTAAAATTTACAGTACGGTCAGTGCTAGAATCTACCTTTGGAAGGCGATAAAAAAAATCTTACACGTTTTACCTTACTTGCAAGAAATTTAATGTTAGCAAAAGGCATTTCATACATAGATAAATTTTCATTCAGTAATATCATATAAGGCAAAAACTATGATTAGGGTGGCATGGCTTACCCTCCAAGGCCATACTCCAGGCTTCTGGCAGTAGGTGGAGAAACACATCTCCCAACAAACCTCCGACAGCAAAACTCAGCAGCAATTGTAATAAGTTCCGTCCACCTGTGCGTGATAACAGACAATTAAGTATAAATTTAAAGTATCAATCTGTTAAATGGAAATACTTTAAGATATATAACAGTTGTATTTCATATGCATTTTCATTAATTGATATCTCCCGTAATGACAGGTGTATTTATGATATTAAAAAAATTCAGTATATCTTTGATGGAATACGTGTGTGTGTGTGTGTATGTGTGAAAAGAGAAGAGAAAGACATAATCACAAATACTACCCACAAAACAGTCCCCAGGGAGGCTAGCTATCACTTGGCCGGCTGCTACCCTACTGTAAGGCTATAACTCGTCTGGCAGGAACACCTCAACAAAGAGACAGTGAACAAGATGCCAAAATCTTGACTGCCAATAAATCTTATATATTGCAGCAGATCCTCCCACATCCCGAGACCATAGGTCTTCCTCAGTACAAATTTCAATAACGAGTTTGTCTTTTGCAACATTATTTTACATTAACTTGCAAATTGACAATACAGTATAGTTTTTTTTTCAGATAATACAATAATGATAATGGAAAGATAAATAGATATACTACTGTACATGGATGGATGGACAGATTGACTGATGTGCAGTAGATAGTGTCACATATATATATATACCTGTAGTTTGTTATTACTGTATGTATATTATTTCAACATGCATCAAATAGGGTCAACAATTGTGTTTATTTGTTATCTGTGGATGAAACAGATCAAGAAAACTCATAAAATCTGAGAAATCTGACAATCACTGCCCATAAAAAACTAAGAGGACAGAAGATAACAAATACCACACACTACAGAACCAGTAAATATCCCAAGAGAGGAAGAAACAGAATGATACTGGTGTTAACTACATTATGTAAGTAAGGCTTTTCTTTCCTCTCACCACCTGTGACTCTCAGTCCAGGTTTATATTTCAGTTACTGTCAAAAACCTAATGTAAACGAGAGAGGTGGTGATGCCTACGTCTGCAGGGCTATAAGGAAGGTGCAGCGGGGTAGACAACACCCGGCTGTCACACTTACGGTGAACTAGTGGTGGTGTAGCTGCCTTACCGAGTGACTCCTCGTATGGCACAGTTCTCAAGGAGCTAACACCTACTGCACATCTAACCTAAGCTAAACTAGTCTAACCTAACCTAGTCTAGTCTAGTCTAACCTAACCTAGTCTAGTCTGACCTGACCTGACCTTACAACCGTGACAGAATGTGAACAGCGTGACGATACAATCAAGACACGATAACAAAAGTACCTTGAGAGCCAAAGAACCAAATTGTACTCCTGAAACGATAAAACACAGAATAATCCACTTTATTACAGCAGGTTGCATGAAACACACCACGGCTGGTCAACACTGCAGTGAACACGTGGGGAGACAGACAGAGACGGCAGAAAAGATACCATCTGTCTTCACCTGTCAAGAAGCTGTCTTATATCACCTATTGTAAGCAGGGGGAAGAGGCAATGCCGGATTTAGACCTGTGGAGGCCCATGGGCAGCCTCTTTGTGGAGGCCCCCCTCATTATAACTACCCAAGAGGGTGGGGTGGCGAGTGAAGTGGGATTTCCGGGGGGCGCTGTAAGCCCCCCGCGAAAATTTTGAAATTTGAACACTTCTTTGGAGAATTTTGAAGCCATATGCAGTTATATTGAGGAAATTAGAACATTGAGAATTTTTTAATTAACTGTATATTTATTGATAGTGTACAAATTCCCAACACACACACACACACGCACAAAAGTGAGACATGACTGGAATCATTCATGTGGTTTCAAGTCAACCAGCCCTGATATAGCTACTACCGCACATGTAAAAAATTTTCAAGAGACTTCACAGAAAAGAATATATTATTAGTTATTACAGAGAGATGATTCTTTGCATTATTAATCAGATAAACCTCTACTCAAATAATGAAAATAAGAATAATCCAAATGAATAAACAAATAAATAAAATACAGTATTGTAATATGTGGAGGCCCCTGGGCAGCTGCCCACTTTGCCCACTCCTGAATCCGGCCCTGGGAAGAGGGGGTGAAGGAAGAAGTGGTGGAGGAAGAGGAGGAGTTGGTGGAGGAGGAAAAGGAAAAATACGGTGTGTATGTGTGTTGATACCGCAGATGGTGTGTGACAAGACCAGCTGTGTGAGAGAGATGGGGGTGTAGGGTTAAGAGGAGAAGACGAAGGAGGAGGAGGACCGTCTGTCAGGTATCATGAGCCAGCTGGTGGTTGAAGTAGGTCCGCAGGTGGTGGTGGTGGATGGAGAGATGGGAAGGGAAGAATGGGATGCATGGAGGTTGAGGGACGGGAAGCACTAAATACACAATCATTATCACTACCACCACCACCATGACCACATTTACTACCCCCTACAAAAACCACAACTACCACCATCACCACTGTCATCACCACAACCACCTCTGCCAACCATAGAAACCACAACTACCACCATCACCACCACCATAAACACCCCCAATAAGGTTATCAATGCCGTCACCAAAACATCAAAGAAAAGTAAGCATTTGTGAATACTGAGATGAAACACGACACTGAACTGTGATTTGGGTGATGGAATAGGAGGAAAAAGGGGGGAAGAGAGAGGTAATGGTGTAATAGCAAAAAGAAAACAAAATATAAAAACAGACGAGAAGAAGGAACAGTGAAGGAAAAAGATGAAGATAAAAGACAACACACAAGAGAGGCAGAAAGGAACACAGGAATAATTAGAGAAAAGAGGAAGTAGAAGCAGAGATAAAAAGAAAAGGAGGAAAGAAGAGAAAGGAGGAAAAAAGAGGAAGGAGGAAAGAAGAGGAAGGAGGAAAGAAGAGGCAGGAGGAAACAGGAGAAAGGAGGAAGGAAGAAACAGAAAGAAGCGGGTACAACAATACTCCCCCCACAACAAAAGCGTAAGGTATCCCTCTTTCACCCCAAGTCTGTTTTGGTCGAGAACCTCCCCCTGCCCAAGACTTTACAATACAACCTTCTCCTAAAGGTGTAAGATAAAGAGTCAGGAGCCATATACACCCACTACACTACCACAAACAGACATACACACACAAGCGTAGGCATAAACACTACACGGGTGTTGGTCGCCTCGTGTACAGTACAGCTCCTCGTCGCCACCAACACTATTTCAGCTGATCACCAGATAATGCCCAGGCTTAACGCGCTACTGGTGGGGAGGGTAGGATAGTGGAGAGGGTGGGGGTGGTGGTGGGGGGAGTGGTGGGGGGGGGAGGGTGGTGGTGGGGGAGGAGGGTGGTGGGGGAGTGGTGGTGGTGGGGGGGAGAGTGGTGGTGGGGGAGAGTGGTGGTGGGGGAGAGGAGAGTGGTGGTGGGGAGAGGGTGGTGGGGGGAGAGTGGTGGTGGGAGAGTGGTGGTGGGGAGGGTGGTGGGGAGTGGTGGGGAGAGGGTGGTGGTGGGGAGTGGTGGTGGGGGTGGGAGAGGGTGGTGGGGGTGGGGAGGGTGGTGGGGGGTGGGAGTGGTGGTGGGGTGGGGAGAGTGGTGGGGGGAGTCGGAGGTATGGTAGTAGTGGTGGTGAGGGATAGTGATGCGGGTGGTGCTGGTGGTAGTTGTGATGATTGGTAGTGGTGGTGACGCGAGTGGTGGTGGTTTGGAGAACACGGGCCACAGCTCCTGATTAGTGAAAGGGAGGGGAGGGGGACTACAGGCTCAAAACTAACCTCAGCCTCCCTAAAAACACCTGGCGACTTTTGACAATCGTATGACGACGAAGACACATCAGTTACCCATATCAATAACCACCACCACCATCAACAACAACAGTGCATTCCATCTTCCAACTCAACTCACCGATAGGTACTACATGGTCTCTTAATGATCTTCAGGAGAGCCAGGTGACCTTTATTAATACCCTGTGACCTTGGGCTGTTGTATAGACTATAGAGGACAGTATGTGTGACCTGACCCTGTTGTATCGAGAACAGTATGTGTATGTGACGTGACCTTGTTGTATAAATACAGTATGAATTAGAAGACAGTGTGTATGTGACTATATACAGAGAGACTATTAATCTATAAAGGGAACAGCAACGATAATTAGAAATTTACATTCATGGTGAGACACACGAAAGAAATAATCAGTCTCAGGTGTAAATAATCCATCCCAGGTGCAAATAATGTCTCCGGTGTAAATAATCCATCTCAGGTGTAAATAATGAACTTCTGTATGCAAATTACCCCACCATCCATCCTTACAACGTCTTCTCATTTATTTCAGTGACAGAGCCGTGTGTTGGTGCCTGGGAGTGACGTATACAGGAGATCTTTGAGGGGTTGGTTGGTTGGGTTGGCTTGTGGGGGTAAACTTGCTTATTTATTTTCGTCGTTATTTTATTTTTTCTCGTAAATTTGTATCATCACGTCTTTTTTAGCTTGGTCTCCCTCTCATTCCTCCTTTTTCTCTCCCTGCTTCCTTCCTTCCCTCCCTGCTTCCCAACTATTACTATTGCTATTTTTTTTCCTGCAAACGACCTTCAACTTCCTCTCACAGCCATACTACTACTACCACCACTACTATAACTATTGGCGGTGGTGTTGATGGCACAGCAGTGTTCAAGGCCAATATATATCTAACCTCAACGATTAGCATTCCAATCAGTGAGGAGGGGGTGGCGGTGGTTGTGTACATGCCTGGGGAGGGGAGAGGAACTAAGGGGAAGGGAAGGAGGTACCAGAGGAAGGGATGAAGGTACCAGGGGAGGGGAAGGAGGTACCAGGGGAGGGGAAGGAGATACCAGGGGAGGGGAAGGAGGTGCCAGGGGAGGGGAAGGAGGTGCCAGGGGAGGAGAGGACGGACATGCCAGGGACAGTCATGCTGGTGGAAGGTGAATCATGTACACCGTCGTCCGTCCGTCTCTCTGGTATGTTCAGACGAGTGACTGATCAGCGCCCCCTCCCCCTAAACACACACACACATGCCTACCACACATACGCCCCCTCCCCCTACACACACACACACTCAGACACCCCACCTCCAACACACATACC